GGCAGAGAGCCGTTTGTCCGCATGCAGCTGTGGCTCAATGATCCGCACAATGTGGACAAGCTGAGGGCCATGAAGAAGATGGAGAAGAAAGGTGGGACCCCAGAGTATATACTGAAGTATCTCAGTAAGTTTGAGAATTTGTTGGTGTGTTGTAATCTTCTTACGCTGGATATCACTGTCTTCTCCAGCTTATCTGAAAAGGCGGTATGGGCTGCTGAGCACCGGCTCAGACAGCGACTCACCCAGCACTCGTTCTGAGTGTGTGAGTCCGGCCTTGGCCTCGCTGGACCTGTGCCCCTACAGCCAGGTGAAGAAACCTCGGGTGGTGCTGGGAGCTGAGGAGAAAGACGCCCTGAGGAAGGCCTACCTCCTGGAGCCCTACCCCTCTCAGAACACCATCGAGATATTGGCCTCCCAACTCAAACTGAAAACCAACACTGTCATCAACTGGTTCCACAACTACAGGCCAGTCCAGTGACCTTTATGACCTTTGCTAATGGCTCTGCATTACTACTATACATTTAGTTAAAGCTGCAACTTTAATAACTGAAATTTAATTGGAAAAGTTAACTTAAATATCCTGACACTTGTGTTTGCCTTCAAGCGACTGTCTAACAGCAGTGTTTGTGCGCAGGTCCAGGATGCGACGGGAGGTGCTAATGGAGGGTCTGCCAGACAATGACACAGATGCTGAGCAGCACAGCTACTCCCCCTCAGTGACGCGGAGCCCCCACTCTGATGGAGAGGAGAGGAGGCTGCCGCAGCCCTCAGGACACATCCCCTCCAGCCTTCCTCTTAACGCCAACATCGCACTGCCTCGTGTCAAACAGGAGGCAACAGACAGGGAAGACGGGGGGGAGGAGGGAAGGGAGGGCTCCACGAAACAATCGAGAGTTCAGTGTTTTTCCACAGCAGTACAGTTCCCACAGCTGAAAAGCGAGCACGAGGACTCCATCGCTGGCTGCCGGGAGTCCCGCTTGGCTGGCCAGAGCCTGAGGCAGGAAGAGGGGATGAGCAGCCAGGCTCAGGGGCTCTACCATGTCGCAGTCTCCATAGACGGTCCCCAGAGAACCAACCAGTCCAGGCACGAAGGGGAAGACTCCGGAAAGTCACCTGTTGACCCGGTCAGCTTCAAGGCTTCATCAGAGCCCTGCCGCAGCAGCCTCGAGGTCTCCCTCAACTCTCCCTCTGCTGCATCGTCACCCGGCCTCATGATGTCAGTCTCCCCCGTCCCCTCCTCCTCTGCTCCAATATCGCCCTCGCTGCCCAACCCGCCCTCAACGAGCACCAATCACAGTCTGGACCCTAACCAGCTCCTTCCCTTCCAAAGCCCCAAACTCAACAGAAGCACTCAGAGACGCAATGAAAAAATGGCCAACCTCAATAACATCATCCACAGGCTAGAGAGGGCAGCCAATCGAGAAGAAACGCTGGAATGGGAGTTTTAAGTCCCCTTTTACTTGTATCTGATGACCGTCGCGGCACACAGGTGAATCTCAGATAGAAGCTTCCGGAAGACTTGGAATGGAGCCTGGCTCCTGAAGACCTGTCCTCTCAGACTGATAACTCGTAGGAAACGGGAACGCAAAGCTAAACATATTGCTGAATTCCCTCCAAGAACTTAAAGAGTTGAAAGAAATTTATAATTGTGTATTTGTTTTTGTTTTTTTGTTTTTTTTTGATAATGCATACTACTTTGAAATATATGTGACAGCACTAGCTGTTCTTTTACCTATTGGACTTGACATGAAGACTTTTGCAGCTATGGTGTCATAAAATGTACACTGAAGTTCCGTAGATTGCCACTGGGTGAGATTAAAAAAAGACCCCTGTCTTAAGCCATTAAAAGCACTATAACTATTTGAAAAGAGACATTGACCAAATTTGCTACTTTTTGAATAGCAATTTTTCAGATTTTGTCTGTAAGACTGGACAGTTTAAGTCAAGTAACATGAAATCCTATTACTGACTGAGGGATAGTCCTTTAAGACTCTAAATATTCAACATCTTGTATGTACTTAGTTTCTTGGTGATATGTTTTGAAATATTTGTAACTCACACGTATAAAATGTGGTTGTACATGTTGTAGAATTGTCTGCAATAGCCTTCTCTAAACCTGATGTAGCATGGTACTCACCTGACCCTGTTATCCTCTGTAGTTAGTCACCTGTGATTATACTTGAGCGAAAACAAGAGAAAAAAAAAAGTTGAAAACCCTGCAAAAAATAAGAAAAAAGGAAACGTTAAATCTAACGAGTAGAGTACTTTTAGTGTTTTGTTTTTTCCTTTGAATAATCCTTGAGGTTTACAGTTTAGGGCCCGTGTGCTTTTGGTAGTACGTGAAACATTCACTACACAGGAGCACAGTTTACATGATTTCTTTCAGACTTACCTCTCTGACCCTCTAAGGCACTGGTTCTCAGACTGTAACAGGCCAAGACACAGGACACCGGGTTTACCTCAGATTATGTTGATGCACACATCATGCTATGACCATGTATTTCATTCTTATACATGAACATGAACCACACTTATTTGAATCAGTGGAGGGAAAGTACTTGGTATCATTCCTCAGACGTGCACAGATCAAACATGAAGCAAGTGGCGAGTTTTAATTAATCAAAATCTGTCTTTTACAAAGAATATGCTGCTGTTTGAAGAGATAAGGAGCTAATAGATCCTTTATATGTGTGTATTATGATCCTCCTCACATGTAACAACTGATTGAGTGCACTTTCTCAAAATTGGTCATTTGCTGTAGCTAGAATAATGTGTATTTGATCAAAAACCTTAACCTCTAAGTACTGAGATGTTGTTTAGCTGGGCAGTTTGAAATAAGGTTGCCGCGATCAGTCTCCCTTGGGGCTAAAGCTCATAGTGTGTGAGAGCATGATACAGTATGACACTCTCATCAACATAAAAACGTCCAATCTGTAAGTACACTATATTCAAGGACATAAAAGGTTACAGGTACCCCCTCATATTATCTTTGACCACTTGTGTATTGTGTCTGTAGAAGTTTCTTTGTCATGCTTGCAAGATGTTCTTTATGTATTTTGCCTCTATTTTATACTCAGAACAGTTAACTAGATATTTAATACCTCGTGTATGAACTACTTACAGCACTTAGATTTTGATAATTGTGAGGACTCAAGAAAAATTTCGAATATCAACATTATCCTAACTTAGTGTCCACAAGTCTTTGCCTTTACTGTATCGTTGAAGTTGGTAGTAAACACTTGCACATGTCTACATAGTTCAGAGGACTTGGATTGTATTATGTAGAGATATATATTACACAATTACAAAAAAATAATATCTTACATTCTTGGACAAAATGTGCTGATTATATTGAAATAGAGTGTACAGATTTAATAAACCAAACCCATTCAAGCCAGTACTGGTCTGGCAAGCTTGCCCACGTTTTAGACCTTCTCTCAGGGTAGTCTTGCTTTTTAAAGCTTTACTGAAACAGTTGCTCTCATCGGTGGTGGTGACTATGATAATGACATTATGTGGCGTAGAGAATGACCCCGTTAAATATTAAATGGACCTGTGGAAGGTGTGTGTAAATGGGAAATGCAACTTTCACAGAAAGTGGTGGTTTGTTGGAGAGCTGTTGCTGTTTTGTAATTCATTACACAGATGTGTCAAAGTACAGTGTCGATTGGAACTACCAGGATGAGGCTAATGGGTTGCATTTTTGAGATCAGTAGACTTTGCTCTCTAAAATACTGTTTTTGTTTTCTCTTGGTGCCACAGAAGATTTTTCTCTGGTTTTCGTACCACCATTCTTTGTGCATAATATACTGTATGATTAGAAGTGGCATTTCTTATGTGGAAATTTCATTGTCTTTCATGGTAACATGGACATATGACTGAAAAAGAAATGTATTTACCCAGACCATTATCTCTTCATGTAAAGCCCATGTCATTGTTTTGCATGCGAATCCATTCTGGTCACATGACAAGGGATAGACTGTGTTTTTGTGTTGTTGTTCTTGCACAGGGACATTGAATCAGCACTTAATGTCATTTTACATTAGTGAAGTCCATGCATGGTGCAGCTGATAAATTTGGCTCTCACAAAGTCATCATGAATTCAGTTAACTCAGAACCCAATAATGACCCAGTAAATGTTATTTCCAGGTAAATATTTAAATCAAGATTATTTTGTGCCATATCATATGCCTCATTATACTGACAGGAGTTATGCCTTGTGGTAACTTGAGTTTATGAGGGGTGTAGGGCTTTTTGTAACCCAATTCAGAAAAAAGCAAAGCTTTTTGAAACAAGAGCCCTACACATTAGATGGATTTATTTTATAATTGACATTAGTCACTAAATAATGAGGTAATTGGTTAGCAAATTTGAGTGGTTGCATTCAGTGTTGTTAAAATAGTAACAACATTTGCAACTCTGACACTGAGGGTTTGTCACAAAGAAAAAGTTTAATTTGAAAGTCAGCTGTGAGCCAATAAAGAGAAGTGTCCTGCAGGCTTAACTTACTGTCTAATGCCTCACATGTCAGGCTAGTAAATGACAAAAAAGAATGGATAAAGGTATGCCAAGCGTCTTGGAAATGAATTTGCATATGTAAGCCATCATTCAATACATAATTGTTTAAGATCCTGCTGTGTTGTGTTTTTATTTCTAAAGCGTGAGGAATGACCTCCCAAAGTACCGATAAATGCACACAAATAAATGCAAACAAATTCTATAAAACCACTATGAAACCACTATCCTTCACTGTGATATTGTCTGAATCTTAAACAGCGTATTTTATCTTTAACGTATGGATCATTTAGTCATTTCCATGCATTGCTTCAGTAGCAGTCTTTCGATTATCCAAACACTGACTGAATTCAGTATAAGTTATGTCCATTATATTTAGTAGTTTTTCGGACAGTCGCTCCAGTGTTTACATGAACGTACCACATGGTGTGCGTGAGCCCCTTCTCCGCTCAGAGCACTGCTCTGACGCGATGACGTCACACGCTTACGTAGCTTGTTGGACTGGAGAATTCGCGGCGATGGCGACGACGGCTCGGTGCTGGAAAGGGACGCAGTGAAGCTGGCCTCGGCTCGGATATGACTAATGTTTATTTGATCGAGGTTTATTTGCTGCTCAGTAATTGCACGGGATTCGGATGAATCTTTGGCGTCTAACTTCTCATCATTCCTTTCACTGGTGAGTCCGCCGGTTGTGGTCGTTCCTCGGTGTGTTTTGACAGAGGCCTCCGTTTTGGGGTCCGCCCTCCATCTCATAACAACAAAAACAGTTGCAGGGAGCTGCGCTAGCTCGACCAGCTACTGCTAGCCAGGCGGCTAGCTTACTGGCTGGTCTATGTCACAGCTACTATGAAAATGCAACACCAACTACACACGGCTTAGTAACGTTAAATGTTAATGTCGGCTGCTTGCATTTCAAATACCCACTCTGGACTAAGCGTTAACTTGCTAGCATTATATCTTTATGGACGAGCTATTCTTGAATAAGTAACGTTAAACTATTGTCGTTAGCTGACGTTAGCTGCAGCTTAGCATACCCAAAGAGAAGGAATAGCGGCAGCAATGTTACCGCTAGCTAGTTATTTTGTCTTTGGACATGGGTTAGTTATCTATCTGACGAAGCCGTTAGCATAGTTGACGTTAGCTGTTTCTCAGTTAACGTTGTTTTGTTAACGTTATGCTCCAGAGCGCTTGGATTGCTAGCACTCATTAAGATAACGATTCAGAAGTGTCTGGGTTTCGTTTTTGGATGACTGTAGCTTATTTTTAATTGCCAACGTTAACTTTCATTTGACTAGCTCTAAATAACATAAACACTTTGGCGTTAGTTAACGTTTTATTTGGGAAGTGATGCCATAACAACAACATTAACATAGCAGAAGACACACAAGACACAAAGTTAGTTAACCGACGTGTATAACGTTACTTTTTTGAGACTTAATCCTTTTCAGTGTCGCTGAACGGTCAATATCGCTACTTGACCGTAAACGTAACTTAGTCAAGCTAACTGTAACGTTACTGTCATTCATTGCACTTTAGCTCCTTTGTCAGTATTTCTTTTTTTAAACTCGCCAATATCACTTAGAAGATAGAGGCGTTTTGCTTGATATTGGTGCAGCCTGTGATGCATGGTAGCCTGTCACGGGATAGGAGTAACGTTAAAGCTCTAAGGGGCTTAGCCTTCCCTGTGTGACTCTAAACTACAGGACCAGACTGAGCCGTGGCCACGGGTCATGAGCCCGCTGTGGTAAACAGAGCCCTGTGTGCGCGGCAGATAGGCGTTATCAGGTAGCACCAGCAGTAAAAGTTGGACTCCTCGGTCAGCGAAGTAATGACCTGGCCTGGCTGCTTCACACCACTCTCGACGACCAGGCGTTGCTGAGGCCCTCCTCTGGTGCAGTGGGATTTTTGTCTTGTTTCTACCCTTAAGCATCTTAAGTTCCTGAGAAGGTGTGTTAAGGTCCAGCTCAGATCACGTTTCAGTCTGCAAGAGTGGCTGACCTTTACAACAATTTGTAGGCCTGTATGCTGAGAGATCCCTAGCAGATAGTCTGTTTTGAAGAGTGGTGTTAGGCGATACCACTTTAAGGATAATCTACCTGTTTAACATTACCTGAACAAAAATGGCATCTATTTGTGTTCTTGGGGGAATTCTTTTCAGCTGTTCCAACTGTACAGTGGGCAGAAGATCAATACCAGCCACCAGTCAAATGCTGTGAACTGTTTGGCTCTGCAAAGTATATGTGCTTGACCAGCCATTTGGGCAGGTAACCAACCGTTGTTGAGGGGTTTACCCACAAATACCATTTCTTTTTCACTAGTCCCTCTACCATGCCTTCCATTAGCTCGCTATAACCTGGAGACATGACAGTTTACAAATAATTTTATGTGTGAATTTAGTCTTCTTGTTTATTTCTGAAGGTGAACATGAGATGGCCAGTTCACGTGACTGAACCATGTCTATGTGCTGGCCAGGCTGTAGACGTAGTGCTTCAAGATCCAGTTGGCTTTTTTTCCATTCCAAAAATTGAGTTTAAGTGGTATCTCTGAGCTCACATGTAAGCCACTGTGACCACCAGTACAGCTATATTTGCAAGAGAATCAAAAGAGCTTCTGTAGCTTGAATGTCTCAGTGAAAAATTTTGCTCTTTGCATAAGTTTGTACAAAAACCCGCATTTGCTCATAATTCAGGTGCACGTTTGTCTTCATTTCCACAGATTTCCATGTCTTACTTGTGAAAATTCCCAAACAGGATCACCAGGACTGCTCGTCTACCGTTACTGATTGTCTGTGGTAAGTTTAAAAGATGTGATGTTGTGACATTTTTAGCCATCTGCTGTTTCTTTAACTGTGGCCACCAGTTATTTGTCCCTCTTCACTACATTTGTTGCAACTGACTGAATACAAGCTTTACTGAAGGCCTAAATCTTGCTGTTGCTGGCCAGGCCTTCCCTTGTTGTGCCATTTCATTTTAAATTGATTTGCTATTGAACGTTTTGAACATGACTGCCCAACCACAGGCTCACGATCTCCCGGTGGATCATGGGCTACAGTCAGTTCATTGCCTAGACCCATTCCCTGAGAAAGTATTTACCCATTCTGATGCTTGCGTTCAACATCTCAAATGCAATAGGCCAGCCTTCAAAATACAGCCACTCCCTGCATAATTTGTCTTATGAGCTTCATCCAGTGTAGATGCAGTGATCTGGTAGATGAGACTCACTGTTTCGGGGTGAGCTGGTAAGGGATTTGATAAAAAAAACACACAACAACAACACTGGAATTATATTGTTTACATGAAAACCATGTATGTTTTTTTTTTAAGTACGTTTGGTGGCATTTGGTGCCTTTATTTGGACAGTCGAGCGAGAGAGAGAGAGTGAGAGAGATGGGAAAGGACATGCAACAAAGGTCCCTGCCTAGAATTTATCCAGGGATACTGCAGCTTGTAGGACACTATCCATCTACCAGAACAGTGAAGTTTCATAACAAACTGTCCAAGAATATCCATTAACCAGTTAGTTGCCTTACAAGATAAACCTGCCAGATAAAATCCTTAATATGGATGGCCTCCCAAAATAAGTTGTGTGGCAAGAAAACGCAGTTTAATTGTCAGAAAAGCAAATATAGTATTTTGATCATGAATTCATTTTCTAAAATATTTTTTAATGATCCCGGTGGTACTGGCTGCGCAATGGTTCACAAAAGGTTTGGGCAACAAAAGCTAAAAATGTAATCAGACGGGAAATTTACTTGTTTGTTTGTTTTTTTGTCAGAATTGCTTTTCAATTTCTCTGTGTCTGTGTCATTCTTCTACAGACTGGTCCAGGCCGGAGTTCCTTGTTGGGTGACCCACACTCCTTCACAGGGGCCATGGTAAAGTGCCTTCAGTTCATGCATGCTTTGCACAGTAACTGCTGTGTGTCCTTTGGCTTGGGTGCAGTCTGCAGAATCGGAAACTCTCCATTGATTTTCACTATCAATCAGCTGTTTATCAGGAAGTACTTACATCAGCTGTAGCAGTGTCAAAGGTCCTCCGAGGCTGCTGCCTAGTGAGAGCAGCTTTCAGTTTTCACTGCTGAAGTTTTTGTTGTATGGTTGCATCATGACCTAGCCGCTGGATTGGCTGCGACGCTTGTTGAACGGTGTGTGTATGTGGGAGTTATTGTGCCCTTGGCATGCTGCGGTGTGGCAGCTGCCCCCTGGCTGGCCTCAGCACGCTGCTCCTCCAGCCATGGTGACTGTGTATCAGCTCGGCTCATGCTGAGCCAGCATCCCACATGATGTGCCGGCGCGGTCTTTTGTCTGCCATCTCTTTCAACCGACTTAATCTTTCTTTGAACAATATTCGGACTAAACTCTACTCCTGACAAAACACAGCCCATAGATTCATGTCTGCATTCTCAGTACAAGGCTAGACCTTGTTATTGTTCTTATTTTTTTGCTCTTGAGTAAAAACCCCATGCCTTGCATTCACCACAGATAAGATCCTCCGTGAAATATGTTCATCTTGCATAAGATGCATAAGTCTTGTAAATAAATAATGTCTGTTTCTAGCGCTGTATGTTACTGGCATCTGTTTTACCATGGCTTGTTGTTGTACAAGGGGCAATTATAGTAAATTACCCTGGGTTGCACATTACAGTCTGGGTGGGAAGGAGAAGACAGCCACACAAAGCAGCATAAATGCAGCACTGTCAGCTTGGTTTTAAATCAACTCCTCTGTCACAACAGGGGTTGTGACACTTGAGCCATTTCCAAGTAATGTGAAAACCAATCAGATGGTACTGTGGCTGGGAAATTGAGGCAAAGTGAAGTAACACTATTTCCCCCCCAAAAATAAGATGGTCTTAAGGCATTTAACTCCCCAAACAATTCTTGCAGAGTAGTTTAGTGGTCAAATCAGTGCAATGCATGTGTGTGTGACAGGAGCTGGGTGATGAATAAGGACAGCCTTCACTGGACAAACATTTTAAAAGCCTTATTAAAACTAAAGAAAAATACTTTACTGAAAGAAGGGTGTTGTTGATTGACATTCAGTAAAACGTTAACAGGTCAATGTTTTCTTGCAGGAGGAGGAGGGGCAGCAGAGCTTGGAGTGTATCCAGGCCAACCAGATCTTCCCCAAGAAGTCCCCAGTTCTGGAGGAGGAAAACATGCAGGTGAGGAACCTGCTTCCTGCTTTGGAAAAAGGGTTAATACTTTAAATGTTAGATTTACCTCCAACAGTGAACCATTTAATTTAGCCCGACTGATACAAGTTGCAAAATGGTCATGATGACCATATCTAGAGAACAATCAATCACAGTATCACAGTCCTGTGCATTATCATTGTCACTGGTGATCTGTATCTTCTGTTTGTTTGAAATGTTTTACCTCCTGCTGTTGCTAGGTGCCCTTTCCTGAGCTGCACGGGGAGTTCACAGAGTATGTGGGGAGAGCAGAGGATGCCATCATCGCAACGTCCAACTACCGCCTACACATCAAGTTCAAAGAGTCTGTTGTCAATGTAAGTGTCTTTGAAAAAGATGAGCTTCAAGGTCAGATACGATTGGAGAATGTCTTTCACACTGCTCAGAATAACAGAATTCATAATAATGAACTAGGTTGTTTCGACTGTGTGTGTGTGTGTGTGTTAATGTTTTGTGAGTGGACAGAGTTGGGGCCCTTGTGTCAGCGTTGTGGTGACCAGGCCTTTCAGAGTTGATCTGCACTGGCAGCAGTGCCGCGTGACTCTTCATCACCTCTGTTTCTACGCTCGCTGGCCCGCTCAGCTTTCTCTCTGCACTTGCCGTTGCCTTGGTTGCAGTGGTTCCAGAGGGGATGCATAACAGCCGCACCCTATCTGTCTCTTTTCACCACGATGAGATAGAGAGACTATCTTTTTTACCCAAGTGTGGTCACTTTCTAAAGATGTTCACTGCCCTGTCGTTTCTTATTTTAGACAGAGAGAGTTTTTTATACGACTAGGCTGGCTCCATTGAATTAAAAAAAAGTATGACTTATTACAACTTAGAGTCACACCACAAATGAGCATATATACATGCGTATGAATACACTTGTACTGTATTTTCTATATTGTATACTCTAGGGTAGGGATGCAACGATTACAGATTTTGTTGGAATAATCACGGTTTCATGATTATTATGCATTAATTAATTTCACAACACTAGTAATGACTTAAGTTGATTTTTAATATTTAATTACATTAACTATTACATTTCTATAATATATAAGAATTATTAATATATAAGATTAATCTTAACTTTATTTATCCCCCAGGGGAAATTGATATTAATGAGGGTAATAAACTGAACTGTTACTGTTTAGTGAAAACGAATGAAAGAAATTGGGACATCTCTCATGCATATATTAATAACTGAAATGCAGTTATTGTTATAGTCCTGGAGGTCTATAAGTTCCTGATGTTATGTTGGTGTTTTACACCTGGCAACATTTTCTCAACACAGACAGGAGGAGGCAACAGGATGTAACGTTAAATGTTCAGTGACTGAAGGTCTTGAAAGGACTACGTTCTGTCTCTCATAAAGTTGCAACAGTTTTGTTTCGTCCAACCGAAATACTCGGTGTAGTGGAGGCTTTAGGATTAATTAATCGTGACGTTTTAACCTGCGGTTAATAGTGGCATCCGGTAATCCCTGCATCCCTACTCTAGGGTTTTGTTATGATAAGTGTACATTCTCGGGCAGTCTATTCACATACAATTTTTTTTATGAATTTTTTTTTTATTTCACAAAAAATATTTACCATAATTTGACCCAAGAAATGTCACTTAATATCAGGTGATATTCTAAATATATTTTATGGTCAAAAAATCCCATGGAAAGGCTAAAACAAATACTGAATTGATCCTAATCACAAGTATTGTCCTGTTCAAAAGCTATTAAAACACACCAGGGAGACTCACAGTTGACCTTCCTTCTTTTACATAAAGTGTTGTTTATTTGCAGTCAGTCCCACATACACTGCCTGCTGCTGTAAATGTACAATAGTGCACTAAGTCTGCGGCTCAAAAACTACTGTCCCCATCTGTTTTAGGAAAATATTCTGAGTATCTAACCTCTATAGTTTTGATGTATTGATTGAAATGTGTATAATATCAAAACTATCATTAACCAACATTTGCCATTGAATGTCTGGGCAGATTTGTAACCGTATTTATTTAATATTTGATCGTGTAGTTTAAATCACAATTTAGACTATTTTATTTCAGCCATGTTCTTGTACGAATGCAAGGTATGGAAAACTGTGAGTTTCTGTATTTGTATCAATACTCTAGTACAAATACAGAAATGGACAGTGAAAAGATTCAAACGATGCTAAGCCCTATGGATAGCTGCAGTATTTCAGGCCATTCCCTATTTGGATGTTATTTAGCCTCAGTGACTTTGAATTGGAAAGCCCAACAGTACAGTAATAGTGGTACCAAAGCTCAAATATTGGTATTGACTCAAGTCTAACTAATCCATATAATCATATGTCATTGTTTAGTTAATCAGACCGTCATATGTATAGGATTTATTCAGTGGTTCTGATGGTTGCATCCGAGTATTTCCTGTTTCTACTGGCTGCCCGTCACGTGTTTCCTGGGGTTAATTGGACCTAAGTGAGCCTCTGGTTCTTGGCTCACACGTCACCTCTCAGCCAACGTTCTCTTAACACATATTTGGATGGGTTGCCGAGGTATCTGCATCACATGGAAGAGTTGTCAGAGTTCACAAATCAAGGGTGGGAGGTGCTGCGAGAGAGCGACAGGCTGTTAACAAGCAGCCTAGGAATTTTGATGGTGGCCTGATTAGGGATGTAGATTAGAGGGCAGGAATTAAGTTGTGGCAGCAGGATGCTTGATCGTTCGGAATGTGCTGCGATGGCGTCCTTACACAGACAGACAATAGTTCTGAATCGACATGCATCACTTTTATTATTGTTGTCTTTGTTTTGTTTTGGATAGAGTTGTTGTTGTGAGGTGTCAGTAAGTACCCAGCAGAGCTGCACGGCGTGGAGTGGTTGACTTGAGTGTATAATTTGTGTGTGCTTGTCTGTTAACCGGCTGGTGCCTAGAGGGTTAGAATCCTGCTTGTTCATTCTATTTAACACAAAATCCTGGATTAAAGTACACGTGATGATAAAATATGTGTGGGGAAATATGGATCCAATCTTTTAATGCAACTTTTACACCAACAAAATCTCCATCAGGCCATAACCCTGTCTTTGTACCCATGTTTTGCAAACTTGACCTGCTGATCACTGGCTGCCGATCGCGCATGACTCTGGACTGTGCATGGACAGCAGCTTGAGCTACACCTTTTGTGAAAGCCCACTGTGCTTCTGAAAAATGCTCTTTACTAATTAATGGAGCTTAGGCGAAAGCAGCAATACTGTAGGTATTTCCCTGCAGTATTCAAAGTATGCTCTTAAGTCATAAGCTCATGGCAGTTCTGTACTTTGGATGGTATTTGCCTATAAAAGATAAGACTGTAGCTCTAGGCCAAAAGGGAAATGCCAACACAAGCTCTTCACAATCTAGTATTGAGTGTTATTGTGCTCCCATACCCAAAGTTAAGAAGATTATGTATATTTACAGGGCTTAGGGAGATGTGATGTGATGTGAAACAATAATGGAAATACACCTCGACAAGTAATCTGTGTGACTTTAGCACCATGTGACTGAATTGTGGTTACATATTATAATTAAACATGTGATGTTGCAGCACATGTGGCTGATTCTTGGCATGAAAGTGTTTCACTGTGTTGACCCCCGCTAATTTGCTAAATGGATTGTCAGTTGCAGTCTACCACAGGAATTGTACTGACTGCATGTGTTTGGTTGGTACATCTATGAAATACTCTTTGCAAGATTCAATCAAAGTTTGACTTGGTGTAGAGTTGAGGTTCTCTCTCTTTTGCTCCGCAGGTTCCTCTTCAGCTCATAGAGAGCGCAGAATGTCGGGACATGTTCCAGCTTCACGTCACCTGCAAGGACTGCAAAGTCGTCAGGTATGACCAGGGAGACACTCCTGCAACCTAACGGCATTCCTACTGTTAGCTCCTCTTTGTTAATGTTTAGGGAACTTGATTTAGAATCATGTTTCTTCCATACTGATATGTAGAAAAACATGCTGTTGTGTGCCGTTGAGGCCACAGAAAACATCTAATAACAAAAAATGCCAGTTTTTCTCACTCAAGTCCAGGCACAGATTGTATAGGCGTTACAGTTAGCGAAAACAATCCTCCAAATGTTCATGTTTAATAGACTTTCACATTTCAACACTCCACTTCACAGAAGTCACTTTCTGTCAACACTAATTGGAGTAGACTAATGACTCACGCATCAAAGGTGACGCTCAGGCGAGAGCAGTGTTCTTTACGTGGACCTGTTTATTGCTGCTAAAACCCAGCGTCTGAACCAGATAATAAGATTTTAGTAAGTAAAGAAACAGCATAGGAACAATCAACAGCAATTCGTGACATTGTAAGAACTGATGACAAAACCACATCCATTATTGACACCTATTTATCCATAAAATTCATGATATTATGTTTCCTGGAAAAGGATGCTTGACGTGATTATAATATCAGAATTCCTGTACAGCAACCATTTAGAGAGCTCTGCACAGGTGAGGAAATCATTTGAGCTTCCCTCAAATGAATAACTTGATTCTAAATTATCTGCATTGTAGAAATCAGGATAAAAATGTTTGAGTACAAGCCTTTGTCCCTTAATAATATTTTGTAGCATGTTGAACTTTACCTTTTGCGTTTGATCCCCAGGTGTCAGTTCTCCACCTTTGAGCAGTGTCAGGAGTGGCTGAAACGCCTGAACGTGGTAGTGCGCCCTCCCTCTCGCCTGGAGGACCTTTTCTCCTTTGCCTTCCACGCCTGGTGCATGGATGTGTACGCCGGTGAGAAGGAGCAGCATGGCGAGCTGTGCAGACCAGGTACCTCACATGTCTAGGGCCCTATGATTTCTGCAATGTTGAAAACACGTATGGAATTGCTGGGTTTTTCACAGCATTATATGTGTGTTTTTTCACAGCACTTAAGCCAAACAAACTGTTTGTTTTGGTGTAATTTATGGGCATGCTGCTCTCTGCATCCTCTGCTCTCTGTGCTGGCGTTTCACAGAGGGCGGGGCTTAATGCCTCCTCCACACACACGCCGTCATATCGAAGACAGTGCTCGCTAGCAAGAGCTCATTACTTCAACAAACTGCAAGTGCAAGCACATCGACAGATGCAAGTCACATGCTCATTGAGGACTTTGTGGCTGTATGGGTGGAGTCAGATATTTTGTTGACAAAAATGAAAAATGCTACTTCCAGTGAGAGCTGTGAGAGTTGCCTCCATCAAACCTACTTATTACCGTGTGTTTGAGCAGCATATGGAGGCTGTCAGTAGTCAAGTAATAGCCTGTTTAAAAGAGGATACTGCAGCAATACAGTTATTGTAAATTGTCCTCTTTTAAATAGTATTATAGCATTTTAATATCTTTCTGTTGCGATACATTTATAGTGAATTGTTCTAATGTATCCCATAACTGTATGGGATACATTAGAATATTTCTATATGCATATTTGCATGACATATCAAATTTCATACACGCCCTCACATAACCCCAGCAGAACCTCTGGTCCCTCTGGTCTTATCGGACATCTCTGCTCGCTCTGTAGGCGAACACGTGACCTCCTGGTTCAAGAACGAGGTGGAAAGGATGGGCTTTGACACTCAAAACGCCTGGAGGATATCTGACATCAACAGCAAGTTCAGGTAAAAGTGGCTTGCATTCAGGATATGTGCTGTCGTGTTGATTTCCGTCTCTCCCAGCTAGAAGATGGATCGGCCTTTTGCTTTCATTGGAGTACAGCACAAGTCAGTGTGTGTGTGTGTGTGTGTGTGTGTGTGTTAGACAGTGGGTGGTTGTGTTATTGTACTCTGCTGGCGCTGTGCCCTGGGCAGAGGAGAGTTTAGCCCAGGATTAGGTGTCTGTAGACAGAGACTTTTGTTGAGCCATCACAGCCCTTCGGTGCCCCCTCCACCCCCTGTTAAACTCTTGCTCTCTCTGCCCCTCTGCTCTGCCAGGCTTTGCCCCAGCTATCCTCAGCAGCTCCTGGTGCCAGCCTGGATCACTGACAAGGAGCTGGAAAACGTGGCAGCCTTCCGCTCCTGGAAGAGGTTTCCTGCTGTGGTTTATAGGTTGGTGGGTTTTTTTTACCGCCACATAGCAATAAAAAGCTGTCTTATGTGCTTTTTTTGTTTGGGAAAGGAATAAATCAAATAAATCATCTTCAGATAATGTATTCAAACCTCTGTGTCAGTGCCCCTGCAGATAGAGTTTACTTTGGCTTGGAAAACTGCAACATTAACAGCTAATTACTAATGGATATTTCTTTCCAGGCTACATTTCTCTATTTGCCTCTTTCAGAGTTTGTCAGCAAGGCTGAGACCACTGACTTAACCAATAACATACACTGCGTCACGGCTTCAGTGAATTGTGGTTGTTGTATTTAACAAACAGTGCTTTAGAGCCTTTGATCTTTGTTTTTGGAAAACTACCCCAACCAGTAATGGCAGCTTGTGTGCCAGTTTTGTGCGTCACAGCACATGAAATAAATATGAAACAAAAGTTTGCTTTGTTGGCTGTACAGCTGCTGAAGCCAGTGGTTCCCAACCTGTTTGGCTTTTGAAAATGAAAGGAAGTCTACTTTGACCCATCATAGATCAGATGAGTTGTGAGCAGTTCAACTAAAGAATCACATTTCATGTTTTTTAGAGCTGAAATGATTACCCAATTATTAGTTAACAACCTTGATAATGATAAGCAAAACTTAAGTTTAAGTTTAGTATTATGTTGTTTCTTATCAAAGACATAACCTACATCTCTGTATTAATATATTGTGCATACTGTAGCAGTGAATAGTATTTTTTTTTTCCCCCTGTAAATAAGATTGGAGACCAGATGAAATAAACAGCCATAGTCTTTTCATAAGACGGCATGTTGCTCGGCTAACTTGTCTATGGTTGCCCCCCACCCCAACATAGGCACCAGACCACAGGGGCTGTCATTGCCCGCTGTGGCCAGCCAGAGGTCAGCTGGTGGGGCTGGAGGAACGCTGATGACGAGCACCTGGTCCAGTCCATCGCCAAGGCCTGCGCCGTGGACAGCACGTCCCGCAAACACCTTTCCAACGGCAGTTACACCAACGGCTCTGATCTACCTGATACCGACTTTGGTAAGAGGTCACACTCAGTCAGCTTCACTCACTGACATACTGTATACACCCACACACAAACGAACTTCTAGCTAAACACACAAACGAACTTCTAGCTAAACACGCACATACCTCCACACTGTTTTTATTTCCACGCTGACGTGTTGCTGTCTGCGTGAATAGCAGCCACTTTTGTGCAATCCGACCTGATAGGGCTTGTCTAAAGCAGATCACAGTAACGTCTTACGTCAGACTGATTCTGATGGATGGGTCTGGATGAAACACGTTTACGTCTTGATGGTTGTGTTTGGACGTTTTGATCGTGCTAATATTCTCAACCATACCGCCCACTCCTGATTTCACACAGCCTGATGTTCTGAGAGAAATCTTTGCTGTGTTTTGTCTCTTTATCAGAATCCTCCATGACTAACAGCTCAGAGGTGGAGACGTTGGCCATCCAGCCGCACAAGTTACTGATCCTGGACGCCAGGTCCTATGCTGCTGCCGTAGCTAACAGGGCCAAGGGGGGAGGCTGTGAATGTCCAGGTAGGTCTTCTCAGCTCCGTCTCTGGTTACAATCAGAAGTAGGTCAGTGTGTGCTGTGGATTTAGAAGCTCAGTTAACCGCAGATGTGACTCTTCTGCGTGCTAAGATTAAAAGCTCCACCAGTTTTTGTTGTGTTGTGTGTTTGATTGTTTTCCTCCTGTTCCAGAGTACTATCCCAACTGTGAGGTGGTGTTTATGGGCATGGCCAACATCCACTCCATCCGCAAGAGTTTCCAGTCTCTGCGTTTCCTCTGCACTCAGATGCCTGATCCAGCCAAGTAGGGTCTTTTTATGCCTCCAGCAGTCACTCTGATTTTCTCTGCAGGCTAAAACTTTTAAACCCAAAGCTCTCAAGCTTTGGCGTAGTAACTGTAGGTAACTAGTAATCACAGCTGTGTTTTGGCCTTGGCTATACATCTGTGCCTGATTTAGAAAGCCTGTCCCAACCCCAAGTGGAGGATCTCTTTCCATCTGCGCGACCAGACTCAATGCTACAATGATGTGTAATTGAGTCACGTTGACTTAAGAGAACGTAGTTGAAAGTGGTTAGAGGATAAAATCAGAAGACAAAAACAGACTCCAGAAAATCCTCCTAACTCTAGACCTGAGTTCATCATGTTTAGTAGGGTCATTGTGTCAGCTCACAAAGCTTGGTTGCTGATATACTTAACTTGTACTTCAAAATTGGAAGGTCATAAATCTGTCACAGGCTTGTCTGTCTCTGTCACAGATGCTCCAGGTTTATAGACGATACAAAAGACACATAGTGTTAGAATAATAACACAGATAAGATAAGACAAGTGAAACATCTACTCATAATTGAAGTAGGTCAAGGTATATGCATGTCTCCCACTGGTCATGTAATCTTTTGAAATATTACATAACCAATATCTAAACAGACTATGTCAGGGGTCGGCAAATAAGTCTGGCATCGGGCCAAATTTTTTTTAATGACAAAGTCAAATTATTTCAAATCATGTGCACGTTTAGCTCAGTCGGTACTGTGTGGGACTCCCGTTAAGTAGGTTGTAAGATCGATTCCAACTTACTGCAGGACATTTTTTTCTCCCTTGTTAAACAAATTGAATAAAAGGGCACTTTTGCACATGCTCACAATAAAGCATGTGCTGCAGTGTGTGCGCGTCCCGGCGTTTGATCCGCATTCATAAACCTATGGACGCTAATTTTCCTTTCCCTGAGGAAATTCAGGGGAATCCGAAGACACGTTAACTGATGGCTTTTTCAGAGGTGTGTCAAGCAAGCCAGAGACTCTTTTGAATGTCCTTCAGAACTCTTCAAAGTTAAAGATCTTAATAAACTCGACATGAAGCATTGCTGCAAAAGATGTTCTCGCGCTTTTATTTTGGAGGCACAGTCACTTCAGAGGAAGTGATTGTGTGAGTAACTGTAGCTGTCATGACTGAGATCTATTTCAGCACCAGCTGTTATCAATTTATTTACTTTTTATTATTCTGCTAACAAAGCAATCTGGACGTTGTTTTTGTTTATATACAGCAGCTAGAGAGGTCAGTCATTTGGAGTCGTGCTCCGACTAGTGCCAATCTAACATACCTAGAGTCAATATAAATGCTATTTTTGTTCTGTAACTGCTGGATGTGTAAATTAGCGACTGTTTGCTAAGAAGTTCACCATATCATCTTAAAAGGTGATAATAATGTCAAGGCTGTCTTCACAACTAGTTTCCACAGCCACCAAGTGACCAAGAAATCAGTCATTGCTTAAAAGAACAAATATCCTTAGATATGCATTGTGTTAATACAGGTCAAGCAATCTTGGAAAAATTCACTTCTTTGTTGTTAATCCATTGATCATTTTTTAGATGAAAAATGTTTAGCAGTAGAAAGATTTTACATCATGGTGGTGCTTTTAGCTGTGTAAAGTCATAGACTGGATTACAAACTAGCTGAGGCTCTATATACTGTGTTATGTGACATTGGTCTATGCTATGTACTTAAGCTTATAAAACATGAGGCATATGAGGTCCTCTGATCTGTTTGCTCTGGTGCTGTCTGTGCCTGCAGCTGGCTTTCTGCACTGGAGAGCACCAAGTGGCTGCAGCACCTGTCCCTGCTGCTGAAGGCGGCGCTGCTGGTGGTCAACGCTGTGGACCGAGACCACAGACCCGTCCTGGTGCACTGCTCCGACGGCTGGGACCGCACACCTCAGATTGTTGCTTTGTCTAAGCTGCTGCTGGACCCGTACTACCGCACTATTGAGGTAAAGATGAAGACTCTTGGTTTGTTAGCATTATATAAGTTTTATTTTTGAATTAACTCTCCCAACATTGACTGATGTAAGAGCTGTGATATTTAGTGCAGGAAGGATAAAAATGGGTTTGCACAAAAACTTTTTTGTACACTTGACATTTTTAGTTTAGTGGACTAAAAGTTTCTTGCCATTGTGAAGCAACATTTTATTGCATCCAAGATGTTGTGACGTCTTCGTGCAGGGCTTCCAGGTTCTGGTGGAGACCGATTGGCTGGACTTTGGCCATAAGTTTGCTGACCGCTGCGGCCACGGAGAAAACTCTGAGGACTTGAACGAGCGCTGCCCCGTCTTCCTGCAGTGGCTTGACTGTGTTCACCAGCTGCAGAGGCAGTTCCCATGCTCCTTTGAGTTTAATGAAGCCTTCCTGGTGCGTACAAGTTTGGTGGTTGAAGTCGAACACAACTATTGCAAAGTCTGATTTTGCTTAGACCCTTAGATTAGACCTTTCAGAATATCAGTCATATCAGTTTCTGATTGTGAGCCAATGATATGATGTTAGACTGGTTTTGTTCATGTTGTTTTTTTTTAACTGATGGTTGTTTTATCTTGACGTATCTTTCTGTTTTACAAGGAATTTCGTGTCATCTTTGCTCTTATTATCATACCTGAGATGTATAGATGTATTTACAAGCCTCTACGTGTGTGTGTGTGTGTGTGTGTGTGTGTGTGTGTGTGTGTGTGCGCCTGCAGGTAAAACTGGTTCAGCACACCTACTCCTGTCTGTTCGGCACCTTTCTGTGCAACAGCGGCAAGGAGAGGGAGGACCGCCACGTTCGGGAGAGGACCTGCTCAGTCTGGTCACTGCTGAGACCGGCCAACCGCACACTGAGGAACATGCTGTACTCTTCACACTCCGAGACTGTACGTCCCTAAGTGTTTAGTTTGTTGTCGTGGGATTCCATTTAACCAGATGAAACTTTAAAATAATTAACAGAACAAAATACATTCTCAAGCATGTTCAGAAAGGTCTTTACAAACAGCACAGCCGATTGACACACAGCAGGGAAAATGATAAAAAGAAGTTAAAGAAAATGTGTCTGCAGTTTCAGAAAGCATCTTCAAATGCATTATGGGAAGGATGAGCCCCAAAGCTACGCATTTCATCATGTCTTTTAGATTTATTGCTAATTGTTGTGGTCTTTGGAGTATTTTTTTCTCTTGCATTGCTATGCTTACTGTTGTTTTTGCATTTCTGTGTGTGTGTGCCTTGCATGGCCATAAACATTGTGCAATTACCACGAGGAGGAAATAATTTGCATTCAAATTTTACTCAAATGCCCATATAAGTGTTTTATCTAATTTTTCCACTTTTCACACTTTAGATTTACTTCCAAATTATTTTGCTGCTTTTATTTCTTATGTTTCCCTCTGTCTTCTGATTACACCCTGAGTTAAGTTTGCAGCTATGGTTGCAGGTTCTCCACCCAGTATGTCACGTACGCAACCTGATGCTGTGGACGGCGGTCTACCTGCCCAGCTCCTCCCCCACTACCCCATCCGATGACTCCTGCGCCCCCTATCCTGTGCCCGGTGGCAACCCCGAGGACACGCCCCTGGCCAGGTGAGCCTGGCGTGCTGGCACCTGACACCCCCCCCTTCTTCCTCCCTCATCATGTAAGATAAACAAAGGTCGAGGACTCCCACAGCCAGAGAGGCCCGGCTTTTCAACTCCACTGCTTAGATACTTTGCTCTGCTTGGGCCCTCAATGTCACAGATACTGTTTTATGCTCCGCTGATCTCCTCATACCATCAACGAAGAGCAACAAGAAGTTGTTTGATTTTATGCTGACATAGTTTATGACAGCTCTAAGTTAAAGAAACCAAGTCTGAATGCTTCTCTATCATTATGTTTGTGCTGCATTTGTGTTGTTTTGATGAGGCTGACATGATTGATTTGTTAACTAAATATTTATAAACGCTTATGTGTGCAGTTACAGATTGAATCATAGGGTGTCAAACACACTGAGCCATTGTTTTGTAATGAGATGCTGTTTCCTGTGCGTAATTCTTCTCTTGTTTACTCTTCAGACATACGAAGACTCGCTCCTTCGACAACTTGCCTAGTGCATGTGAGCTTGGAAGCTCGCTGCCTCCTAACCGCCGCTCCAGTGACCCGAGCCTCAATGAGAAATGGCAGGATCACCGGCGCTCTCTAGAGCTTAACATGGCAGTGGGGCCGGAGGGAGGGGGAAACCAGGATCAGGAGGTGTGGCCTAACGGAGCGGGGCCTTACCCAGATGGAGTGGACTCAGAGCTGGACGACAGCCCGCAGTCCCGAGGCTCACATGGTGAGCTTGGACAAGGAGCCTCTGAAAGCCTAGCAGCAACAGGAGAGGAAGCAGAGGAGGCGGCGCTCTCTGTGGCGGTGGGCGTGGCCGAGGGCCAGATGGAGAACATCCTTCAGGAAGCCACTAAGGAGGAGGCGGGAGCAGATGGTCAGAGAGAGGGAAGTGCTGCTGTCACACATGTCATTAACACTGGTGACACAGAGGTGGCGAAAGAAACAAAAGTTGAAGAGGATGATCTGTGTGCTAAAGTCAACGGGACTGAGATGCAGAGAGAAGCATTTACTAATGGTCATCGGCCAGAAAATGGCGTAATGGAGGCTGAGGAGGATGGTGAGTGTCCCCCTCTGCCCACACAGAAGGCAGGGGAGCTGGATCAACAAGCAGCTGAGGTAACTCAGACACCAGAGGATCTGGTGAAGCAGGATGCAGAGAACTCATCTGTACAAGAGGAGACTGCACATGGACCCATCGAGTCCGACTCCGGTGAGCCAGAGGAGTCTGCAGCCCACAGGACTATAATTAACGGCTTTGTGGACAGGCTACCTGAAGAGCTAGGTGTGAATGCGGAGACCTGCCCTGAGTCTGAGTCTGACCATGGTGTCTCAGAGCAGGTGGATAAGAGAGGCTCCCTGATGGAAAGCTCCACAGAGACTTTAACTGAAGAGGTCTGCAGCAGGTTGGAGCTACCAGCACAGCTGCCTGTTTGTCCGAGTCGTCAGCCCTGCAGTGATGGCAGGAGTCAACTGCCCTGCTCCAGGAAAGAGAAAGGACCGGAGACAGGCGAGCATGGCTTTATTAGAACTTTAAACGGGGGCAGCAAGCGACCCTCTGTGAGTGCCTTCCAGTCTGTGAGCGCTGACCTCAGCAGGGACGGGCTTTGTAATGGCGACAGCACCGAGGGGGAGCCTTGCGGAGGACCTCACTGGGCCAAAGGCAACGGGGAGAGGGCCCCTCTGAGTCGGCAGGTGTCCCTAGCAAGCTGCAACTCCCTGATCCTCCATCCGCGGGGCAGCTGCTCCCAGCACCGCTGGTGCCACGCCCTGCTGAGCCGCGCCGCCATCAGCCCGGAGCAGCCGTCCCGCAGCCATCTGGACGACGACGGGCTGACGCTGCACACCGACGCCATCCAGCAGAGGCTGAGGCAGATCGAGGCGGGACACCAGATGGAGGTGGAGACTCTGAAGAAGCAGGTGCAGGAGCTGTGGAGCCGCCTGGAGAATCAGCAGCACGCCGGCTCCCACAGGATCAACGGAGACATGGGAGATGAACTGGTAAGATGCCCACAGGTTGAAGATCGATTTACCTGCCTGGCGGGCTGACCTGATTACTATCTGGATGTTAATTCTAAGTTATAACGTCGGCGCTGATGAACTTCTTCACATTTGCTGGTTAAAGAGAGCTTGATTCTGATTGTTTCTGTCTCTCCCTCTATGCAGACCTCAATGACAGACTCTGAGTACAACCTGGACCCCAACTGTTTGTCTCGCTGCAGCACAGAGCTCTTCTCTGAGGCCAGCTGGGAGCAGGTGGACAAGCAGGACACTGAGGTGAGCAGCCAGGCTAACCGGAAGCTAATTTTGGGGAAGGAAGGAACAAAACTCTGCACGCATGGCCTTCAGATCTCTTCAGAAATAGATAGTTGTTCAGCTCTGTAGTGCAGTAGTGAACTGAGATTAGTCTGTACATTACAGGTGACTCGCTGGTACCCAGACCATTTGGCAGCCCAGTGTTATGGCTGTGAGAGCAAGTTCTGGCTCGCCACCAGGAAGCATCACTGCAGGTAAGAGAGGCTTATCTAGCTGCAGAAGCGCAAACCTTCAGTCACTATCCCCGTCGTCAGCCACTCCTGTCTGACCCGTTGAGACTCAGAGATATTTCCCCTGTTTAAGCTCACTCCTCCTCTCTTCAGTCTGAGTTTCTTGTATCCATACACGTTCAGACTGTATCTAGATTAAGCTGAGGCAGCTTTCACTTCCCACTCAGGATTTTAACGAGTCTCAAATTCATCTTAAGTGACCATCCTCTCAAAATATATCATTTGTGTTTCTGCAGACCTGAGCTCAAAATCAGATAGTTGACTCATTTTGGCTTCCTCCATGGAGTTGCTCATTTTTATCAATATGAATGTTCAGGTATTATAGCAAGTAATGTCCACTGCGATTAGGTCGCACAAGACTTATTTTAGTGCTGAGTGTGAAAGGGCTTCTCTGTTCTCTCATTAAAGGGGCACTACACTGATTTAGTATTGCTCTTCCATATAATTGAGGGACAAACGAGAGAAAAAAATGGTTCAAATTGATGCAGCGTAGGCCGACATATGCTGTCTTTTAGACCCCTGTATTGGTCCAAAAATGCTGATTCCTGCATTTCCTATAATGTAACTTGATCCTCCCTGCCTCTTAAACACCCATGGCTTTCCAGGTCCACACCTGCACTTTGCAATGCAGCCTTTCTGTTAAGAATTTGAAGTCTCTAGCCCAAGCCAACATAATGTTACTTTCTCAGACTTGCTCAGAAGACGCTTATACAACTGTTCTCACAAACTGAGCAGTGTTCTCTGTGACATGTAAACCGGAGGAGTGTTCCTCTAATTCATCATTGGTTTTACTGAATAGGGCTGGCATCTTACGCTGATGTGGTAACTGTTGGGCCAGATTGAACAACAATGTCAGGTCTACTTGGAAGTATCAGGATATCTTTTGGTTATTTGAGTATGTGGGACGAGAATTAACGTGGTGCATGTTCTCTCGCGTTCTATCAGATGGTGGTATTTCCTCTGGCGTTATCATACCACTGTCTGGCCTCTTACTTCCTTTTCTTTGTGGTGGGTTCAATCAAGTTAACCACCAAGTGGGCAAAACATCTAGAATTAAGAGTGTAGCATTGCAGCCATTTTACAATTGTAGTTTCTATCACTTTAGAAGAAAATGTAACACATCTGCAGCAGGATGTGTTTTAGTCTGTGTTTTCCACTGCTAAGGCAGTTCTTATCCATTGTCTGCCCCTCTCCTCTACAGTGGCAGGGAGCCTGTCCAGGAGGTCTGGTGAGATCCGGCTCCCCTGTCTCCCCCCCCCCCTTCCCCTGTTAACCTGGCATCGCTGCACCTTCCGCCTCCTAATCCTTACCCCGCTCCCCTCCATGCCCTCCTCCCCTGGTTTCCCTTCATTCTGTTCTTGTTGTCTCAGGGGAATCTCTTCATCTCTGAGATGTATTGACTTGAATGTGTGTACTGCAGCGCCACTTTGTTTCCATTCAGCAGTTTGTACTTGGCTGTGACCGTGAGCATGGTGCTGTCAGTGGGAGAGCTGTGATTGGTCGAGGGCTGATTGTTACTTCACCTGGAAAATTCAAATCAAAATAACACAAAACAAACCTCCTCCTGCCATAGCGCCACATCAGCACCCTGCCCTCCCACCAGCCTCAACACACACCCCGGCAGCATGCTGCCCCATATAAGTCCCTTGCATCTCACCTCCCAGCAGCACAGCATGGTACTGGAGACCAGTGGATCAGTCCATCTGTTGGTGTAAAAGCCTCGAGACTCAGAGTGAATTAGATGTTTGTTTTGTTTATGGTTATTTGTGCTCAGGGTGAGTACAGGCAGGTAGAAGGTACCGCTGTGTGTTAGTGTGTGAGCATGGCCTTATATCTGGATCTGAGCATGGGTTTCTGAAACCTTTAGTGTGACCTGCCTTACAATTTAGTGATGATCACGTGTTTTTAAATGGGCTGAATAATCAAGTTAACACCACCGAGTGATAGAGCACCTTTTCTAACCCGGCATGTAGTGCAACATCACAGCAGAGTTGAACTGAAAACATGATGAATGGGGTCTGCTCAGAGCTCCCAGACCCTCTTTCCACCTGTCTTATCATGCGTCCCAGGTGATCGGATTGCAATCAGGCAGAGCAACAGCAAAATATCCTTTCTCTATAAGTCACTTTGTTTACAGGAGACACACTTTCACATCAGCATCCTGTTCTTCAAATGCGGCTTAACTAATTCAGACTAACATGATGTTAGCCAGCTAAAGTGATCCCATTAATTCTCATCCAGCTACCTTGGTTCTTCCGAACACAATCAGAGGTTTGTATATCTCATGTTGCAGTGCCATAGAGCTCCACTGCTGTCCAGAAACTGTCAAACACACCAGTGAGTCAACCTGCTGCACTGGGTGACATGTTCCTTCACTACCATAAACACACACTAGATTATTTGGAGTCCATCACATTCTGTACACCGGTGATCGGCAAACGATGGTCTGATGGCCAGAACTGGCCAGCCAACAATAATATCTGGCCCGCGGCATGATTGCTTTGATAGAAGAAAAATAAAAAATAAATTGATTGCAGCTGGTGCTGAAATAGATCTCAGTCATGACAGCAACAGTTACTCACACAATCACTTCCTCTTAAGTAATTTTGCCGACAACATAAAACGCACAAGAGCAGTTTTTGCAGCAATGCTTTATGTCGAGTTTAGTGAGAGCTTTTGCTTCCTTTTTAGTTATGAAGGACATTCAAAAGAGTCTCTGGCTTGCTTGACACACCTTTGAAAAAGCCCTCAGTAAACGTGATTGGATTCCCCTGAATTTTCTTAGGGAAATGGAAATCCAATCACGTTTACTGAGGGCTTTTTCAATATAGTATGAACGTGGATCAAACGCAGAGACGCGCACACACACTGGAACACATGCTTTATTGTGAGCATATCCAAAAGTGTCCTTATATCAATTTGTTTAACAAGGGAGAAAAGAAAATACCCACCTATGTTGGAATCGATCATACAACCCTCCCAACGATTGAGTTAAACGTGCAAACTAGTAGTCAAGGATTTGAAATAATTTGACTATGTTCTGGCCCGCCATGTAACGGCTTGAAAAAACATTTGGCCCGATCCCTGATGTACACCATCCTGCTGATGAAAATACTAATATGTTTGCTAAAAATTACAGTACTCAGCTGTTTGACAAAATAATTCAGCCTTTAAAAAAAATGTATATTATATATAATGTATAATGTTATTTTTTTGACCTATTTTTGTTTAAAGATTTACATCTTCAGTAGGGCCCAATGGGTTTGGAGCGATGGACTAACACATCATTTGGTTTTGGAGTATCACTAACCTCATCTTTTAACTTAAAGCAGAGAAATTACTTAAAACACATTCTAAGTATCCAATGAACCCCTTCTTTAATGTCATGAAGCAGAATTACTATAAAGATTATAGACAAATAAAGTGGGATGTATTTTATTTTACTCATAGTATCCAAACTGTACTTTGATTTTTTGTTTTTTTGAGGTAAACTGATTAAAATGTATAGGTTTTACTCTTCATTGTGAAAAGCTCTTGATTTTGTAATTAATGTTTTCTTTTAAATCATAATTATATCAACATTTGTCTGTAGGCGCCTCTAAGGAAGGGAGTCAGTTGCATCTGAAAATAAAGTCATGTATGAGGTTTATCTTGAAAATCCATCATCCTGATAACTTATGAGTGAGCTGACAACAGCTGTAGATAAACCTTGAGTTAGCTTTGAATAAAATAAAATCCAGGCTTGTATCAAATGACAAACAATCAAATCAAGCTAACGCTGTTTCTCATGTATGAAGAACCGGGCCCTGGTGCAAATGTATTGTAAGGAGACGCATGGTAACTGTAGGTGTAAAGAGGTTCTGTCTGAGAGTCCAGCGGTGACCTGTCTGTGTGTGTCCCTGCAGGAACTGCGGTAACGTGTTCTGTGCCAGCTGTTGTGACCAGAAGATCCCAGTGCCAAGCCAGCAGCTGTTCGAGCCCAGCCGCGTCTGTAAGACCTGCTACAGCAGCCTCGAGCTCAGCCCAGCTCCCCTGGACCTGGAGCTGGAGAAACCCATCACAGCCAGCTCCAACTGAGGATCGGAGGACCGGGACAGGAGGGGAGTCAGGCTGAGCCTCCAGCCGCTGACACACTGCTGAAGAAGAGCACAGGAGCTACACAGAATGTCCCATGTACTTTTATGTGTGTGCGTGCGGCAGATAAGGACTTTAATGTGTATATAGAGAGGACAGCGTGAGGAGGAGCTGAATGACGTGTTGGCGTGATGCCGAGCATTCTGTCGGTGGGTGTGCACAGGGGTGGGTGATGTGTGCGTGTGTGTTAGAGGATGTCACACACTCGCCACACCCAGGTTTTGTGGCAGTGACGTACTGCACTCCAAGGCCAGAGGAGTGAGAATGGTCATCCCGGTGCCTCGGACCAGGCAGGCAGAGAAGGTCGTCTCACTGTGTCGCTGAAGTCTCCCGGAGGAGTTTAGTCCATAGAAGCGCTTCTCATCTGACTTATACGTACCATCATCTCCCAGCTTGGACTACTTCTTTTCTCTGAAGGGTGGAAGATCAGGAGCCACGTGGGAAAATCTCCTATGAACCATGAGACTGTCCCGCAGCTATGAAAATGTCTGGCTAGCAGATACTCAGAAATGTTGTTTAGGGAAAAGCTTAAAAGGTCTGGTCACACAAATACCAAAAAGGCATATTTTCTACTTTGCATTTCATTTAATTTATTTACCTAGGTTTTGATGTCATATCTCTGACATTTCTGCTGTCACCCCAATACAGTGGAGGTGAACCGAGTAAGGGCTGCGACTATCATTTTTATTATGGAAACATCTGCAAATCATTTCAATCGATTAGGCTGGTATGACGTCTCAGAGCCATAGCTACATGATCACATTGCTTGTTTTGTACGAGTAATAGTCCAAATCAGTTTATATAGAAGATATGTGATAAGAAAAGCAACACGTTTTACATTAAACAAAAGACTAACTCATTTAATGAATCACTTGAATTGAGGATTTTGTCTGAGGATTTAAAACATCAAAATATGACTACAGACATTCGAAGCTCCATTTGAAAACCTTAATAGTAGCTTTGAATGTAAAATAGACGGTACAGCCGTGGATTTAGTATTAAACCTCTGTAAAATCAGCGGACTTCCAAGACATCGGCTGATCAGCTCACATCTTTCAAACTACATGCAGGCTTTCTGTTAAAGTGTGTGGCCTCCATACCCAATGAGAGATGACCCTGATGACATCACTATGACATCATCATGGCTAGAAACAGTGTCCCCATTACACCAATAATATAATAATAATCATCCACAATTTTGGCATTTGGGTGAACTGGCCCTTTAACATGCCCTGGGCTGAATCTCAACTCTGCATCTTTGCTTGCTTTTGTTTTGGTAAGATTTAATCTGGTTTCTACACAGAATGGGGGAAAAAAAATGTGTGTGTGTGCAGTATATACAGTTAACTGACATGTTAATACAAAATGGAAAAAAAAATCAGTTTTGACAAGCAGTTGCGTCAGTTTTCAGTTTGTGTTCAGCGTGTGTTGAGATTCAGCTCAGAGTGCAGACAGGCTTCTTTTAAAGCTCTGACTTCAACATAAACGCTGCTGGGATGTTCATATTGTTTTTGTTTTCAAAGTACCATGCTTCTTCTGAATACAATGAGGAAAGTAAATAATTGTTTGCTTTTAAACAAAATCACCTGTGAGTCTTACAGCAGGACTAGTTAGTGATTTCCGGAAAAGGCTTTAGAAAAACGCTGATGGCCGTTCAGACTGTTATTACTGGTCTGCTGGGAGTGTGTGCGTCAGACGGCAGACAAGCTGCAGGTTGTTTGTGCCCCGACATGGACTGACGTGTAATCTCTCCTGTTGGCCACACCTTCACGCCCTCCTCTCACAAAAGCCCCCCTTTTTGTTACTTTTACCCAGCAGGCACTGGGAGCTGGACGTCTCGCTCACTTTTCAGTCCTTCGGTGGGGATCACAAGTAAAGTTGTGAATTTGACGTGTTTAATGTTTTTCATATATATTATTTTTTTTTTTTTTTAGAGGCGGCACTCATGAGCTTGCTTGTGATTCGCACTCCGACTGGCTGAAAGGCGGAGGAGAGCCGCAGCAGCAGAAAGGGCTCTTGGCATTTTCAAAAGTCTGTTAACTCCACACATCAAATGTCAGAGAAGCTTCACTGAGACGCCCACTCTGCTGAACACCTATTCTATGACCTCCTTGCACACACACACATTATTTTGTAAAATAAATGAATGAAATAATATATTCAGATACCTATATAGCATTTAAGAAAAATGTATAGAATCCTCGAATAGTGGCTCACTTATTTAGTCACCAAAAGATAATTTTTTTTAATTTCTTTATGTTGTTAATTGCAGAAAGTATATTTTGCAACCTGTTGATTTTTTTTTTTTTTGTTTTTTTTAATAGAGAAGCAGGGTGTCCTGTTTTGATGCTGCAGTGGTTTTCCCTTTTAAATGCGATCATTGAGGTTTTGTTGTTGAATTGCTGTGAAAATTCCAGACAATTCAATTGCCACAGGATAATCAGCGTCTGAGAGACGGGGAAACGAGAGATGGTTCTGATCTGTTGCTCCGGCGGTGACCGTCATGTCTGTTTTTTGTATCAACAATCACAGCATGATTTGTGGATGTACTGATATCCCGATTACGAGGGGGGAAAGGGGGTGAGAGTCAGATGTGTTATCTAGCGTCATGTGACTGCTGACAGGTCAAAATGAGGTAGGGAAAAACCCCGTGTGTGTCTGTAGCCAATGAGGCATCTATGCACCGAGAGAACAGTGGTCCAAAACAAGCAGCCTGAACCCAAATAATAGCCCACACACAAAAACACACACACACACACACACACACAAACTCTCTCTACTCCATTCAAACCCATGTACAAACACTACCTCTACTTTGTACACACAGATCTACACTGAGCTTCTATCTCCTTTGTGACGCTCACTTTCCACATCTGCATCATCGAGAATGGCCTTTAGTTGTTGTTGTTGTTGTTGAAAATTTGTGGTTTTCTCCGTTAATGAGCTGGAGCTTTAAAGGTACAGCACACGGCCGTGGACTTTTTTCATTTTAACAATCTTATTGTTGAGACTGCCAATCTTTGGGGGGGGGTAAACACAAGTGTGTGTGTGATAGACAGCATGATACTACTTAATCATACCGGAGCTGATTCACGGATCTTGTGTTCCTGTTGGATTTAAAACACGTCAGTAGAATCAGCAGATGGTTGAAGTGTGCAGTGGAGCGCTGTTTAAGGCGATCAGAACAACAACAGGCTTGAAGTGTTGTTTTTTTTTTTTCTCTCACTGCCCTCCTGTGGAATTGGTGAACGTGTTTAATTCAACAGCTTGACCTTCAGTCTTTCACATAGAATAGTACAATATGAATTTGTTTGCCCCTCATTGATGAGATGTTATATTCACAAAAACACTTGAACAACTGTTGGCATGGCAACCACAGTGGCACTGCCTGTCCAAACATGAATTTCTCTGAATTTATTTGAGATGGTACTACTGCATTGACTGTGCAGCCGCTTAAAAATGTAAATGTTCTCTTCATCTGCAGAGACTGGAATACTGACCTGCAACCAGAACATATTTACATGGTAGTCAGTTTCTGACGGTGCTGTAAAGCTGGCCTGTAATCTATTAAGAGATGATTTATTCCAAGGCTTCACACTCCTCCAAAACATATGTTCAAACATTTCATAACCCATGATTTGTTAAAGACAGACTATCAAATGTCAAAAGACTTGAAAAAGATGGCTAAATGAGACGCGTAGTGTCCCTTTATCAGCCCAGACTGAGGCCACCGAGTTCTCTCACTGTCCCCACAGATGCACCGACTGCAGCATGAATCTGTATTTTCACCACCATCACAGGCATGTGGGGCAGCAAGCTTGTTTTGTTCAACAATCCATGAATGTGAATGTCTTTAAAAAAACAAAAAACAAGGCTATTTTTTGCACATAACATTAAGTAGACACTGCCACGGAGTGCATCGAAAATAAAGCTGAAAGTGCGTTGTGCTTTTCAGTATTAAAACAAGCATCATGGTTGGTGGTTGTATGTGGGAGGGTTGGGTAACGTGGTAAACAGGTCATCAGTTAACGTTGCCAGGATGATCCCTTGCTGTGTTTTTTTTGTTTGTTTTATTTTTTCCCCTCCCAAGAAGTTCTCTTGGCCTGCATATGTTGTATTTCTCTTCACTCACGCTGACGCGCTTTATCAGAGGCGTCACTGCAACGGCCCAGTAATCACTTGACGTGAGTGTGTACGTGTGAATGCATCGAGCGATGGTGCGACTGTGTGTGTGCGTGTGTCTCTTTTGGTGGAGACTGGTGCCAAGCAGTTTTATTACGGGTCTCTCACAAAGGGATCACTCGTGCTTTTGTTTGATTTTCCTCCTTGTTTCCCTTCTGTTTGATAAGCACTTTGAACCTTCTCGTGTCTGTCAGAGGAGTGTGTAGCTGTACATAGCAATTTCCTGTGACAAGTGCTCCTTGTTCAGTCTGAATATTTTGTTTTGTTGGATTTTCTTTAAAGAGCATTACATTGTTGTAGAATTAAAGGAAAAATAAACTAATTAAACCTACTGTGTTGTCTGCTAGCAGCACCTGATACCTGCTCTCCCTGATTAAAGCTGATGCATGATGGAAAACCTGCAGCTGAAAACACACACACACACAAGAAAACACTTCAGTCATGTTTAATGTGTGTACTGGTATACATCTCTAAAAATCAAGAAAATCTTAAGTTACTGTCTAACATCAATGTCTACTTATTGAATGCAAATTCAAGTGAATACGTGACAGAAAAGAACAACCAAGAGAGCGAATCAAGATCATAAAGCAACAAGTGCTGCTCTAAGTTAGTCATGCTCACCGATGTGACCAATGGAGGTGGTCTTACTGGCTCTATAGAAACAATACTAGAAAGTGACGACCCCTGACGATTATTAGACTCAATAGCACTGCACAGACACAGGACATCTGTACCATAATCAGCAGCAGCGGACTAAGAGCAAGCTGAGGCCGGCATCAGAGGCAGAGCTGCGTGTTTCTTGATCTTAGGTTTGCTTAAAAACAACACAAGGAACACTTGGAGCAAAACGTTGCTTAACAATTGTTTTACAAAGTATGGCCGGACGATGACTGTCAATAAAGCAATCGGATGCAATTATATATCAAAGGCTATTTAGTCAAGAGGACCATACATTTGATCCAAAGAAGACTGGTCATGTAACAAAGGACGAGCTTTTAACTCCTGTTCAAATCCAATCTCATGTGCAAAGTGTTGCCTCATCAGAACTCTTTCTCATCATCATCATTTATGTCCGTGATTAAATGTTGGTTTGATTCTCTGATCAGAGAACATGATATATCAGATTCTAATGAAATGTTGATACTGTATTTCCTAACCAACAACAATATTAATCTCCCTGCAACATCTTTAGAAACTCATTTTTAAAAAAAATAGACATGGCTTTACCGGCCGACTATTCCCTTTTATCTATAAAAACTCAGACAGCAATATTTACAACTTTGAGTATATGTTAGAAAGTAGATTCTCTTGATCTGTAGATCAGCGAAGGTTCCCTGCCATCACATCTACTGTGGGATTTCTCCTGTGAAAGCACGAGTCAGAAAAGAGGATTGTCGCGGGGAGACGTCTCCCAGTGCAGGTTTACGTGTTGTTGAGCGAGGAACTGAGACCGCACTATGTACAGGCAATGGGGCGTGTGGAGTGTGTGTTTGTGTGTGTGCTTGCACTCAAAAGTGGATCAAGGGTTTCCCCCTTAGTTTCTCTTCAACCTCCAGTCAGGAGCGGCGCTGAGCTGGATTCACACTGATGACTGATCCCATACCTGCAAGACAAGAAGAGGGACAAAGAGTTCAACAGCTGGCACCATTTGAGTTCACAATTTCAAATTATGTGTGTGAATGCGTGGGTGTGTATGCATATTCATATTACATCCTCTTGTGCTATTAAATGCTTAGTAACAGGTTTTTGTAATTGAATGATATTTTCTCACATCTGAGTTTTTTTCCCTCAATGACTGACTTAAAATGATAGCACAAGTTAAATGATAAGGCTTGTGGTATTTTTTTGTCCTATGAAGAGACCAAAACCAACATCGTTTTAGTCCGTCTCACAGTACGTTCAAGCTTCTTTATCTATGGCTATGGCTCTCAACTCATGTTACTGCAGACAAAATCTTTTATTAATAAATTAATTGCAATTTTAAATAAATAATAATTAAAAAAACTAACAGGTGTGCACTGTTATTATTATTAATGTTGCTGGGGACTATTTTCAGGGGCGGATAAATAAGCATTTGGTATAATGAGTATTTACAGCAGCAAGCGGTGTGTGGGTGCCTGAGTGTGTTGTTGACAATAAGAAAAATATAATTTATTGACAAAATTATCTTTTAAAATAAATTATTTAATTCTTAAAATATGGCAAAAAAAGTGCTTGCCACTTTCACACACTACATTCTCTACACATCTCTTTGCATACTTGTGTCCTCATACATAAAAAAGTTCTAACAGCTAGATAAGGAACGGCTGGGGATTAACGGATGATGCAACATGAAGAATAGGACCATGAATTATAATCAAATCCAAGATGCAAAGTCACAAAGCGCTTTTAGAGAACTCTCAAATTTTCTCAGACCTACGATATTGAGTATTGTTTTCATGCTTTTTCATGGTTGTTGTTTTTTCCATTATATTTTACTGCTGTTCCTTCATAAGATAAATCTAAGCGGTCACAAGCTGATAAACAGGATAGGAAAGAGGAAGAAAAAACATTACTGCTACACAAACGTTTTCAGATGTTTTAATTTCATGTGAAATTCTGTATCTCTTCAACACTCTTAAACTCTTGAAATGAAACAAACTGAAAGCAGAACGTCTTTCTTTGGTCACACTGCCCATGGCTCAAAGACGTACAACATGTGACGAGGGGTCGCAAGCCAAAAAGGTCGGGGACCACAGGTCTAAACTACAAATATAAGTGCAGTGATGGATCCTTCCTGTGTTGTGTGTTACATGATCTTAGTTTTGGTTGTTTAAAGAAAGAAGAGGGGCATGCTTCATTCATTTAATTATATGCTACAGATGTTAAGCACCCAGCCATCGGGACACCCCTTCTCTACCTTGTTAACAGGGGCGAGCTGTGTTCGCACAGACCCAGCATGAAGTCGGGTGCTGTCCCCGAATCTCCCAGGAGACCTTTCCCTGCGACTGTCAAGCACCCTGCCGGGCGACTTCTCCCTGTCCAGCGGTCGGGCAGGAGACTTGTCCCGTCTGAACTCGGTGCGGCCCTCCCGGTAACGGTGTGGGGTGCTGGGCTCCCGGTGCAGACCGTCATGGCTGCCAGGGCCCGAGGACAAACGCTTGGAGATGTGCTCTGTGTAGGTGGGCGGGCCTCGCTTACTGGGACTACTGTAGAAAACACAGCAGAGAGCGGCGGCTCACAACAGTGTCTGAAAATGTTACCCGGGAACAAGAAGATTTAATATTTCTACAGCAGATGGCACTGTTGGCCTTTCCAATAAAAACAACACCCGATCCAAGTGGGTTGAACTGACAGTTCACATCGAATGTGTTTTGAGCTAACATGTTTTTATAAGTGTTTTGTAGGTGTTAATCCACCCACGCACTATCATTTAAATTCTGTGATTTTTTCCACTCGTTTTTTCTGTTTTGCACAAACTAAGTAAATGATCTGACCCTCTGCTGGAGCCGGTCCTCTGCAGCTCTCCAGACTCTCTGATCAGACTTCCCTTACAGCAGATGACCCGCAGTTTGTTCTGGTAGGAGGAAGCCAGGTAAATGGCCCCGGAGGAGATGGCTGGGCCCAGGTAGCGAGGGTTGGGGATGTCCAGGTGGGCCAGCACTGTAGGACTGAAAGTATTGACAACAATGTGGGAAATTTAGCTAATAACCAAAATGAAAAGCTGTTCACATTTGGTCCAAGGTAGCCGGTCGTTCTCACCCCAGAGAAGCGTGTCCCTGGACCTCGATGACGTCCAGGGAGTTGAAGTAGGTGACAAACAGGTAGGGCTCTCTGTAGGCTGCACCAAAGAACAACGGACAAGTCATACAGATGTCAAAATGTGATGCTGCGTTGCTGGCTGCTGTAGCATAAAGCAGTAGGAGTTTCAAAGTTTATTTACCAAAAGACAAAGGCAGGCGGCTCCACTTAATGTCCTCAGTGCGGCTTCTTCGTCCATACGTGTCCACAAACACTCCAAACTCTGCCACATAAATACAGTTTACTATACACTCCTCTTATTTTGTAAAATCACTGACAGTTCAATTCAAAACTAATACAAGTTCACAAAGTACAATTTGAGAGTAAACATCAAAAACACAGAGATAGGGCAGGAGAGGAAAAAACAAAACATATTTTGTATTCACACTGGTGTTTGCTGCCTCACAGCGAAGGTCTGTTCTGTAGTTATCTTGTGTTTTATCCAACTACCATGCTGAGAGCACTTCACCATCTTTTGCTGTCAACAGAAAACACAGAAACAGTGTGTGGAGTAGTCCCGAACGCACCGTGAAAACACAGCAGGTACTCCTCCTTCTGCATGCTGCTGGCCACCTGCATGATGGCGATGGGGAAACTGTGGGACGAGGCCGCAAACACCGCCGAGGCCAGCGACGCGTCGTTCTTGTCCAGGAACTCTGCAGCGGACGAATCAAAAAAAACCTGGGTCAAACACTATTTCTGAATTCTTTGTCTTTATTTACTGCTGTGGCCTCTGAGTGTCAGGGGGCCTGTCTCACAAAGGTTCAAGGTTTCACTGAGCACAGTTAATCCAGCAAACACAATCCTACTTCAGGAGACAAGTTTAATAAATTAGGACAACTTAAATACTGTCATATCCTGTCATAACCTGATGGTGTGTGTAAACTTTAATAAACTTTTTCTTCAAGCAGGTAAATCATAAAATACAATAATAGCTCTAAAAGCTAACAGATCAAGGTCGGTACATCAGAGTCGGACCTCAGTCACAGACAGGAAAGGAACAGGTTTGAAGTTTTCCCTCAAGTTTTGACTTTTAAACACCGTTATGTTTATGTTTGGTTACGGTTTCCTAAAACCACAGCATCACACTCTCCTCGTCTCCTCACCCTCGAGCACAAACTGTTTCATCTCAATCTCGTAGAACTTGTTGGTGCCGATGATGATGCTGTAGCTGGTCAGGTGGACGCAGCTGCAGGGCTCCAGAGTTTCAATCTCCTGTGAGATGAAGAATGCAGACGTGAGTGACAGACTACGCTTTGCGCCTTTGCTCTTTCATACAAGAAACTCTTCTGATGGCAAAGGACACTTTTTTTTGTACTTGGTATTCTCTATTTGTTAAGAAAACACATGGGAAAGAATCTACGTCATCCATGTCTTGCCCTTATTTTCAGCTTTTTTAAAATTGTATTGCTTTTCATTCTGCTACTACGGAAGAAAACTTTGTGTCAGTGAGGACTTTTATACAAAAGTTCCAGTAGTGTCTTTGTGATGGTCTGTATAAGCACCACTTTTCCCATTTCCCCTGATTCATCCCTCTTTTCATTGTGTTCCGTTGCTGTTTCAGTGTAGCGTTTCCCAGAACTGTACGCTAGCATGTGATATATTGTGGACAAATGGAACTAACAGGTCAGACTCACCTTACGAATGCAGTATTTGTTGAGGCTGTCGTTGTAGCGCAGAATGGTTATCTTGTTGGGCATCGCAGCGCATATACAAGGCCCATTGTCTATCTGCAGAGAGAAAGCAGACGTCGGTTCCCAAAGTCAGTTTGTACAATCCCATTTTTCCACAGGCAAAAAAGGAAAGCGCTTTCAAGTCGGGAAGCAGGACAGTCTCAGGAGGAGAAGAAGACTTACTCTCCCAGCAGCAAACAGATGGCAGCCCTTCACCGTCTCAAAGATGTAGGGAGCCAGTTCAGACTGGCTGGGCAGGTGGGACTGGGCCAGAGACTGCTTCACCCTCTTGATCTCCACCAGACACAACGCCCTCTCGTCTCCTGCAGCACACACACACACAGACGTCGCGCTGATGCACCTTTTCTACAAGTTCCGCCAAAACGATTAGAATGGTAGTGTGGCCTTTCAAAGGTTTTAATCATGAATAATAACTGCAGTGCCTCAATTTAGCTAATTACTTAAAATGGCAGTTAGTTGTGACAAGAGATATTGGTGTTTGGATTTATGAACAACACTCCACTACCTGAACTGAGTGAATTTAAAGTCTAGACTAGAATTCTGCTGCTCAGTAGACACTTCTCATCTACTGAAAACAGACAAAGCCTCACCTACAATCATCAGCAGTTTCTCCTGCTCTTTGACGATGTGGATCTGAAAGACTGATCCCAGGCCGGGGATGTGAGTCAGAGAGTTCTTGATGACATTCAGGGCGTACAGACCCTCTTCAGAGCCCACCAGAACTATCTGCAGCACAGCGAGAAGACACAATCATTAACATAAACATAATTAGTCCGAGACATTTCAAACGGCAGCAACATGCGGCAAACCTTGGCAGTGAGCCGCGAGCATCTGCTCCGTACTCCATGTCCCTTCATGAGTAAAGATCTTTCTACTTTTGAACATGACTGCTACTGTGGATTACCCATTTTCTAAATGACCAAATGTCTAATAGCAGATTCATTACTTAAGAAATAGAGTGTAATGGAGTGTAATATATTTATATATAATATAGTGTAAATATGTTTACTGTATGGCAGGAGACAACAGTGCCAGTACTCTCCAATAAAATTAAGAGAATGACACTGGTACCTGATCTGTGAGAGGGAGGGTGCAGTTTATATCCAGCCTATCATCTCCCTCCAGCTTTAGGAGAGAGTTTCCTAGCAGCTTCTGTAAGAGCAGAGAGAGGTGAGGGGTCAGCGGGGTCTCGACCTCAACATGACCTCGGGGGGAGTTACCAGAGGAAAGGGGGGTGGGAGGGGGGTGGAGGGCTGGACGGCCGCAGGACTGTGTGCAGGTTAACAGTGTCAGAGGTGGGACCAAGTCACAAGTCCGTGTCCAGTTTTAAGCCTCTCACAAGTAGAAAGTGAGTCAAGTCGTTGCATCGTTAACCCTTAAAGCACCTTTAATTCGGAACCTCTACCAAACAGCAGAGATTACTCCATTTACAGGTGAAGTACACGTTCAACAATCTGTATACATATTTCTCTACTAAAGGTTTTAATTACACACGTGTGATAAATAAAACATTTTACATACAGTATAACACAAACATGACACTAAAGAAAATGAATATACAAACCAAAAGGTTAACTAATGGTATATTTCCTGTTCATTTCAGTCTGGACACAGACTTTAGGCAGCCATTGTACAGCTCCAAGTAATCAGAGTGAAGTGGTCAAAGTCCACAATCATTATTGTGTTTAAATGTGGCTTTGTATGACTCAGTATTAACAGTTACCTTTAGTGGCAGTATTGTTATAAACAAAACCCCCAAAAAACCAAACAATTCATACTGATATAATAATTTCCACAAATATACAATAGAATTACATCACATTGATCATCGTGACAACAGTTTATAATCAGTAATCTATGGCAATATTCAGTTAAAACAAAACAAAAAAAAGAAAAAGTTAACAACATTATCACTGATTTTAAAGTTTAAATCACACATCAAACATCAGACTTTTTAGGGGGTTATTCACTTCACATCATTCTGTTCAGTAAACCCTCTGAAACTAAACTACATCCAAAAATATGATTACCAGTGAAAGGTCCACCATAAACAGGCCACATGACAGAAAGATTGTCCTAAATTCCTGGAAGCAGGCCAACTGAAACTGATCGCAGTGCACTCTGGGGATTGTTCTGGGCCTAACGTACTTCTGCTAGCAATGATTAATCAATATAAGTTAAGCACAGCTAATTTTTTTAGAAAGATATCACAACTCTACCAAACGGCTGATAAAAACCATTGAAGGGTTTTAATATTTAAATCTGACAATGTAATCAAGATCTACACATCGCCACACCTAAACTTCAAGTTACACAACAATAATTTAACGTTTACCGCTTTTATCAGATAATGCTCAACAAAGAACTAGCATAATCTTTATAAAGTTGTTTTGTCAATATGTATTCAATGACGAATAAAGTTTAATAGCATATGGTGTCTCACTCAAGACTGGCTAACCTGATTGTACCTGTTAATGAACACGTATTCCCATACTAGCATGGGAAATTTTTGAAGTCGGATGTTATAAGATGGCGACGAAAATATTATTTTGTCGATGCATGCAATGGTCACCTCCAAACTGTACATTTTATAAAGTTTCTGTCGCTCAGTTTGTGACTTGTGTCTCACAGATGAGTCACAGTCACGTGACTTGAGTCCCAGTCTCTAAACAGTGTGCAGAGGGGCAGCGGGGTAAAAACATAGACGAGTACACAAGCAGGTAAAAACCAGCTGTCTGATCCCTGGTCCTCTGGACAGGACAGCTGAAGAGGATCAACCCAAAGATGCTGAAACATCTTGGTGAGACGTTGTGTACTGTGGTTATAAAACAGGACACCAAAGGCAGGGAAAAAACATTTCAGCACTATTCAAACTAATACATCAACACAGAGTTTGTACAGGACATGACAGTGTAGCAGAAGATAGTGAGAGTGAGGAGTGGTCAGCAGGTGAGGTGAGAGCAGTGGGGAGGAAGGGGGGGGGGGGGTGACCAACCAACACAATGACAGACACATGCACTACTGCGTGCCTCGTGAAAAATATGCATGTGTGTGTGTCAGTAAGTCTATATCTTTGTAACTCTTTACCTGGACCAGAGGAGACAGAACCATTTGTCTTTTGGACACAGCAGCCTATATGTGCAATGAAACCCAATGGAATGGGCAAAATAGAGCAAATCAACAAAACATGCCCATATACCGGACATACAGTGTGGCACGATGAAAAAAGCAACAAACAGCAGTGAGAAAGACAAAGAGAGAGAGAGGACAGAAAGAGAAGAGGAGAGAAGAAGGGGACAATTAACGACACATATAAGTGACCCGGGGGTTATTCATTACAACTCTGAACCTAAATCCTACGTCTCAAAATGAATTCTTGAGGAATATAATAGCCGCCGCTCGTGAATAGCCCCCACACAGTTAAACGGCGAGTTTATGACCACAGCCACAGATAAGAAAGTCAGCTGTCGCGGTGGTCATAGCTGTTTATGCTTTGAGTCAGCAGACTTTCAGGACCCTCTCCTGCTCCAGAGATACTCACTGCGTCGGCCTCGGCCTTCTCCCGTGAAGCTCGGCCCGCGGCCACCACGGACTCCATGACCGCCACCCAGCGCTGTTTGTCTGGGAAACTGGGCGCCATGAAGTAAATTGACTGTCCAGGCCAGCAGGGGGCGTGGCAGCGGGACTCCAGCTTCAGGACATAGGAAACATCTGGCACAAAGAAAAACATTATGAAGGCATGACTGCAGAACTGTTGTCTTATTTTAATGGTTTCTAGTTGATCGTAATGAAATCAAACTATGCTTCATTTAGCTGGGACTCTTGGGAACCCTGTAAATGACCCCCTCCAGGTCAAGTTTGGAGAACCATAACTCCTTTAAAATACATTTTTAAAGGAGTACAAAATGTGAACAAACTTTAAATCATGGCGGGGGGGGGGATTCTGAAAGAAAGTGTCAAAATCAATGTAACAGCACACTTTGTATTCAGTACCTGACTTGGCGGTGTTGGTTAGCTCAGATGCCCCTACTGCTCCATGAACAACCACCTCTCCATCTGACAAACACAAGTCAAACTCTTCCAGTGGCTTCACTGATTCTGAATAACACAAAGAGAAAAAAGCATGGCTGGATTTAGAGGCAGTATTTGTCTATGAGCTGTTGCTGTATGTTGTCCTGCTACACAGGTAAAAGAAAGCAACCTTCTCTGGGCTCTATCTCGTAGATGGACACTTTAGTCCCATCCAGGACCACATACTTTCTCTCCCAGCCCTGGCCTCGCTTCCCATTCCTGCAAGCACACAAGGCAACTGCATTACTACATAGCATAGATGACGAAATGGATAGAGGGCTTTTGCAGGGAACTCTACAAATGCCTTTGTTTAAACTGCTTTAAGTACCAGATGGGAGGACTTTGCCAGACAGAACACAACAGAGAGTGCCTGAGAGTTATTGCGTTTAGTATCATCAGCCTCCCTGATCAGTGGGAGGAGATGACACAGCCTCACAGAGAGGAAGCACAAAAGAGAAACTACATTGCTCGGGACAAATACACAAACGGGCGTGTAGTACATGACGGATTGGCAGCATTAAGTGTCTTAGTAAGGTCTTGGCCACCACAGGTCTCCAGAACAGCTTCAGTGCTCCTTTTTTTTTCGGATATGGTCCACATCATTTTAACTCATTAAACTATTCAGTGACTCCTTGTGTTCTGTTTGGGAGCATCTGATTGTGCATGTTTTTACACTTATTTATTAAGGTTTTTCCTTAAAATTCTCACCCATCTGTATGTGTAAATCAGACACACCATCAACTCTAGGACCCCAATGCATGCTCTGCACCCCAACGGTAAGACTCATTGGCACAGAATGGGTGGGACAAACGATTGAGCAATGACACCCGTTGGGTCAGTTTCTCCGTAGCTAACCTGGGCTGTTTCATCCAGCCCTCCAGGTGCATGTGTCCGCTGGCTTCTTTCAGCTGTTGGCCTGCGGAGCTACCTTTGTCCCGACACAGGCCCTCAGACAGATGCAGGGAGCAGTCGCTGGACATGCCACACGTGGCTGGAAGGCAGGGGGAGCATTTTGGGTGGCACAAAGCGTGACATTCTGAGGAGAAGAAAACACTGCTAAAGAGACAGCAACACCACACAAGCTTCCGGCTCCTCTCTACGCCCCTTTGTGCTACCACCAGCACAACAGGAAGTGGGTGGGTCATCGTAGCGACTATAAAGTAGAGTTTAAATAAAAGCCTAAACTAACTAAGGAGCATGGCCAAGTCTGCGCTCAGTGCTGCTCAGTGCAACATCTCAAAGCCAACATACAAAAATTTTATATTTTGTATTTTTAATTTGTAATCAGTCCATTTTAGTGATAACACTGGGACAGATATTTTTTAACATGTTTCTTTCATTCTTCTAAGTTTGGAAAAATGAAAGCTTCAAATAGTGGTGTCAGACACGAAAAAATAGCACTGTTATAAAGGTAAACAATGGGAATGAGTTAGGGGCAACAGCAGCAGCCATCACCATAGCTTCATAACTACACTCCCATATAGCATCTGTATAATAATTTCCATTTATAAAATAAAGATATAAATGATTTAATAGATAAATAAAAGGAAGGCTAACATCCTCACCAAGACAGGTAGCAGCTTGGCGACCAAAGTGCACTGTATCCAGGCACACGGTACACTTGGCAGCTCTCATGTTGAGTCCCACTGTGAAGCGGTGCGGGGTGTTGTGGTGCACCACCCTCTCTCTCTCCCTCTCTCTGTCTCTCTGACTGTCCTTCAAACGACGACTATACTCTGAATACAGTCAGGGAACACAGTGAGGGCAGGCAGCTCCAGTATGTCTTACTGTGTCAGGTACATCCATCACTTCAAAACCTCAGTGCACCATGCCGTGCCCACTATGAAATCAGTTCAACAAAAGAAGGTTTCCAAAAGAAGTGTAAGATGTTTAGCAAAATGCATAAGCAAGAAAACTCTGAAGACTAAAGTGCTTGGAAAAGAATATAGATTGAATCAATCCCTTTGCTTTTGCCCACTCACTGTTACATTAAAGGCATTATCCAGTCAGTGTCAATCTTGTCAGTTTGTGTCAAGTATTCCTTGTTTGTCTACACACCACAACATTTTCTGAGAACTTGTTGAGGTCAACATGAGGTACATTTGGACATGATATGCTGTCCATATTCAAACCCATGAGTTTTTACACTTAGAAATATTCATGTTTTAGATATATATAGATAGATATTATAGCAAACAACTCAGATAGGTAATGATAATTTATGGATTTTCCAAAGTTTTTATTTCCCATAATATACAGTTATTGAGGGATATAATTACAATAATTATATTTTGTCAAGTTGATTTTACACTTTTTTATGTTTGTATTGTTTTCTAATTATGTTTTATTTGCCTTCCTTCTTTCTGTTGCAGAATCACCACATTTTCACACAAGGGTCAAAATCAGTTTACACTGACATAAGATAAAGTTGTTGCTGTAACTTTGACTCTTCTGTAAGAAGACATATGAGTGAGTGAGTGGATAATCCCTTTGGTTCTTTTCAGAGTGTGGGTTCAAATAGCATTTTGTGCGTTGCAGAGTTCATCATACGGTACACCTCTATCAGTGTATGATGTGAAGTTCAGGTGGGATTGTAGTGAGTTAAAGAGCATAGCAGAGTTAGGCCAATCAGATTGGCTAAGCTTCAGCAACCAAGATAAAATGCTTCAGATTTCTAAAGCTGTGCACTTTAAAAAGGGGAAATTTACTTGAAGATTTCTCAGCCTCACGTGACCAGCCAGCTGGGATCTTCTGTATTATAAAAGTGCGCAGCTTTTAAAATCTGGCCTTTCAAGGATGTGGATGAGGCAAAAGTAGAAGAGAGATAAGAGACCAAAACTGCAGAAACCATGAGTTTGGACAACTTACTTTCAAAAGTGACCCTCCTTCTCTCTGAAAGGTGTGTGAAAGAAAAAGGATAGTAAGAGCTTCATAAATGGTCCTTTGTGATTGATATTACCTGTGTGTGTGTCTGTATTTGTGCAGGTCAGGGCCGCTATGTGTCAAGTACGAAGCTCTAAAACTGTATGTGTGTGTCTGTTAGTGAGAAAAAGTTGCACTTCAGTAAACATCATCTCTTTCACTCACCCTCAGGCGTTGCAGTCTCCTTCCTGCGTCCAGAGTTGGAGGGTGCCAGGTTGGTCGGGCCCTGCTGGTGCTCAGGAGACTTCACCATGGCAGACATAATCATCTGCTGCCGTGCTGTGGCCGGGTTTGGAGCGTTACCATGATCTTTATACTGGAGCGCTGGGGTTGGAAGAATTGATTCATTGAACTTACAAATTATTACTGTTTATGTGTACGATAATGTTGCTCACATTTTCGTATTCTTATTCTAACTTTCTCTTCTGTGTGCCACGTCAGATTCAGCAAACGCTCCAAAATTCAGACAACTGTGTAAATAAATACCTTAAAAGGCTAACCATCTATAATTTTTAACAGTGCCAGCTGTGAAATTAAGGGAATAGGACTGGATCGAGTTACGACTCAAACAAGTTTCACATTTGCAGAAGCACAGCCCGTGGTCATCTAAACTGCGACAACAACCATTCAGCTGTCTCTGCCAATAAATCAGCACACTGTCACTCTCTTCCAAGGGCCTGCTGCACTAAACCATCCAAAAGATCACACTTCCAGTTAAATGCAGGGACATATTATCCTTCAATTAGAGCATAATTTAAGTCGTTTTGCAGTTTGAGATATTCATATTAATATTGTGGAGTTAAGCAGTAGCATTAATATCAATTTTAAATGGATGATATCATTACGCTATATGAATATATTTAGAATTATATTATAATTTGAATTGCAGAGTCAAACGGGATAATGTCAACATAATTATGTAGTTTAAGTTTCTGAAAGTAATGAATAATGAAATATAAAATCCATTAGTGAAAAACATAGTTTGGGATAACAGCAGACTCCTATGACAGGTCTGGATCACTCCTTAATTGTGTACGTACCATTTCAAAATACAAGAAAATTGTTCTCCTGAATCACTCGCACAAGCCACTTCAGAATGAATCTGTTCAATTCTTGCATGGGGACCAATGTTAGTATTAGACCTTTGCTAAAATAAATGATGTGTGAAGGTATGCGTTAACTGCTGTAGAGAAGCAGTCTCACCTTCCTCTCTCAGAGATCGCAGCTCCGCTCTCATCTTCTGCAGAGAGTCTTCCAGCTCAGAGCAGCGAGCACGCTCTTTGTCCAGAGCTATCTTCATGTCGCTGTACTGCAGAGGCACGGGCTGGATGGGGGGCACAGGGGAAACCTGGCCTTGACCCTGACCCTGACCTTGACCCTGGCCCTGAACCTGACCCTGTGCCTGGGCCTGGGCAGCCATGGCAGCCAAAAGGTCCTCTCGACGACGCCCAAACAGACCCTGAGGCACAGGAACCAAAAATGTGTTGCTTTAAACCATCACTATGCACCTTACATTTCCACTTGTTCTAATTCAGTGTCTGTATGGTTATAATCTACAACTCTTTCTCTACAACTCTTTCACCTAGTCACTTTGTCCCTTTTGCTATGCCATTATCATGTTAAACAAATTTTTTGTCTAATGCCAAAACTTTTAAAAACTTAAAACATTTCAAACCGAATAAATCCCATCTGACCTTTTTCTTCTTGGAGCCACCATGTGCCTGCGACTGGAGGAAGTCTATGAGCTTGGTCTGCTGGGTGATGGTCCCCTCCATTTTCACCTTCTCATGGGAGTACACAGCCTGCAGGTGGAGCTAAGTGAACATCACTACTGCCATGAATTTCTCCTCAAGTACTTCACTTCACACAGAGAGGGTGACAGAGAGAAGGGGGTGGGGGTGTATGCTCTGGGGTAAAACAAAGTGTTGGGGGGTGGGGGGGTATGTGTTTATATATGTGTTTATGTGTCTTTCACTTTTGACAGTAACAGAACAGTGGGGGAGAAACTAATCACAGACTTGCTCCCAGTCCAGCAGATGAACATGCAGTGACCGAGAACTCCTTACAATCTCTCAGAATGTGTTTTCTTCCTGGTGGATAAACATTAGTAGGTATATGTGTGTGTAGCAGCACCTGGATGTTCTCCAGCTGGTATTCCAGGTCAGTCCTTTCAGTCTTCAGCAGGTCAGTCTGGTCCAGAGCGTCTTGCAGTCCCTGGGTCAGACGGAAGATGTGGGTCTTCTGGGCATCCATCTGCTGCTGCAGTTTCTCTTGCTGTGGAGGTACCACATCTGTTACATCACCACCTGGAGGCTGTGACTTTGCCACATCTTTAGAACTGACTGCTTCCAATGATAGCGGCAACTAAACCTTTCAGCATGGTTTGACATTTCTTACCACTATGACTTTACAGAAAATCAAGTTCATTTTTCTATTCTGGCTACTGATTTACAGAAGTGGTGTAAATCTAACACGATGCAACACTTTATATAATGCAAAAGAACAGTAGATATCAAAGAGATATACATGTGGAAATACAGAAAGTACCTCCTCCAGCAGCCTCTGCTTCAGATCCCTCTCACTCTCAAGCTTTTGCTGCAAACTGCGGGCGTTCATCTCCAGCATGGCATGCTTCTTCTCCAGATCATTCAACTGAGAACAGAAAGCATGAAGAGTTTGCACTAACAAAAAGTAAAATACTTATTCAACAGTGTGTAAATGCTTACAGTGTCGGCGAGGCTCTCGGCTTTGAGTTTCTGGTCTTTGAGGGCCTGCTGCAGGGCCAGGATCTCAGATTTGTGCTCCTTAACTGCCTGTTCCACAGCCTGGCGAGACTCAGAGCTGCGCTGCTCTGCACGAAGCCTAGAGCATATAGAAGACCAGTTTACACTAGTTTTAAGTGCACACTCTTCCAGTACAGCTATAATGTTTTTACTGCCTTTTAACTATATATATATATTGTATTTCTACACAAGCAGGGAGTCTACAGTTCCTTTTAAGGGTTAGTTTAAAGACACATATTAAAAGACTCTGTGTTTTAATATGCTTTTTGTGCACCTAGTTTTCATCACCTGCCTACACCAAGTCAGAAAATAATTTCATATATTTCCCAGAATACCTTTTGACAAACCCTGGAGAATATGCCTAAACCTGTTGCATTCAGTGTGTGTAGGCGGAGGGTGCCAGATCCAGCACAGATAGCAACAGCAACGTACAGAGCAAAAAAGAGCTTTTTTTCCCGTCTAGAATAAATAGAATCATAAAATGTAAAATGTCTTGTGGTGAAATTATATCATGGACTATTAACGCCACTACAGGTGGAGAAACTCTCATCCATCAGAAGTCTATTCATCTAAAATATAACCGCACTACAAGATATCTCAGTGATCTGTAACCTGTGATCTCACTGTGATCAGTGATCTGTATGTCTGCTTGTCCAGTAATCTTCAGTAACAAGAAAACTACAACACTAAATGAACATAGAATTGCAAGGCCAATTTTACACAAATATAGAGGTGCGTTTACTCAATAAATGTCCACACAAATGTTATTCTGATACGGTGTGTGTGTTTGTGTTTGTAACCTGTTCTGTTTCTCCGTGTCCAGCAGTCTCTGGATCTCTCTGGTCCTCCTGTCAGCCTGGCTCTTCTCCTCCTCCAGTGTTGTCCTCCAGGCTTCCCACTGTCTCTCCTTCTCCAGCAGCTCGTCGTTCAGTGTCTCCAGCTCCAGGACCTGCTCCTCCAGCATGGTGCACGTGGTCTTCAGTGTCTCAAGGTTCTGGTACAAAACAGGATTTAGAGTTTTAGAGTCAGTTTGATAACCAAACAACTCAACACCTGAAGTTCAGAAGGCAACTGTATTAAAGGAGAGATAAAGAGAGTGATATACTTCAACAGCTTTAAAGGTGGTGACATTGAGGAGTTGTGTTGTCAAAGGATTACCACATATCCTAAAAAAGTACTCCTGCTCAGTATATTATTCTATTACTTTCTCTTTATTAATGTTGCATTATTTGTGATGTAGGGCAAATATGATTAAAAAAGTTTGTGGTAGCTGATTGACAAGGAGCTTGTTTGAAGTAGTTTACATACATTGGGTAGCAAATCAGTATATTTGGAAATTGATCATATGTTTTGTACAAAAAAAAGTCTAATGTTCATTTGAATGGGGTCAAAAAGCTTATTTCTTTACATGTCAGATGTGTAATTCAACCAGCCACAACGCCATAAAATAGCAGTCTAAAATAAATTACAAGCCCAGACCAGCAGGGGCTTATGAGGAGCATTTGATGGAAGGTTAAACAGCATACAAGGGGTTACATACCCAAAACTGCATTAAAATAAACAGCATCAGTGCTCCTGCAGAGTTATTTACAGGACTATTAACATATTTGGAGATGTTTAGAGCGTTCTTCTATGTTGTTCACAGGGCCTACACAAAGCACTGTGTTTCATGTATTACAACGCACTGCTTTAGACAAAGCATTGTGAGACAAATATAGCCTATGCTGGTGCTGCAGCAACACCACGGCCCTCTGAAGTCCAACGCTTCCACAGCTGACACGACCTGGGAGTGATGGGGATGACACATCCCTCCCACACACCACCCCATCCCTCATCTATGACTTCCATCGCTGGTTACACAACCGGCAGGACCGAGAGCGCTACTGGACACCCACACACGTATCCTCCCACAGGGGCTGCGCGCACATCACACAGCCTCCTCGCACGCTCTCTCTCTCTGCATCCAGAACACAGCGCTTAACAATGCTGAAATATTCCCAGGGTTTCTCTTGCCTGATTTACACTTAACACTGTCAGAGCTGGGAGAGATGTCTAGGTCACCTGTCAAAGGTAGTGTGGAGATATCACATAATGTGAGTAAGTGAAAACCTGGTGTCTGACTGACTGAGTGGGAAGTGGGCAGGAGGAAGGGCCCTGAACTAGAGAAGGAGTACAACTGTCTTAGAAAAGAGAAACTTTCAACTAATGACAGCGGGTATTCTGTGGCAATTCCAAGTAGAAATTTGAAAACTACTAAATAAAATTATAGTGGTGGCATGTCGGCTCAGTTGTAAACTCTGTGGGCGACTGTAAAGAACTGCCTCTGTTGGCGCTTTGCTGTGCATTACTGCCACCTGTAGATCAGTGTGGGATCACTGGCAGGACTAGGGTGACCAGAGGTCCCAAAAAATTCGGGATAGTCCCGAATTACGAGCAGTTGTCCCGACTCCTGTCCGGTTTGTCCTGAAAATTAGATTTAACATGGGTTTTGATTCTAGCCTAATTAAACATTAAATACTGATCTTTGTATAGTTCTCTTGCTCCAGCAGGGGTTGCAGGTTATCTGCACATTGTGTCAACAGTGTTGTTATAGCCACAAAGTAACACTCATGCTCTTTTCACCTTTTTGTTTTCTTGTTGTTAGTGGAAGTTACAGCCGCGAGGACAGGGAAAGTGTAGGTTCAGGCAGCCACGACGGAGAAATCTTCCATTCAATTCATTTTTATTTACATAGCGCCAAATCACAACAAAAGTTATCTCAGAGAGCTCATAAAAGAGCCAGAGTAGACCGTATTCTGTGATATTATTTACAGAAATCCAACATCCTACATGCGCGTTGCACAGACAGATGTGACATTGCACTGATGAAATTAATAAAATGTAAATAAAAATGAGGTAAAAGATCATGATTTACCCACTGTTACATATCCACAGTTGAGTGTTTTACTAATGACAGACAGGTGACTTCACGAACAATAAAATAAATAATTAATTTTAGTGTTGTGTTTTGATTTTCACGTGTGTCAATATTCATTGACACTGAATGTACCAGTAGACCCCCCGCCCCCCATCCCGAATTTCATCCATTCTCATCCGGTCACTCTAGACAGGACACATGACAACAAACAAAACAGGGACCATTATGTAAAAATATATGTGTTATTGCTACTAAAAACTGTATTTTGTCCTTCATATTTGGAGTTTGACAACATGACTGGCTCACATCTGACTTTTAATAAGAGACCAGGATCCGCCTATTCTATTAAAAATTCAATATAACGTACCAATTTTGCATACTTGAGCATTGCCTGTCCACCTGACTTGCCTTTCACTGTACTGAAACCCACATGAGCAAGGAAATGACACACACACACACACACACGCCCATAACTAGAGCATGTCCCCCAGCAGCCAGGTACCTGTTTCTGGTTGTTAAGGTGCATTTCACGGTCGGCCACCTCCCGACGCAGCCTGTCCACATCCTGGCTGAGCTGTAGCCGGTCTTCTCTTTCATCAGAGGCCTCATCCAGCTGCTTGGACAGGTAGAAGTTCTGTCGGTTCAGCTCGGCGTTCTCCTGAGTCAGTGTGGTCAGCTGCTCCTCCAGATCTGTGATCACCTGCAGGAAGTCAACAGGACACTCAGCCTGCCAGTTTAATGAGAGGAAAATATACACTGCACCCACTCTGCACCCAAAATAGATCAACCAAGTAACAACTACTAATCACTAATCAGGATTTTCTGAAAAATAATAAAATTCTGCCTTTTTGTCTCCAGACAGTTGACATTAGTGTTTATAAAAATCATTTATAAAAAGGCTATAAAGTATAATATGCATTCAAGTTACAAAAAGGTGCCTGAAAGGCAGATTAATTACTCCGGCAAACTGGAGGTATGCAGGTTTCTAAGCCTTAAAGAATTGACAGACTGTGGAAATGGTCTGGAAAAGGCATCCCTACACTCAGTACACACAATAAATGTACATTCACGTTACAAGTCACGCGCATGAAAAGGTCGTGCTTACATTGTGCATATAGGCAAAGCACTGTGCATGTTATCTAACACCCCACACAGTCTAAACTCTACTGCTGCATTATTACATGAAGCCAATATCTAGGTTAGTGATATAATGCAGTAATCATTTTGGCATGATACTGAGGCTACTTGTTCAGTCCAGGCAGCCTTCAGAGCAGGGAGCTGGCTAATCATTTCATCAGCATCAGTCTGCTCCTTTAATCAGCCGTGACTACTGTGCACGCTGTAGGGAAATGAGGGTTAGAGGGTGGTGAGGCTGCCTGTTAAGAGCTCCTTATTCTCAGCTCTCATGGGACCATGTGTACCAATCAGAACTTCCAGGTGGCGGGGGGGAAAGAGGCAAAGCTTTTAAGTACATAAATTAGCTGTCTGTTCTGTACTGACTCAGTGCTTCTGCTCCCCCGAGGCAGGGGACTGACAGCAGCAACTAAATACTTAAGGCGGGGCAAGGAAGTCAACGCTGGAATGGGTGCAGTGGTGATCTGGCAAGCCTCTATATTTACTCTACTTGTCTGTCATGAGCAACATTCAGGCCTAAAGTAAATCACATCCGGAGCTCTGCATCCTCAACACTGCTGAATAGGAATTGCTCAACACTATTTGTAAGCTGTGGGTGTACAGCAAATAAAAAGCTCAGTTAAAGAGGCAGAAAATCAGCCCAACAATTTTGTGAAATATAAAATGAACTTAACATTTACTGTACAGTGATGTTACGAAATACAGAGGAACATCTGGTCTTTTATAAAACAGGCTGAGCCACAGAGATGCTGTGGAGGGTGAATCCACTTAAAGTTGGTTTACTTACAATTTTGTAATGTATCCTCTTTTAATTGAAATCATTGCTAACCAGATATGGGTGACTCATATGGATAAAACTGCAATACATTTAGATAAAGTCAATTTGCTGGTAATTCAACTGAGAAAACATATACATGTATGTATACACAAACACCTCTTTAGAAACACTCAAAAAAAATTCTGACAGTGACAATATATTCTTCATATTATCAGTCATTCATATTGCTAAACTCTAATGTGAGCCATGTGAAGACATCTAAAAAAACCCCAAACAGCTAAGAATATACTGACAGTGTTTCTACAGACTTACCAGTAGTAAAAAAAAAACAAAAAAAAACTATGTGGTCAGCAAATTCATTGCAAATGACCTTTTGGCCTGAAGATAGCACAGGAGGAAAGTTGTAACCAAAATGGAAAGAGGAGGGGGGGGGGGGGGGTATGCTTAGTAAAGGGAATTAGCACTTTTGATGTGTCTTTCTGTACAATTGTAAAAGAAAAAGGCCAGTTGGGTTAGTCGGAGCACTAAAACTAGATGAAATGTCAAGGGATGGCAAAAATCATTAACAATCACCTCCTGGGGACCGTACTAAATTTAATGACAATTTGGCCAGTAGTTGACACGATATCTTGCTCCTGTTCAAAGTGTTCAACGAACAGACCGATAGACCGACAAGTCTTTGGGCGAAAACTACGGTGGCATTTCAAGCTCTGCTGGTTGAAGAATTTGGCTGGGTTTGCCTGAACACTGGCCAGCTGAATCTATGGACAGAGCTTTCTGAACAGTTTGCGAGTGGGAGGATCTCAAAAGTAGGGCAATGGGATAAAGGAAGACCATTATGGTCTTGGTGTTTATTCAAGATATATGAATTTGAAGGCACTCAAATCCAAACCCAAGATTAGTGGGACACCAGGGCCCTGTTTCAGAAAGGAGGTTTAACAAACTCTGAGCCTAACCCTGAGCTCTGAGTTGATGAGATGAGATGGGAAACCAAGTTCACTCTCAGTTGAGTGCCTGCCTGGGGAATAAAAAAAGCCATCATCAATGGCCGATGCTACAATTCACTATGGCAACTGGTAAATAAAGAACAGAGCGTCTTTTTTAATCAAATGGCGCTAGAAATATGAAAGCGTGCCACAACATGTATCTTATAAAACAGGAGTGGAGAAAGTGAACAATATTACATTTTATTCAGCGCAGTCCACTCATTCAGCATTTTCTTTTTTGAATGAAATACTGTCAAAACACATGAACTATATGTAGCTAATATTCAAAAAACATCTCTTATTCAACAGTATATTTAGTCTAGTTTTAGAATCTTAAATGCGTTTCAGCTGCACCACAATCATCCTCATATTCACATCCTCAGCAACATGATAACTATGATAGAAATGTTCCATCAGTGTTACTGGTCTATGACAAATGATTATTCATTGATCAGTTACAGCTTCATAAAGATTTGTTTGATTTAAACAGTCATTACTGCAGTAATGTCGCCCACAGTAAGTGTTTCAGTGCAACTGTTGCCAACCTGACAGCCGGACAACATGTCCACAGAGTCACTGTGTTATAAAGGACAGAGTAGCCTATAGATTTTATTCTGTGCTGACGATGTATCCATGATGAGATCGCTGTCCCTGTCCTTACATCCATGACAGATTGATCATAAAAGCTGCTAATCTCTTACTGGGATTTAGATCTTTCTAAAGACATAAACCTCTGCAAATGAATGAATTTCATTTGTGCTTTGATATCAACTGTAAGAATGAGGAAATGAAATGGTGTCAGAGAGCTGCTTCAGGCTTCAGAGTCAGAGAGAAAACCTGCCAGCGTGCAAGTTAGGTTCACAGAGTTTAAGTTAACCCTCATTCTGAAACGGAAAACCCAAAGTTTCACTCATCTCAGGCTTCACATACTCACTAAACCTGCTTTCTGAAACAGGGCCAGTTTATACTTCTTCATCGAGTCTATGCCTTAGTGCACAGCGTAGGCTATGTGCCATTGTGAGAATGTATACTTGTACTTCTGCATCTCTTAGCAATTAAACCACCAAAACGTTGGCGGTGGGGTTTCTATGTTCTACTAAAAAGGACTGAAAAAAACATGCAAGAATTCCAAAGCAACTGGCAAACAGTTACTTAAACTTGGGAAACCTTTGGGAATATACCCCACTTAGCCCTCATTTTCTGCATAATAAACAAAAAGATAACCTGCTAATGTCTGTTGGACAACACAACTGTTAAATAAAAGATGTTGCTAAATAAAAAGGTGCATGCTGCTTCTGAACAGTACTTTGTTGAAGCATCATTAGCAGCTTGGCTTCACATGATTCCTCATTATCAGAAGCTCTGGTGACAAGATGGTGTGGTTTTGTGAGAGAGAGGAAATACCAGTGGTAGACCGTAATTATTAATGAATTAATTTACTCAAGTACTGTACTTAAGTACAAATGTGAGGTACTTGTACTTGAGTATTTTCTTTTCATTCTACTTATACTCCACCACATGTCTGAGGGAGATATCGTACTTTTACTTCACTTCTACTACTACTATTTATCTCACAGATTTAGTTACTAGTTACTTTACAAATTAAGCTTTTTACACACACGAAGACTCAATAAAATATGTTTTGTTATAAATTAAACGACCCAATATTTTACGGAAGTACTGCTGACACCATTATTAGATTGACATTGAAATTAACTGGCAACAACTTTGATCGTTTAAGACATTTTTCATGTAAAAACATTTCACGGTTCCAGCTTCACTAATGTGGAGATCTGCTGCTTTTCCTTCTGATTATTTGTAATTTATTTGTAAATTGCCATTGTTTAATAAATAGGAAAGCCTGCCTTCCGTATTTTTAAATTATGTCATGTCAGCAACTTCTGACAAACATAACCAGACTAATGGTACTTTTTACTTTTAATCCCTAAGTATTTTTAAAAGCAGGTTCTTTTGTATTTTGACTCAAGTAGAAATTTAAATTGAAGACTTCAACTTTTAAGTGGAGTAACACTTAGCAAGGGGTATCTATACTTTTACTCAAGTGCAAGATTTGTTTGCTTCGTCCACCACTGGAAAATAAATATCTCTGTAGACATGGACAAGAAAATGATCAAACAATGAAAAATTTAAACTTTTCTGGCCAATTTAGTCAATATGTGTGGACTGTGATATGTTGTATTAGTTAACTAAACCAGGGTGTTTCCAGGACACTCAGACTGCCAGTGTCCCCCCCCCCCACCCCAGAACGTGAAGGTGCCAAACAACCACAATGACTGGATAACAGCCTTTATGTTCCTTAAACTGTTCCAGCTGGGCTAGTTTTGGGAACGGTGGCTCATTTAGTTGCACAATGGGATCATGGAAACAAGCAATTCAACTGAGAAGTAATCTACCACTGATGTAAAAATTGCCGCCTGTCTGGAACTGGGGGGGGGCTTGCCTTGCAGTGAAATTCTGAATGGGCGAGTAGAGGCTCCTAAGTTGTTGTTTTAAGTTTTCATCAGCCAGGAAGTTTCTACACGGAGCCGAATTCCGTCTCCTCTCCGTAACAAGCGAAACAGTTGATTACAGCAGGTAATAAAGCTGGTTAAACATCCCCTTCTTCCAACGCAGGCGGACACAGACGTGATGCTGCAGCTGATCTGCAGCTCTTGTCGGCTGGAAATGTTTAATAACCTTCCAAACTGAGAACTTTATGGCTTTATCCAGTTTGTTATTAAATGTGTAACGAACTTTATCGTGTGTCTCTTCATTATAGCTCCCACACAAAAAAGCTGCTTTACTGGTTAAGCAAGCCTGTAGTTTTTCATTATATTCCAGTCAAATCCGATGTTCATTTATAAATGTTGCTCATGGATAGTGGTTACAAATAATGATGCCTGTGCATCACTTTGTATGGCTACAGCCTACGGCAGCTGGTTAATTGTCTAATCTTCGCAGGTCTTTAGACCACGGTGGAAACGCACACAACAGTGGGCTGAAGAAACCTTTAAGTTCCTTGAAAAGAGATCTGGGGACTTAAAAGTACCTTTGGTTGAAAAGCGGCTAATGTTTTAGGACAGCTTTGAAAACATTAGTGTGGAGTCCTGGTCGTACTTTTCGCCAACCACGAGGTGACGTAAACTGAAGCAGTAGTATATTTCCACAAAAAGGACCAAAAAATGAAGAGGAGTCTGATGAAATGGAGAGGGTGGTTAATTAATGGAAGTAGAAGAGAAATCGTTTTTAAAATGAGGCCCAGTTTAACCAAGAACGACAGAAACACATATGGACTGAAACATCCTGGCCACTTTAGGTTGTCAGTTATGTGCGATGATGTGTGATGATTCAGCTGGTGTTCAATGCCAGCAGAGCTGTCTATTCCTGGAAAGTGTGAAAGAGCAAACAAACAAGAAATAAAGCAATAAAACTGAGGGAGCAGCTTACCGCACAGCTGTCTCTCAAGGCATCAAACTTCCGTTGTATCTCGTCTCTGTGTGCCTAGCAGGTGTGACAAGAAAAAGACAGATTTTATTGCCTGAATTATGTAACATATCAAAGGAGACATCATCTTCACTACTCCTCTACGCTCTCTCTCTCTCTCACTCTGAGCACAGTGATCTCCTCCTCAGCCTCTGCAGTGGTGTCCTCCAGCTCAGACTTGGCCTGCTGTAGTTGGCTCTCCAGAGCGTGGCGGGCTGCCTGCAGGTTGCTGATCTGGGATTCGCGCTCCTGCAGCGACAGTGTCAGCTCGGTCACCTGACGCTTAATCTCCAGCTTCTGTTCCTCATTCTCCAGACCAATCTACAAAGAGGAGACAGAAAGGGGTCATCCAGGGTGGGGGAGGAGGAGGAAGCGAGTCACACTAACACGGCCCAGTGCAACAAGATTATGTCAAGGTTCTTGATAAAGTGATCAGAAATTCTCCAAGTGTATAAAACTCCCTTTCTGATGTATTTTAGAACGTTTCACTGCGCTGCACCTTTTTTTAGAATTCAGCCTAGTGGCTTGTATATATAATCATTTAATGACCGTTTTATATACTGCACCTGCTTTCACATTGGGTCATGATGTGCTATAATTATTTCCCAAACATATATTCAGGAAAGCAATTACACACAGGTGTGTTTCCACTATTTGGAGCCAGATCAGTACAGACTGAAGAGGTCTAGTGCTCAACTTTATCTATTCAACATTTTAAAAGTGTTACCTCTTATGCTTAGACATACACAGATTCTTTGTGTAGATACTCTATAACGGTCGATGAAAATGACTCAGTAGGGAAACAAAATTAGAAGTTGGTGGGACTGGCAGGACAGTAAGAAATAAATTACGAACGGGGGAAGTGGAAAGAAAGTTTAATCTCTTCCACTCTGGTCGGAAATCCAACAATCTATCAACACATGAATCCTGTCTCATCTCTCAGCTTTCTTCTCCACCACCCGTCGCCTCACCTCTCTGAGCCTAGTTTCCAGCTCCAGCACACGGCTCTTATTGCTTTGCTCCTGCTGACTCATTTTCTCTAGGTGCTCCTCCAGTTTGGCATTTTGGGCCTCCAACTTCCCAGCCTGAGACTCCAAGTAGAACTTCTGCTGGCGAAGCTCTGAGATCATCTCCTCCTGGGCTTTCCTGCCAAGACCATACACACATACAGAAGTGCGAAAGGTTTAATAGGAGGCAATGCAAGCTGGTATTGTGCCAGTACACATACACTCCGAGGACAAAAAAGAGGTATTATTTCCAGGTATTATTTTGCACAAGCCACGTCCTCTTTAACCACTTGAATTCACCTCAGTGTATTTCATGGATAGAGCTCCAGAGATGTTTTTCTACTGCTTTAAATGTTGTCAAACAGAATAACAGTGTTTAGTATATCAGTACTTACATGTTTTTCTGGGTGTAGATACTGCTGTTAGCTGCCAGTTTGTTGGCCTCAGATAGCTCAGCAATTCTCTGCTCCAGGTTGTTCATCTTTGAGTCCATAGCATTTATGGTCTGAATAGAAATTAAGGACAGGGTAACTCGTGTTTTAATGAAACATCCAAATATTAGATTTTCATATCACTGGGTTCAACTGGGTTCAGATTATTATTTTTTTCTCCTCTTCAATAACATACCCAAGATAATACCAAAAAAAGAAATCTATGTCAGTGTGATAGATGTTAAAATACTGAAATAGTGTCACCGCCAAGCTGGTCAGTTCTTACCGCCTTCTGTTCGCTGATGATGCTGCACTTCTCCTGCACCTCCTCCTCATATTTGCTCTGACTGGACTCCAGCATCTCCTTATCAGCCATGTCCGCCTTCATCTGGGCCTCCAACACCTGCTCAATGCCAGGCAGCCCACAGAACCATAACCAGGATATCACTTAACAGGACAGAAAATTTGAAGATGACATACTGTATATATCCCAAGCACAGAGTACACCCACACCTCAGCCAGCTAAAGTGTGGCCACCTAACATAGCACAGAGCACTTCCTGTAAGTGCAGCACATCAGAATATACCTGCCTATTGTTTTACGTAGCACCAAAGAGTCTGCATGTGCGTGAGTATTTTATGCATTCTGAAATGTTACCTTTATCTTGTCTTCATAGAGCTTCTCCTTCTGCTTCAGATGAGTCTCTAACCGCTGGGCTGTGGATTGGGTCTCTCGCAGATTCTCCTCCAGCGCCTACACAAAAATACAAATACATTTTATGTTAGTGATGTGCTCCTGCTGGTAATATTTGTTTTTGGAAATATCTTATAATGAGCTTTTGTGTAGCTCAGTTTCAAGAGGATTTTGATTGTGGAGCCAGTAAGAGATTAAATCACCTTACCAACACACAAGTGTTTTCTTTTTCTGACAGGTACAATATGTTTGACAAGGCAGTGTTTTATTTTGTATGTATCAAACCAGTCACACAGTTTCATAAAATGACTTGAAAGTACCCTACCTAAGTCCCTTGCCTTTGTCCCTATGGATGTAGTAAGTAATCAGGTGTAAATACGTAAGCATGAGACCCAATGTCATCCATATCAACGAGGTAAATCTCTTAGCAGTGCTCTTTATTGACCTTTTTAATTGTTAGAGCAGGAAAAGCAGAGGTGGAACTTATACACAATACTCAAGCCCTGAAACTGACAGGAACACAGCAGTTACTATTACGTATGAACTATTACCTTCACCTCTGTACACCCACACAGCTGTTTTTCACTTTTTCTGGCTAATTAGAGCTCTGATGAGGTTGAAGCTGCAGGGAGGCAAAGGTGGGGTAAGCAATTCTAATCTGACACACGGCTTTGGCAAATTCAGTGAATATATGCTCAGGGTCTGCTGGCTGTGTGTGAACAGAAAATAATCCGGTGTTTGTACAAAGTCCTGGCTCAGTAAATGGGAAACAAACCACCAACACGATTCCAGCCCTTGTGTGTCAGTTAATGTTAAATGACTCGCCCACAGACATTCAGCTTACTTTCTAGTCCTCCAAGATATGATGTTGTTAGCTATAGTAGCAAGGGAGTAATGAGTATCGCTGTCTGGAGCTGCTTTTCTGGCTTTGGCCGTTACCTCCTCTTTGCATGTTAGCTTCATAGCAGCGACTGTAGTGACTTAACTTGCTGTGTCATTGTTCGCTCTACACCATGGGATTTGTCACGGTGCTGGACTTCTCCAGAATCAGAAAGGAATGTGACCAAACTCAGTGGACTAATCATAACTTGTACAATGGTATACTTAGTTTGTATCACCCTGTGTATATAGGAATAACAGTTTACAAAGATCACTCATAAAGATAGTAAATGATAACAGTGAGGTTTTTCAGAAATATTATGTAAAATAGCACTTCCTCTGCAATGGTGACAATGAGCTATGTTTATCTCACACCTCCTGTGATTATTTTAGCTCCACACAAGTGGTGAAAGGAAGGTTACCAAAATCTTATCTGCCATCTGCTGAATCTGTTGGGCCTTGCTCTGCACCTCATCCTTCAGTTTAGTCTCGCGACGCTCGACAATCTCCAGCCTTTTCACCTGGTTCTCCAGAGTCTTCCTCCCATCCTGCACACAGTGGACATAAGTAATGCACAAACACAAAAAAAAGTTAACTGATTTATAGAATGTGTCTTTTAGTTTTAAAAATGCAACCTCAGGTCAAAAAAGCCATTGTGCTTTGTGTTATGCATCATAGCTCATTCTGTGAAAATGCTAATTGGACATCCATTTGGCTTGTTAGTGATGCACCTCTGCAACATTTATATCTCATTATTCCAAGTTCCTCACAATGGTTCCAAAGAGCCCATTTGCATTTCCATGTGTGATGGTGTGAGAGGTCTTCTGAGCTGTGTAAATTAGACCATTTGTGTATTTTCTTTCCACTGACGCTCCTTTCCAAATGAACCTATGTTAATAACCAAATTAAAATGTCTAGTGCTTGATGTGAAGTCATGTTTTAGAAGAACTCAAAACAACCCCTTTCAGAAGTAAAGTACTGTGTATTGTATGTAACTATAGACACTGCAGGAATGACTACATTATGTATATACATGTATATATCTATAGCATCATTTTACTAAAGCTGATGGATTGTGTGACTAGGCCACTATACAGTTCTTAACCTCTATAAATAAAGGCTCTAAAACTGATTGGTGAAAAAGTTCCGGCTAAATGAAACCTACACACGCTTGAAATTTCATTTAAAGATTTTGTTAAGCAGAGACTTGATTTAAAGAATCATTTAAAATGTCTACAGGATGTTTTTTTTCTTATGCAAGAAGCAGATCCAATAACAAAACATTGGAGCCTCATAAGATTGGTAAATTACTGAACTATAGTAATAGGCATTTCCAAAGATTTTTTTCTTTTTGTTAAATGTAGATGTTAATGCGTTCACAGTTTACACAGAAAAATGTGTGCAGAAACAGTTTGTTAACATTATAGCAGAAGCGGGAGCACTGAGCCACAGGAGAATCAATTAGGATAATGTCACAGGCAGATCGATTGGCTTCATAACACAAGTAACAATAACCGTCTTTCTGTTGAAGACCACAGACTGTCTCTTTACAATGGAAACAACTTTTTTGAATCATTGTGCAAATTTTTATCAGCTTAAAGACCCATTGTTTTGGTTTTACCCTGTGTGCCAGTAAAGTAAAAATCCCATGAGCACATGTGTGTTTGCTGTTCAAGCTATGATACACTGTGTCAAACATTCAGGTTATCATGCCATCACAGCACACGTGTTCCTCAGAAGATGCGAAAACAACATTTTTACAAGAGAACATATATGGGCTCTTTGTGCTTAGCAGATACCTATGCCAGATTTATTTATGCCACGCTTTAAACAAAGAGGATTGTGATGTTCCAAAACAACAAATTACACGTAACACAGATTAATGAGAAGAAACAGGCAGGAGGCCAGAACACATACAGTATATGCTAGGCTGTGTGTATGTGTACTGTGTGTGTATGTACTTCAGTCTCACGGAGTCGTCTCCGCAGGCTGTCACTGGAGTCCTCCTTGTTCTGTAGCCTCTCCAGATCTCGCTCCATGCGCTCTTTGGCCACTTTCATACTATGAAGGAGTTCTGTAGCTTCAGCACTGGCCTTTAACGACTGACAGTTAAAAGAAAAATATCAATCAAAAAGTGTACAGTATGTTCTTACGTGCTATTTGCACAAACTTAAGCATAATAGAAAAGAATATTAACCTTGTCTCATTTAAAAAATCTCATGTCCCATCTCTGATACAACATACCACTGTAGAATGATTAATGACAACATCAATTTCTAAAAGAATTGAGTGAAAATAAAAATCATATGAACATATACCAGTATAATAGCTGTCTATAATCAAATACATGAAATTAATCAGTATTATATACAGCAGCACCGCCTGCTTAGTACTCCAAGCAACACTGGTGACACTAGGTTACAATGCACTGGTTGTTGATACAAAAAAATTATAAACGTTTATAATGAATAATTTAAATCCTTTTCATTTTTAGTAAACAAACTTGTGTATATTGCAAATATGAAATCCTAACACTACACTGAGTCCTTTTAAGAAAGAAAGTCATACCCAACTCATTTTTAATGAACTAGTTTGCAATGAGTCAGAAGCAGACTCATCCCAAATGTGGGATCAGTCTGCCTTGAATATCAGCACCACAACCTCATGTGCTTTTGGTAGAATGGATGGTACTTTTAAATATTAATTTCTAGGAAAAGACAATTAGGATTAAATTATCTTTACTAATGAGGCAAAACTGTTTGATTGCTAATAATTAAGCAGTAACTTTATTTTTAAAAGACAGCTTAATTGTTTGCGGGCCATATACCAAATCTGACTGTAGAACACAGTTTAAGAGAGAGAGACCGACAGAGACAAAGAAGGAGGTCAGGGAGGGTAAAGAAGGAGTTTATGCAATCATCTGAAAGTGTAAAATGCTGTTACATCGCTTGCATTTGAAAGTGCAAGCTCATATAAATTATTCATTAATCTTCCCAGAAATAATATTCTACCTTGCTAAGCTTCTCTTGAAGATCCTGGATCTTTGTCTGCTGCTCAGCATTGGTCTAAAAAAGAAAAGAAAAATCATTATGATATGTAAAGATTGATATTTGAGCTCAGCATCCTTTGTTAGTCACTTAGATCACAGAATCTTATTACAATTCAATAAACTTCAAAAACTACCTTCTCCAACTTGGTCATCAGGTCATCTGCTTCTGCTTTACCTTGCTCTTTGGCCTGTGAAGATACAGGAAACTTTGAGATCCCTCCCAGTAATGATCATGGCAAGCAGAGGACAAGTGAGTTAAATGTGATAGTATCATAGTATCATATAGTTAAATTTATTAACACTGTTATTCTGAGCCCCACTCAAATACAGAACATGTACAGTGCGTGTCAAACAAACCATAACTCCTGCCTATGTCAATTTCAGGATCATTAACAGATTTAGTTACAATGTAGACCTTCTGCATCCTATGCTGGTACTCGGCAGCCTTCCTCTTCAGTTCCTCGCTGGTCTGCCGAGACTCTTTCAGCTCAGCCTCATACAAGTCGCTACGGCGACGAGCAGCAGACAGGTCCTCCTCCAGTTGTCTGATGGACACTCGCATCTCCTCCAGCTGGGCATGATATTCCTGCACAGGCCACAGACAAAGAGAGAGGAGAGGAGAGGAGAGGAGAGGAGAGGAGGCACTTTATGACTTTATTGGTTTATCTGCCATTAAGGGTGCCCTTCTATCAGTGCAGCACGTTTTGGAAAAATAGGCAGAGCAATTACTGTATGTCTTAGGTGGAAAAGAGCTCTCCATTAGCCCCAATGTTGTTTACCCGAACCTCTTTGAAGAAAATGTTCTTGTTAGAAGCCACTGCATCATTTATAAGAACAAACTCATTCATAAGAGATGTATTTTAGATGTGCTGCTGGTACAGCAACAGGATGAAAACAGTTCAACATAGTGGAGGCAAAACACTTGTATAAAAGCCATTACATGTCAAAAATGGCAGCAATTATAACCACAGGAATGGTATGCAGTCAATGACAGGAATGTGAACAGCCACAGTTACTAAATGTCTGTTTGATAGTAATTACTAACAGCCTAATTTCAACCTCCTCGTCAGCTTACAGGGTACACTGGTGTGTCTGTCAGGCTAATAAAAAGTAGCATCCTTCTGCTTCCAGGATGACTGACGCTCCACCGGCACAGATTAGGACAAGTGAAGAAGGCAACATCAGACATGCTGAAAACAATGCTAAAATAGTGTAGCTGAAGTGGAACAGGAGGTTACATACGTGACAATCTCCCTAACCAGTTAGCCCAAGTTGGCCTTCCATATGCATAGGAACTGACCTGTGTGTGTCAGGTGGTTGTGCACAGTATAAAATACCTGTGTGACTACCTTTCACTGCTCATTTTGAATCCACAAGAGCAGACTGACAGCTCCCATCAACGAGAATTGACTGGATCTCCGAGGAACTAGCTTTCATCTGGTCATGACTTCCCAAAGTTAATAAAAGCTATAAATGATTTTCACATTCCAGTAATTCTTTGGCAAAACAATGACTCAGTAAAAGGAAATTAAAGACAAGGGGATTCAGCTTTCAGTATGATGGGGTTGTAGAGCACTGAATGGCAGTATTCTTTTATTACAGAGAACCAGTTGTACAATCAATTTTCTGTACTTGGCTCATTGAGGTTATCTGTTGCTTGAAGAAGCAACTGGCAAGGAAACATACTTGCGTCACTTGTGTTGGAAGCCACTGTGGATCATTTACTCACATTGAAAACACCATAAAAGACCAGGCAGTTACTTTCAACACTATCAATTCACACTGCAGCTTTACAGATTTAATACCCCCCAGAGAGTGTGAAAGACCTTCAAATCCGTAATTAGCTGTCTATCTGCTATCTTGGGGATGCTTACAATCTTTATCTACAGTATCATCAGGAAATCTTGAAGTTAAACTCTCAGTAAAGGTGATATTACTGTGAATTAGGTAATGGCATTTCTGATTATTTCATTTTGTTGTTTGGCTGGATGCAGGATCACTGAAATGGAGTTTGCTACAAACATTTTCACCTAAAACCTTGAAATGTTAAAGAATATCTAAAAGAGCAATGTTTTTGTTCAAGACTTATCAGCCTCAAGGTTAAGGCTGGAAAACTGGCACTCTCTGCTATTAAGGTTATCCTTAACAGCAGTTCCACTCAAAGATATTACCTTTTATTTTTACTCTTTCCCCCCAGCTCAATATAGCCCTTAACACACAAAATGAGCCAGTATAACATTGCTGCCTAGTTATTTTGTTCCCACATAAACACCATGTTGCTGAATGGACTTTTCTGCTGTAGTGATTTTTGTATATATTTTTCATACTTTATTCATTTCTGTACAGTAAGACAACCAGATTGCAGTAACTTGAAACTTAGTGAATGTCCAAAATACCCTATGGAGTTTTTGTCCACTAGTAGTGCTGTGGAGCAATGTTTTTACAAGTGTGTCCTAATTTCATTTCACGCAAGCTCAAGCAGTACACACGTTTATCCCAAAGATTTCATGCTATTTCACTAATTGATCGAAAGCAAAACCCCTTGCCTGAACAGAAATTCAGTAATCATAGCTTGGCAACTGTAACTAAAGTTTGGTCAGAAGAAACACTGAATGTAAATCTAACTTTGTTTGCAGGACAACTCAACCAGGTACCTTTAAGTCTGCATCCATTTTGTTTGTTATATAATCGTACTGAGATAACAATATGCACACTCAAATCAACCTAATATAATTTTAAAACAATGCACACCAGTCCTCTTGCAAGTGCACTCGATTATGCCCGCATACATACACAATATACACATACATTTATAGCTTATAAAGTGTCAAGCCTTCCAACCTTTTTTTGTAAAGTTTGCACTAGTGTCTTGGTGAAACTGTCTCTTTGCATTTGTTTGCAGGTCTTAATGGCTTTGGCACAGATTGTTTTTTTCTGAAAATGAATCTATCCTCAATCTCTACTGTTTGTTGATCCAACATTGCATGGCTTGTGCATGGAAATGATAAACACTGCAGTCATATGACAGAGCGTGGGAGACAGATGCTTTTCAAGATGAAAAGCTAGATTTAGCTGGCGTAAATACCCTGCTGAGACGCACCAGTGGGAACACAGGCCCAGATAATAGACTCATACATTTGAAGATACACACTATAGTCTTTTTGTTTTAATCATAATTTATCCAAAAAAGGTTAGTTTGAAAAGATTTGTTATGTTTAAGTCCCCCCCCCCCCCCCCCCCCCAGTTACACACATCCAGCTATGAGGTGCTCAGATCTTACAGCTATCGACCAACATGAACTTCCTCCTCACACCTCCTGACAATCCTGATGGGAATGTTTTATGAATGTTCTGCTGACAGAGATCAGCTATAACAGTCTACCGGCAAAGGAATCTTGACTGTAATTTGAAGAAGACCAACAGTCACTTTTGCAGCAGTGCACATCACAAATGTCAAATGTCAAAAGTCTATCGTCATGCTTGCTCTGTGAGTCTGTAAAGAAACGTGTCGAGGTGAATGAAAACTCATACTCAGCTAATCAGGCTCACACGGTAGTAACATGCTAAAATTTACGTTAGCATAGCAGTGTTGCTGAGGGAAAGCACATGACAGCTAAACACCCTTTTCCTCCAGCTACTCCTGAGGGATCCCCACGGGCCTCAATATCCTTCAAGTGACAAGCAAGGCAAATAGTCACAGCCAATCTGACTTTCATGCCCACTTCATGCAGCAATTGGTCAGGTGTATGTAGGTTACAAAGAAGGCAGGGTTTGACCTTTTTGATCAAACTCTATTTTTTCATTTTTCATGTAACTAGATAGAGGGATAGAGCTTGGACGTAAGGCTGCTCCCGGTAAATGTACGGTCTGGAGGAGATGGGACTCATGCTGCCAAACACCGGAAAATTGAAGACTGTTAAGCCGACATCTTTACACAGACCTGCCCCATCAACGTCCTGGAGCATGCAGCGGGCACACCGTGTTCTGTCAGAGCGCAAGGTTCCGCCGAGATGAGAGGAAGCGGATTCTGTGTTTACATCAGTGATGCTTGGTGCTTAAACAGTCAAAGTGGATCGACACTGTTTCCTACATGTCAGACTTCATATGGAGGCTACATATCTCACATTATGCAGTCCTGTCCACTCACTAGCCTATAGGCTAAATGTTCATGCTGCTACGGCACTTCCACACTGTTTACATAGCCGACTGTTATTAGGCTGCTCCCGCTACTGGCTTATATTTCAGAATCTTGTAGCCATCAGGGCTCCGCTAATGTTAAGTAGCCTACTTCTGATGCTGCTATTATTTAAATAGGTTAGAAATAGGCTATACAGGTGAACATACTTCAGATTTGGGGTTGCACTATTAGGCTATGCACTTTATAATGCTCCAGCCCTGCATGCCATTCTCACTCCCCTGACAGTATACAGATCAGCTGTCTCGTCTAGTGTCATACTGTAAATTACCGTCTTATTTGTGCGAGCCTGACTAATAGTGAAAAGCTCATAAAATAACCTACTGAAGATGCATTAAAAATCACAAATGATTCAAAGTAACTTTGGTTTAATGACTGCTGCATTAAACAATAAATGACATTCTTTCTTTTGGCTGGCCAGCATGTCTATTTTTTGTTTTGTGTCTTGTAAGTTGAATAGGCTATTGTGACTGTTTTTAGCACATTGGACCGCGTGAAACGGCATTTCGTTATTATTCGGTATGTGGATAAAGACCTTGCAACTCACATTATGTAATACTGTCCACTCACTAGCCTAGCAAGGTATTGCGAGGGAACGCAAAACATATTGCGAGGTAATGCAAAAGTATTGCGAGGTAATGCAAAAGTATTGCGAGGGAACGCAAAGTAGTCCTCAAAAAAAAATTCATAGTCCTCAAAAAAATATTCCTCACTGAGCTCTGGGAGCCACCGTAGTATAGTAATAATAGTAACAGAAGAAGAGACAATGTTTTACTAAACAAACTAACTTTGGAATACATCAACTTCTCTGACTGCTGAAGCCTCTGATTAGCTTCAGATTCACTTCAATACATTTTTGCTCTAAACGAGGACTGTGTATTTTGTCACCTATTACTTACATTGGAAACACATTGGGAGGGGATCTGTGTTGGAGTTTTTTTTAAATGATTTTTGTCAGGCAATTTTGTCTATAGCAACAGCTGAAGAGGGCGACAGGACATGCAGGAGAGAGAGAGGGGATGACATGCAGCAAAGGGCCAAAGGCTGGAATCTAAGCCGCTGCAGTAAAGACTCAGCAGTAACAGTAAGCACTCTACAAGTTGAGCCATACTTACCCAAAGGAAATAACAGAGCAGATAATAGCAAGCAAAACCTGTTTTAGGGCACCTGACTACACCTCTAAAAAGAGGCAGCAAAGGGCTTCTGCCTGGACTACTTCAACTGGCTTCTCTTGACAAGGAGCAACAGCTCAATTCTAAGGGCCTTCTAAACTGCATGAACCCCTATATCCACTGAACATAATAATAAGTTATTGGATAATTGGAATTTCTGAACTGCAAGTTATTCTGAGTTAGGATGAAATTATGCTAGTAAATTACATTTTCTACTTTGAAAAGTTTAATGTATGGGTAGGGTGTAGGGGTTTATTAAGACAAGAGATGATAAAAAGCTATTTTCAGGACAGGGAGCATCCTCTAACCAACATCACTCATTTTAGGGTGGTATTTCAAGTGATGGTCAAAAATGTTATTTGAGCTAAAGCCCCAGCACCTCATCACGACAGCCTGCCCACTGCATCAACGCTCTCTTTACTCGTAGGTATATGGCTCTCATCACCATAGCAACCACTGCACAATGTATTCAGTGCTTGGTAACCAGCACTAGTGTAGGCTGAGAAAAACAGGTTGCTTTTCTGTTACCTTTTTTGAAAAAAATGGTGCATAATGCCAGGAAGATGATTTTTCATGCTCTCTATCTGTTGTCCTAAACTGTCAGCCCTGTTAACAGCTTAATTGTCACAGTTGGCAACACTCAGTCATGTGGTGCTGCCACACATGCAAAAATATATACGCACAAACACCCATGCATGCCACACACTCGTCACATTTGATTCCAGGAATTAAGGGCTGTATATACTCTCTTTAATGAATAGTATTTCTGATTCACACTGAGTTGACCCAGCAGATTGACAGTCTTTATACTTTATACAGAGAGCTACAGACTGTATAATCAACTTAGTCTGAAACATGTGGTGCATTGCTGTATATTGCAAACAAACACTTTAAATGAACTTAGTTTTTTGTTCATTCATTGTGAAGTAAATTTCACCTCAAACACTGAAAGCCGTCACAGTCACAAACCTTTTCACTACAAAACACTGTTGATGAACTGCAACCTTATATTGTTTATTGTTGTTGTAAAAAGGTTCAGGGATTTGAAAACAATAATTCACATATATAGGGTGCTGCAACATGAGGCCTTCTGAACATGCTGTATAACATGATGTTGTAGATGTTATACTGCTGTCCTACCTGCTCTTTAATCTCTTGCAGCTTGTTGCTCTGCTCCCGGATGTCATGGAGGAGCTGCAGTGCTTTATCGTCCTCCTGTGACACCTCCATACGAGCCTGCTCCAAACTGCGCTTTAGACTCTGAAACCAAGACATACATATGTTCAGTAAGTTGATAGTTAGTTGTCTAAAATCTGTACAGCCTAATACAGGTTATAATGTGAGGTTTTTGTGGAAACTGTTAAATAATAGGTGTCAGTTCCACTTCCCAGTCATTTTGGACGCTGTGCTGTTGAATTGTGTTGAGGTGTTTCTAATATTTTGTCAACACCAAATTATATCAATGAATCCACCCTAAAAACCCACTGCACCCAAAGCAGTCGAATCCTAATACTACATGTATGTAGACAAACGTGTAAACACACACACATTTGGCACAACTTGAACACAGTCCATGTGGTCTAACATCTGTAGTAAGTACAGTGCCACTCACACTGCATTCTGTGATGTAGGTTGCCAGATCCTGTTCCAGGATGGTCCTCTGGGTCTCTGAGGCCTTCAACTCTATATCCTTCTGCTGCAGCACTGACTCAAGGTCAGACATCTTCCTCTGGACCAGTGAGATTTCCTGCTCAACCTGGAAACAAGAACGTAGCATGGACCTAACTTTTCTCTCACAGTTTGGTATCATGTAATGAATCTCTGGGGCCCGTGGATGTGAGTAGATACTTTTTTGTTTACAGTGCCCTTTGGGAGGGTAGCTGTGTTAAAGATATCTTCCTACTTTCTAAAATATTACAATAACAACAATATCAGTAATGATACACTTTTAATGGCTGTGTGTTTGTGTGTGTGTGTGTGTGTGGGTGTGTGCACGTAAGTGTCTAAGACTGCATTTGTTTGGTGGCATTTGATGATACAATTAGATGTGCCATTACAGCATTGCAGGGCCTGAGGAGCATTAGAAACCAGAGAAGCAGCAGGGCTTGCAGCAGTTACAGATACACACTCACAGCACTTAGTATATGGTAGCACTAACACACAGTCACAATGCAGACACATGCTCACAACAACGTGGCGCCACAGCATGGGGCTGGAGCCAGTCAAAGGAATGGGTCAACATTGCACTGCAAAGAATCACTAGATACGGTTCTAAAAGAATGCACATGTCCACCACATTTACAAGACAGATCAAAATATGTTGTGTAGTGATCTGATTATAACACAGGTTAATGATGGATCATAAGAAAGGCTGGAAGTAACTAACTATATTTCCATTTATTCTTGTATTCTCCAACTCTGGAGATGCTTATTGCATATTTTTGTGGGGTCCAATGCAGTGCAACTGGCCAGTCCTTCTACAGTATCTTCATCATTCTTGCATGTGCACATGGAGGTGATGTTATGGCTGCATTGGACAATTTCACGTCACATCAAGAGGTTAAGATTGGAATCATACAGACATTACCCAGAAATCTTAGAACAGTAGGTCAGCAAAGTTTGCACTTGTTGAATCTAAAATTATGGTTTTTGGTGGGATGGAGGAGGTGAAGTGGTTCAAGTCTATATTTCCCTAAATGCAGGGTTCCTAAACATTATCCATTTCAACACTGACGTACATTCTGGCTATGTATGCTATTTTCGGCCAAATATGACAACATAATAGCCATTCAGTACACTTTCCTAAGCAGAAAGGACAACATGTCTTCCCAAAGCTGAAGTACACAAACCCGATCTACCTATACTCGTATTTTATTACATATTTTTAGTGTCGTTCATAAATGAGAATTGAAAATGAGTTTTAAAAAAAGTAAAATAATTTAATTTCCAGGGCATCCATGCAGTCTTGTTTATTCACTGTATCCATGGAAAAGATGATGAATACATTCATAAAGGTATGGTTTCCTTACAAAAAAATTAAGAATGTTTACTTTTCTGATGACTACGTCACTGCATAACTCATAAATGTACCAAGCAGCTGAATATTTGGTTATATGTGATGCTATGAATGTAAGTCAAAGATATTTATGCATTTTCTTTCACACTAACTTGGTCACAGATGTCAGAATTGGGTAGTTATAAGACATTTGGGGTAGAGCTGTCTATGGATGTGACGTATTGACTTTTGATGACATCAAGCTCGCTCTGGCTATGGTTTGAGTAGGCTTGCTCCCACTAAATGTTAAGTTTCTTACAATCAATGTACACCTTCAAATTAAACCTGCATATTTGTCTTGTTAAGGAAAAGGACAACTAGCCTATTTGAAAATCAATGAACCACCTAGCACATGTTTTCCATAACACATTAAAACAGGATTATTGTGGAACTCAAAATGTTAACTGTACCAGTATTAGTCTAGGCACATCCCATAATTAGTAGTCTAGCTCACAGGAAGTAGGCTGTTAGTGTGTGAGCCTGCCATTGTCGGACTATGTCTTCTCCTCCTCTTCTCATTTTCAAAGTCTCCATTGCTAGGTGAAACAACAAAAACAGCCATCCAGCTACCTACATACACGCTGAAAATGGTTTAAAGAAATACAAACAAGCCAGAGCGTTTTTCCTCCTATACCAGAAAGACAATGGAATCAGCCAGACCTTTCTCCAGCGCTGGCATAGCACTAAAGCTAAGTGTGGAGATAAATCTGTCTATGTGTGATATGATAATTAGTAACATTAACTATTCCTTAACTCTCATATTGACATTTTTAACTGACGTTTTTAACTAGCCCATGCGTTCACACAGTGTCTGCTCCAAACGCCTGCTTTTCTGATCAATTTATTTTTAGAATTTCATAATTTTATAATCTAGAAAACAGAATAGGCGCAATACTCTGCCAACACAAATATTTTTCTATATTCCCTCTTTTTCTTCTTTTTCCCTCATTTTCCATATTTATCCAGACCTGGAAATTACTGAAATCCATAACTAAAAGCCATACTGTGTAGGAAACCTGTAAATGGAGTATTCCCTGTTGCTTCACATGTCAGTGCGAGCTGCTTGGTAGAATATACTGAACCACATGCCAAGTTACACTTACAAGACAAAAGAAATAGTCAGTACTTCATTTATGAATCTCACTCCCAGCAAGGCAAGTAAATTCAGCAATACATTGTCTTTACCATAGAGGACATTTGTAGATGCAAAACAGACATTATGTGATATTATGAAGCAAAATGCACGATGAGTTATTTAATTTATTTTTTATCACTGACAGAAATCAGTTATTTATAATACAAGTTATTTTTGTAAAAAGGTAACCTTACTTTAGAAAACATAAAATGTTGTTTATGGAGGGAAAAGATAATGACATTAATAACGGAGCAGTGGGAGGAGAGTAAAAACATGTCTATTGTGTCACAAACAATGTTACTTTGATTTTAAATTGTCTCACTGAGATTAACCTAGCTTGACCTTTCTTTTCACAGTTTTTCCACCGTTGTATGGGAAAGATCAAGTTATATCTTTTTTAAGCAACTCAGGACCTCATACTCCTTCATTACTTTAAAAGTAGTTTCACAGGTAATTTCACCCTATGTGTTAAAAAAGATGCAGAACTTTTAATGTGTTCAATCATGCGCCTATAAGTGATTGTTCACGGGGTTTTTTTAAAGCGCAGCCTGTACTGAACTGTAACAGATTTGTGCACAAGGACAGCAAATAGTCAGAGAGTGACGTGAAATACTAAGATACATAAATACACGCACACACTAGCTCAGCTATAGTGTAAAGGCAAACTGACAAACAAATGGCTGATTTTTCTTGCTCTGGAAACAAACTCTTACCATGTGTAGAGTAATACCTGTGACATGTGTCCAGCAATTCTGTCAGTTTTGTGTTTTAATGAGGTTTTCCAAAGGAGGTGGTCTTATCTAGAGAGTTGATGGATGTAGTCACTAATCTGTGGGAGAGGAGAGTGTGAAGAGAGAATGGGAGATGAGGAATAGGGAGAGAAACATGACAGTAAACAGTCTTTATGCGCAACATCTCTTGAAAACTGAAGTGCTGACTCAGTGCTCTTATGTAAAACACTTACCTTTTATAATCATACTATATAGATAGCTTGTCTGTGAAAATGGAATAATTTGCCTTCCATAAGTGTTCTGATACTTATCATGAAAGTTACATCATACTACAGAATTCATGTAAATCATCATGTAAATGTTTACATATTAAACGAGTAAACAAAAGATATCAAGCCCTAAATCACAGTATAAACATTCATGTTCATTATAAATAGGTAATCAAGCAAATGTGCCCTTTCTCAATGCATTTCAAAACAGTAGCGATGCTTCAGTCATTACTGTAACACTCACACAAGTTTAATTTATACTGTAACATGATCACACAGACTAGCAGATAAAGTAAGTCGTTCACAGATTTTTTTTAGTATTTACTAAGTACACCACAGGAGAGCCATGCTGCGCTGATCAAATATGCGCTCAAATTCTAGCATAACAGGGACTATAAATAGCCTGCTCGTGTTCACACAACAGCCTCTTTTACCACCACTGGATATATTTGGCATCTTTTGTGATCAGGAGGCAGGCAGAAGAAGGAGGGAGAATGTCTATAAAAAGCAGAGGCTCACCTCCCACTCCTCCCTACAGCAACATGCTCAACTCAAGCTCAACTAACATGTGGATTTGAGTGGATTGTTGTGTGTTTTTGTTGTTGCATGATTGTGTTCATTTGGATTTTCATTTACATTATCTGTTTGACTGTGCTCTATTGTGTGTGTCCAGCAAGACACAACCATCATATTGCTGCTCAGAAGATCAGAAGACAACAGAACTATGCAGACATTGCAGATGAACAGTGGATATCATATGAGTCTCTTGAGGTGACTCTGGTGATTACTAATATTTGCCCAGAAATGTGACTGATGTAATGCTTATGCTTCAAGGGTCATTTGAAGGGGTGGGTTGTTCAGTAGAACAGCAGGCCACACAGCATGTGCCCAAGCCGGGCAAAATACTGCCTGGTATTCCAGTTTCATTGGCATGACATGATGCCGGAGCAGGTGGCCTGTAATGAGTGATGATGGCGTGAGCAAAGCGTTAGCCGAGGTGAGCTTTCACTGGCACCTGTTGATCTTCGGCCTGTAAGCACATTACATGAGTGGCACATATTCCTGGATTCTGGTTTGGATGAGATGGCAGAATGTCCTGTTTGCATTTGTTGCTCTAAAACAAGGTGACAAGGTTGTTAGAGAAATCACTTTAACCTTGCATGTGTGTTCCCCCAAAGACTTTTACTCATGTGAAAGTTTTTATTTGCCCATGGTCCATGTCTCCTGGCGGCTCTCAGAGCTCCAAACTCACTAATGAATCTACATGTGCTGAGACACAACACTGCATGATTTACTGTTGTGTACTTCTTAACAATGTGGAGAACTTCCTCAGCAGCCAGCCAGTGGTTAAGCTGGTGGTCTATGGTTTCCATCCTAGCATGAGGCACCAGATGGGACTCAGATCTGGCTGTCTTCCTCCCAGACTCAAGTGCTAGCTGACTGCCCATAATGAGCTGAGCTAACAGACTGTGCAGCTGGGCTCCTCCTCTGCAATAATTAGCTCGCTAAAAGCAATTCCTAATAACTATACTCTTAAAAGCTCATTGCAACTACAGGAAAGACAGTTTGACCACTGTGCTTGTTGATCATTTCCAAAGTCTTGCTAGTGCAGAAAATAATTCTCCATTTTCGCTTTGTTTTGCAGTCGGTGCTAGCACCTGCAATCAGAAATGTTCAACAAATACTGATTGTTTATGAGAGCTCATCAACAACAGAACAATGACATTCACTGAGGAACACTGGCTTCCAACTCAGCTGAGGAGCTCTTTTTCGTGGGCTGAATAATGTGTGTTGGGCTGTGAGTCAGAGTTGTTGAAGAGGAGGAGAGTGGAGAGAGGTTGCATCCCAGTCATGGTGTTGCTCTACATTCAGTCTGCAGGGTGACCAGGGGCCAGTGCTACTGTATGGGCTGTAGGCAGCCGTGAATCACAGACCTGTTGCAACACTGTAGTGGCACAGATTCGTCTCTAAAAACAAGCTTGCTGTCCTTCTCCCATCTATCCCCCTCTAGTTTGATCTTTCATCCTCTCCACATACACTGAGAGACATTTTATGCCCATTGTCATGACAACAAAAAATTAGTAATACCACAGTCATGCAAGGCTGATTGAGAGCTTCAGGCTTCAGCCATTGCTGCAGTTCTATGATTCAAATATGGTTTTGCGGCTCAGTAGTTTCCTGCTAAACACCACAGGCTTTGAAGATTAGGGGAAGTTAACCCAGGCCAATCTGAAAATGCAGCCTCATCCACAGAATCTGTGCTTGATGTTATGACATTTTTGGAGGTGCATTATAATAAACTAGTGCATTTGTATTGGTTATGCAATTTGAATACATTTTAAGAGAATCATTTCAGAGTAGTTAGAAGAGCAAAGTGTGTATAGTTTACACAGAGATTTAACCACCAGTTTGAAGGTGCTGCATGTTGTACTGGCGATTCTTGTCCTTGTGGCCTAACGGTTAATGTACCACCACACTCAAGGAATACATAAACATTGGTCAGAAACAGCTACCTTTGGTTACATGAGCTATTAAAGGAAACGCTAAAAACTGCACTTTGAGGCCTGCAGTTCCCAAGCAGCCAGCTGTCGGAAGATATGTTGTCATGTTGATATGATTGAAAGTACCCAGTGAAATCTGTGTCTAAAACAAGGTGGGTTAAATATGGCACAAAAACACTTTCAATTTCCACTGGGGCCACCAAAGCCTACAGCCCTGCACCTGAATTACTTGTTGTGGTTTGGGCCTTTGTTGGGTTTAGTGCCTGTTTTATTTTGAAAGTGTCTACCTCTTGTGTCTTGTTGTGCTTTATCTTTCCTGTTGATTTTATTTTTCATATCACCTGTGTGTAATTACCCGGCCTGCTTGTGTGTTTGTGTATGTATTAATAGTTTGTTGTGTCGGATTGTTATTAAATCATTGGTTTTGGATGTTCAGTGGATTTTTGTTTGCTTCCATTTCTGTTTCTTTGGACTGTGGATACTGTTTGGCTTTCTGTGGATTATTTTGAGCCTGATTCTGATTATTGTTTTTCCCTTGGACTTTCTGCCTTCCATGTAAGTTAACCACATTATTTATTGCATCTGCCCCCATCTAAAGTGTCCTGCATTTAGGGGCCAAACTGTTCTCTGTGTTTAGGCTTTGGCTTAAGACAACAGTATATTCCCCACATTAAGGACCCCGTAGACATAATGGTGCAAAAGGGCTTTAGAGAATTTTCCTTTTTCCTTTTAAGAGATTATACACAACCATTAATGATTCCACTGACTTAAAACTCAGATTGATTGTGTATTCTCTGATGGAGAAGACAATTCTGTCCCTGCCCAGGCTTATGAACTATCCATCCATTGTTGAGCAGTTAGCAGCTATTAATCAACTCAAGTGGACATGCAGCTTTGCTTGGAGTCCCCCGACAGCGTTGAGGCTAGTTACCAGCTAGCAGCTAGGTTACTAACCACCTGCCTGCTAGTCTTCAGTCTGCAACCCTGCCTGCAAGCATTCAGACTGCTAGCCACCCAGTTCACCGGAGATACAGCTGCTTAGCATCCCACAGTTTCAGCTCCCTGGCACTCCAGAGACTTTATCACGCAGCTTCACTGAAATTCAGATGGTTAGCAAACCAGAGACTCAACTAATAAGCAACAGCGCAGAAACTATCTTGTTCTGTACCCTGGAGGTACCACATGTCACTGCTGGTTCTTCGGCGGCGACTCAGCCAACACATGTTTCGGCCGACTCCTGTCCTGATCCTCAAATGACTCTGGTTCCTGTGCTGCAAAAATCACCTGAGCCAGAACTTCAACAGCCTGGGAAGATGACTTCCCAATCCCTGACTCTACTGAACTGCTGTAACATCTGGCTTTCCCTGAGATGCAACAGTCTTCTGACTCTGCTGAGTTAGAGCAACTCCCAGACTTGTTCAACTAAACTGTTGAACTACTGCCACATTCTGTCGCTGTTGCAGCAGTCCCCAGCCACAGAAGAGCAGCAGCTTCCGGTCCCTGCCTAGCTGCAATTGACTTTGGTTCCAGTGGTGGGGCATTTCTCTGTACCTGAACTACAGCATTCTCCAGTCCCTGAGCTGAAGAAACTCCGCACTCCTGAGCTGTGCCTCAGCAGCTTCTTTTTTCTCTGGTCTCTCTGGCTCCCCAGCCGGACTCCCTGTTGCCGGTCTCCAGCCCAGCTGCCCTGTTGCCGGTCTGTGGTCCTTCAAACAAAGCCTTAGACCGTGGTTCTCATCTCCAGTCTTGTCACCGGCCTCCTGCTCAGCCTCCAGAGGGTCTTTGTCCTCATTGCCGGCCTCTAAAGTGTTTGTGCTGTTGGCCTCCAATGAGTTTCGGCCTTCCTCCTGCCTGGCTGCCAGAGGGGTTTCGTCTTCACCACCAACCTCCTGAGAGGTCCCGCCTTTGCTGTCCCTTCCCTGGTTAACCGGATAGGTTCAACCTTGTGGTCCTGCCCCCAGGCCGGCCACCTGAGGTCTCCAGTTCCTCCTATGTCCAGCCTTCAGGCTGTCTGCCTGAGGATTTCTGTTCCACCCCTACAGCTCTTTTCACTTGCTCCCTTTGAACTTGTGCCTGAATCCCTCCACCAGTCCTCCCTCCACCCACCCTGGTTCGATTTGGACTTTCTGTTGTCTGGACCACGATTTTGCTCCCCCCGACTCTTGCCCTTACCCTTTTCCTTATTCGTTTCACCTGTGTGTAATTACTTGGCCTGCTTATGTGTAGTGTCCAAGGGCTGGACTTGAACCCGATGAGGACTGTGGATATTCTTTGCTTTTGTTTTTGGTTTCCTTATATTTTATGCCCATTTTGGATTATTGTTTATTACTTGGACATGTCTCACCCTCCATGTAAGTAGCGTACTTTGTTTTCAATAAAACGCTATTAATTGCATCTGCTCCGTCCTTGTCCTGCAATTGGTCTCAAAATCCTGTTCTCTGTGTTCACGCTTAGCATAAGTACAATCTCTGGTGGTCGAGTCGACAGAGTATCACATTCTATAAAAGTATGCTGAGCACTTTGGAAAGCACTTCAAAAATCCAGTTCATCATTATATCACAAATCCAAATGACAAAGAGGATCAGTGTGGGCTTCTAAAGGAGGCGGTTGGGAAAATGACACTTGAGGATATGGAGCAATAATTCTCTCTCTCTCTCTCTCTCTCTCTCTCCCTCAAGTCAACTCACATTCAAATTGACATAACTGTTCTGCAGAGTTAGTTTCTTTTTGAATACATAGGTTCTCTTTCTTCTGGTAAAAGGTAAAATGAAGAATAAAACAGCCCCAACCAACAGATGTGACTGCATAGTCCTCGTGCCAAACCTTTAGCCATTTATCTATTAAATATTCTAGGCAACTTATAAAGCATGCTAGACGTTAATAATGAATCACATAATCACAATTCTGTACATAACCCTACAGTATATACTATCATCATCTATCTGTCCATCTATCTATACTTCTTCCTGTCTCTCCCACAACCTCTTCATTAATATTCTGTTTTGTTCTGCCTGAAACGTCCTGTCAGTACTGTTATTTGCGATCCAGCTGAATAGGCACCAGAAAGAAGCAGAGAGCTCCCTTCACCTCTCCTCTACCCTTGGCAAAGCCTGCTGTTACCATAGAGATACTTTCCACCAACCACAGTCTTCATCTTGTCATACTTTTTCCAACTGACTTTATGAATTTCAGCTTTCTTTCTAGACTGAATCTCAACCACAGCTACTACAGCGCCTTACCAACTGGAAGATTAAAGTGAGTTGAGATAATTTGGAATAACCCTACATAATAGACAGGCAGATGAACTTTGTCTCAAAACTTCCTCAGCCTTAGTATAAATAACAAAAACATATATTGCTCTGAATGACCGTAGACAAACAGTGCAGAGTTTGAACACCACCCCAGGGAGTGATAGCCATTTGTATGAGTGTATGCTACAGTAAGTCCATAGTGATGAAGAGAAATGGGCAAACAAAGACAGCATTACAGAGTCGTGACCAAGAATAGCGCTCACTCCTGATAGACAAGATACAGCTGCTGCATAATCTTGGTGCTACCAATGCTATCTCATCCCTCCATAAATCCTCAGCTGGAGTGTCAGTCAGCTGGAGTATCAGTCAATCAATCAGTCAGGTAATAGTTTCCAACATGCTGAGATGGGGAAAATAACAACGCACTGTAGCAGTTCAGAGCTGTAAAGCAAAGATACTGAATTCATTCATCCCGTCCAAGTCATCACCCTCACCCCCTTTCTAATCTTTGAAAGGGAGCAGTACTGTAAGTAAAATAGTATATCACTTACTCAGAGATGGCTACAGCTGATTTCTACAAAGCTCCTTAGACACGGCACAACCTCGTCCAGTAAGCCCGTTCATTTGGGGTTTCCCTCGGAAGCCACCAGCCAGAATGAGAGCTTCGCTGGTTCATCAAATTCGGGGATGTCATCCTCACAGGGGAGAGAGTGGAGCTGAGGGGAGAGAAAGATGCGCTGTGGCAGTGCAGAACGCTGTGAGGCAGCGAGAGCGACTGGAGAGCTTACAGAGAGATAGAGCGGAGAAGAGAGGGAGGGAGTTGAGGACGACAGAAAAATTGCATTGTAGAGTAATGCAGCAGACCGGTGAGCACATACTGTGGAGTGTGAGAGGAAGCCAGGTCTCTCTCTCTTCTCTGTCACCCGCTCACCCTTACCACCCCCCAACCCTTTCTCCCTCTCCCTGTACTGCAGCAACCGTCACTAATCACGCTGTGTATGCAGCTTGACACATTGCGTTAACACTCATCTCCCAATAGTTGCAAACAACTCCTTAAATTGTTCAACTCATTAGTGACTACATACAACGAATGACCCCAACTAAACTTCCTCTAAATGAGCAGAAGCAATGTAATCTAATAATTGGCAGGACAAGGATGTGATTACAGTACAGTGCAAATTTTGCTTTCATCTGCAAGTAACCAAGAACGAGAACTGTTAAAAAGAGATGCAGGTCCTTGCTTAAGGAGAGAAGGCAGTAGAAATGTAATATGTAGAATTTTAGCGTTATACTCTCCTGAACAAAACTGTGCTCAAAAAGTCATTTACTGCAAGGGTTTTAGCAAAAGGGGCACAATTTCCTAATTTTATAGCAGTGCAAAAAATACTTTTAAAAATATTGAATGTTAGAATGTATTTAGATTAGAGATTATGAAAATCATTTTCTCAGTAAAATGGCTAGAGTTATGAACCTTTGAGTCTGTCAGACTTTGAATTTTCATTTATATTTTCCCTTCAGTTTTATTTGTATGGTTACAAATATGTTATTTTTGCTTCTAGATAGGGCTGGCCAATAAAACAATAATGATAATTATCGCAATATAATTTTCCTCAGTAACAATATAACAAATGTTCAGTATATCGTCAATAAATGTTTGATTTAATTCATTTGAATCACATAATTATTAGCACCTAATTTTTCTATTAAGATATTTGTTTTGTTGAGGAAAAGGGACTTTTGAAAGTTCTACCTCAGATTTGTGAAGTGAGCCCCTGTTTGGCATCAAGTGTTACATGTCACGTTCTGACCGTAATGAATAGTTTAACCACACAATTAACCATCTGGTTTCTTCAGTTTTTAATCCTTTAAACTTGAAAGAAATAATGATTTGACATTTATCGTGATAATGATCGATATCGAATGGTATGAAATGTTTTTATCGTGATAACATTTTTGGCCATATCGCCCAGCCCTACACACATTGGATCAGAATAATCTCTACTTCCACTGAGTACTAAGTACTGTAACAGAACTGATGTACTGTACTGTACACAGATAACAATGTAACAAAGCTTATTTAAGTATTACAGTACTACAATACATGCATACAATACAATACATACAATACAATACATGTCGTGTCTCAACCTAACAAGGTCCCCAGTGTCTGACACACTAGTCCAGGCTCACCTCAATTTTCTTGTTTTTATGCTAATGTAAGCCAAGTGACACGTCACTGTGATACTGACTTGCAACCTACAAACACACACACACACACACACACACACACACACACACAATGACAGATTACACACACAATAACAGATGGTAGAACCTAACCTGGCAAGCAGTACTACATCAGTGCAACAGAAGGAACAAAATGCGCAGAAGGTGAAACCAAAGTACTGTACAATCAATGAGTGTTACAGTAATCAGTGGCAGGAAGAACAAGGGCAGTGCTCACTTATATTTCTTACTAGTTGTCAATAAGACTTTCATGACTGTAGTATTAATGAAGGCATGTAAAAACCCTGGCTTAGTTGTATAACAAAAGAGATTGTTTTTGTACCTTAGCTGACCTGGAATCAGATCAAATCTCCACTATCTTCATCTCTTCACATCCTCCCTACTGTCAGTATCTGATTGAATTTGTCTCTTTGCTCCTTAAATCCATTAATGACAGTTTCGTTTAGCTCAGTTGCATCAGGCAGGCTTCTTTGATTCAGACAAGCAGATATGCTACTGTAATCTTAAGAGAATTATGTGTCTGGATAAACACATACAGGAAGAGCCCTCAATTAAAGACTTCCCCACATAGACCCAGGATGAGGTCGTCACCGGCTGCCACAGAAAACAGTGTATCTGCTGAAAGCCTTTCAAAGTCACACCTATGCAACCTAATATTTGTGTAGGAGAGAAGCCCAGAAGTTTTCTTATCGATCCTTAAATATGCATATAACAAAACACTACATTACATAATGCTGCATGTTGTTAGATGTATGTGACTTCTTTCAGCCTGACACCTTCACATCTATTGTACACCCTGTTGAGACAGATAGATGTCATTGTATATAAAATACCATAAAATACAGTTTAGAGCAAACCATCGAACTTAGCAGCTTAAATACGCCATAAAAGGATTGCATAAAATAATAAAATGAAGCAATAAAACATTCATTAAAATGCATAAGCAACATAACATTTAGAAAATGCAAAAGTAAAACTAGGGCCTATAGCTGTTACAGTTTACTGCTCCTAAGATAAACATAATCTTTTTTCAAAGTCTGCATGTACTTTCCTACGCCACATTAACTATACGTAGCAATGATATATCTTAGTGCTTAAGATTTACTCACATCAGTATGAAAAAGGTTTGCATTTCACAGTGATTTGGATACTGGTTGAGGCAGAGGCATCACACTGATGTTACCTAGCAACAAGGTGCTGTATATCTCTAAAGCCAATCCCAGTTTATTTCCTAAGTAAAGATGGAAAATTACAATCCTTTTCACTAGATATTTTCACTGGGATTCCACTGTAATACAATGTATGCTAATTAATTACTTCAGATTCTTTTTGGCAATTCAGATCGTTCGATCTGCAAGCATAGTATTGTTAATTTTGGTAAGTGTTTTTGTTCTGGCAAAATAATGCAAAATAAAAAATTTTTAAAACGTCTATACCAAATCGTATAACAATGGCAGAAACAACAAGGGGAACTTAAATGATCAGATAGAGCAGTAATTCTTAGGTGCCAAAAGCTTTCCTAGTCATCTAGAAGTACCAGTGTAAAAACACCGCCATCCACTGGCAAAACATTGAAATAGCAACATTTATATATTGTGTGTGTGTTCCGTCATGTGGCGATGAGGTTAGGGCTATCATCAGAGAGAAATGCTGCAATCTAGAGGTTTGAAGAGCCTGGCTTTGTTGCATAACAGGCAACCAAACATTGTGTTAGTTGAAAAAGCCAGAGTCGGGCATGTATGACTAAGGGTTGATGTTACATAAGCCCAGAACACTAAGTACTAGGAAGACACTGATCTAGATACTCACTGTAAAATGTCACTATTAAATGAGCTAAATTCACTATTTAAGAGAATTTAAGGTTGCTTCCTCATTTGGTAAATCACATGACTTCCATAAGACATACTCGCAAAGCTTTTGACGTTGCTGACAATCAGACCTTCAGTCTGTGACGGATGATCTTACACCCAATGTAATTAGCAGTGATTAATAAAAAATCATTGAGTAGCCCTTTTATAGCATTGATCATTATAACATACATTATAAAACAGTTTTCATATCTGAACCAAATCAAACCAAATGTAATATCTTTTTTTTCCCACAGAGGGAGCCGTACTCTGTAATAAAGAGCAACGGGCTGAGTTTGTAATGTTTATCTCCACCCAAAGAGGCAAGCCAATGTGGCAGACTGATGTCTATTAACACCCCTGACAATGAGCTTAATGCAATCTTTCTTCACCTATGATGACAAAATGTATTTTAGTTAAAAAGTTATGCAACATTACATATTGCTGTGCTGATTATTTTTTAACAATAAACACTCTTCATTTGTAAATTCTCTGATATTTTATATTTAACAGTTCAGCTTTGTCTTTACTTTCTCCTGTGTGTTCTAAGAGTAACTGTTAACATAAATATTGTTTGTAATAGAAAATTTAACAATAATTGTAAAAGCAACCCACAGCACTGACTGATCAGACTGTTATACGGTGTCTAATTCTCTTTACTGCACAGGTTGTTGTTGTTTTTTCCTTGTATTTTCCATCAACATCGACAGCATAATAAGGATAACGTGGGCTTAAATTAATTCAGCTTAGCGGTTTATCAAAGCAGTGAGGTTTTGATGTGCTCTGTGGAAATCACCCATGATCTACTGTGTGGCACCGTCGGCCCCTGGAGCTAGGCGACAGTGGACCAGCAGGCTGTGACCCACTTCTTTTGTGCCTTCACTTTATGAGCTCAAGAGGCTTTGTTTGTAATCATTCATCACCAATGCCCCGCCCCCAACATCCTAGCCTCATCTCTACCCCTTCACCCCCCACTCATCCACACAGATACACACTTATTGCTGGAGCTGCCAGGGCCTTTAATGAGCATGTTATTTCCTTAGCCTTTAACCTCAGCTCACCGCTAACCCTAAACATAATCCTATCTGTAATTCTAACCCTTAATTTATGTCCTAATCCTAAATTAGCCTCTTAAAGTAGTTAGCAAGAAGTTCTCAGTTTGAGAAGTTTCCCCTCACTTTATTCCTTCTCTGAAAAACATGATACCCAATACATACACTAAGTAGCAACATTTTGATACCCAGCAAGTTATTCATTCGAGTCATATAACTTGGATCCTGTAATTCCATCATTTCAGCTTGCTGATAGGCAATTGTGATCACAGTTGTTAATTTAATATGCTTAGCATCTTGGGATGATATACTACCACCTTAATCTCTGGGAGGGAAAAAAAACCCGTTAAAATAAAAATTAGTCACAGGGCCTTTTCAAATTAGCCAGGAGCAGCAGAACTTCTGCCTGATGGCCTGTGAACATGAGACATAGCTAACTATTGAGGCCAACGTGACATTTCTCATCATGTCATGTGTACTCCTGCCATGGCTGCAAACAGATTCAATAACCATTACACTTATTTAGCATTTTACATATTTGAATTAATCTAATTTGATCCTGTCATACAATATATACATAACATAACTTGCAAATATACACAAGTAAAAGTAGTATTGCCAATATAAAAATACTCCAGTCAAAGTAAATCTCCAGCAATAATGTTTTACTTAAGTAAAGACACATTCATACGATTAGCGAACTGTACTTACGTATCAAAAGTAAATGCAGGCTGGATTGCCCCTTTCAGGGTGTTTTATTGTTTTATAATATTATATTATCATTGGATTATTATTTCTGATTAATTACCTTGTAAACAATCGGAACCAGAGTTATTGGGCAATTATGTGTAACCTTACACACACAACAAATTTGATTCTGGTCAAGTACATTTCAATGTTGAAGCTGGTAATGGTAGAACAAATTTTAATTACTTTACATACCATGGTGTTAGTTTTATCTATTTTATCTATAAGAGTTTATTCAAAAATCATTCATCATAAAATCCTAATTTGGGAGCTGTATCTGTCACATAAAATGTTTGAGTAATACGTACAATATGTACTACTGAAATGTTATGAAGTCAGCATGGAAATACTCATGTTGGCTAATTTACCTCGAATTTGTACTGTATTTCAGTAGACCAGTGACTTTCCACCACTGGGAATATATAGCCTAACGTTACTTTATTAGGAAGACAAAAAGTAGCTTGAAACACACACAATACTATGCTTCAACTAGTTTAAAATGAATGCAGGACACTGTACGTTAGCTGTTTTAACAAACCGGCGAATGACAGACTTGACAGACAATAATACTTTAATGCTACATTATGCTGAGTTTGTGTACGTTTCTGACAACTAACGCCCGCTAGCTTAACGGCTATCATTACATTAGCTAAGGTCTTTAGCAGTTAACTGAGGAACGAGCTAAGCTACCTGACCACCACTGCAGGCCTTCATCAGGAGGTGTAACAGGTAATAATAACTTTACTCATTCCCAAAAAGTAAAATTTTTATTATTAACTTAAAATGGAATTAAATAACATTACTGGCTGTCTGTGTGTTCTGGTCATCTGTCAGGCATGATATGAAACCCTTCTTTCTGAAAAATAAACTGATAGTTAGCCCACATAGAGTGAAAACAACAAGTGTCAAATAGTGTTTTTTTTGTATGGGTAACGTTAAAGTTAGTCATAATAATAGTATTGTTTCCTTTAACATGTTATTGTTATCATAGTTAAGCAATTATATTCATATATTTTAGGTGTTAACATGTAAATTCACGGGGTTTTCCAAACATCACAGTTTGCTCTTGCTTTACCATTTCTGAGGATGGCTGGTGCATCACTTCTCGCATCATTCTGGTCTTGTGTTTTCTCTTCACGTGCTCATTTGCTGGATGTCACAGATGTGTGTGAGAAGCACCAAAATATGGCGCTATCATTTTCAGCCAATGGGTTGGCCGTTTGTAACAGGTTGCAGCTGGCGTCACTGCCGTGGCGGGGACGCGCATTCAAGACGGAAAAGAGGTTGAGAAGGCATCGGGATCGCGCTCATCTGTTTGGCTGGCAAATGCCTCCGGTGTAACAAGCCCATCATTATGGGAGACTCAGGACCCCAAGACTGGATGGAGCCTGACCGACCGACCGCTGCCCTGAGCTCATCGAGGCGCTTTATACCGGGATAAAAACATTTCGTGTGTATATACAATAATAAACAGCCTGCCAGTGAGCTGCAGAGGAGGCGGTGTTTGCTGGAATTCAATCAGAGCCAGACTCGCGGCTGGTAGGTTAACGAGGAAAGAGGGACGTGAGGAAACTGGAAAGTCAGCAGTTTGCGATCTAACTGGATCCAGCTCGGAATTGGGAGAATGATGGACGAATTGTCGATTACAAACCGGTCCGGTCAGCCCAACCCTGTCAGAGCAGGGTGGGTTCATCCGGAGTGAAATCAGTCGGCTCTTATCTGTTGGCTTCTCCGCCGCCGGGCGGCGATGTCCGCTTTCTGCCTAGACCTGCAGACGTCTGCCGTGGTTTCAGCACCACTGGAGCTGGACAGCGACTGCATGGAGCCCCGGACCAGCCCCGCTGCTCACGAGCCCGGCGGCTTTCAGGGTCACCCGGGGCACGCCGGCTCCGGAGGCCTCGGCATGGCCTTGGAGGAGGAACTGGCCATGCTTACCGGGGAGCGCGACGACGAGGAGGGACTGGCGGACCTAGGGACGCCTGCGGTGGGGCATAACGCAGACTTGCTATCGCTCGTCCGTCAAAAGGAAAAAGACTTGGTTTTAGCTGCTAAACTCGGCAAAGCGCTGCTGGAGAGAAACCAAGACTTGACGAAGCAATATGAGAAAATGCACAAAGATCTCAACGAGAAATTAGAGGTAAACTAAGACAAGAAAATGTTATTTAATGAAGTTTTAATGCTGAACGAACCGTCATTGTTTGTCCTGAAAAAGCTATAATGCTATAGTCAGGTGTAGGCCTTCGCAATGTAAACAAACTCAAGAGGATCATAAAAAATGCTGCCAGCAGAGCTCCACATTCAAGCTACCAAATAAAGAGGGCACATACTTAATGTGTTATAACCCGGGAACTAGTTACATAGAGCTGCTGATCATTCTGATTTAAAGAAAAAGTCAACTACACTGTCTCTGCCATGACAGTGACCAACACCCAAGCTAAAAGAAGGTGTAGAACAGTCTGTGAGTTATTTCACACATCATGTTTACAATGGATGTGGTACAGCTGAGCTTTACGTTCTTGTTGTTTTTAAAAATCCTTCACACAAGCCAACACGTGGCCCGAGAAAAAACAGAAAGACTATAATCCTGTGGCTGTCCAGGGCCTACTGTATCTACTGTACATCTGTTCAGCCCTTTGATCCATATTCATCCCCACATTGCAGCTTAGAGAAATAAGCTGCCTGTTCATATCAAACTCTTCTTGTCATTGATGTTGTTACAGTTCCTGGTATCCTATGCTAATATCGCTTGATGTTGTTTTGTACTGTTGTTTTGGTTCTCTCTGATCACTCCTTTTGTTCAGGCACACACTCTGAGATGAAAATAGGGGCCATCTGATGCCAGCAGCTTCAGCCTTGGACTTAACCATAACAACAACCCCCATACAAACTCTGGCAGCTGCTGGTGGTGCAGTGCATCTGTCCACTGTTCATTGCCATAGAGAACAGAAAATCTATTAGCTGAACTGTCACTCCAGGAGCTAGGGAGACAAGACTTATATATATCTATACCTACTGTACATTTCTGAATTTTGCATAGAATGTAAAAAAGTTAGGAATGGCAATTTCAGCCCTTGAAAAAAAAACTTGATTATGCCTTTATTGTTGGACAGTAACGTTTAGTGGGGGGATCAAGTTCTTATCCTGAATTTTTAAGGACTGAATCGAACTTTCTCAGTTTGTTGAAGCATCAGTCTCTGACTCTGTCACACCGTCAATGATTTCATTGGTACTTCAAAAAATAGGTCAACACTGGACATCAAATCCAAGCAAATGAAGGTTTGACCGTATCACCCTCTCTCCCCTCGTCCCCATGCAGCACTTGGAGCAGGAGAAGCATGAGTTGCGTCGGCGTCTGGAAAGTCGAGAGGGGGAGTGGGAGGGCCGTGTGGCCGAGCTGGAGACGGACGTCCAGCACTTGCAGGGTGAGCTGGAGCGCCACCAAGTCCAGCTGAGAGAGGCTGACAGAGACAAGACCAAGGCCATCAGCGAGCTTTCTGAACAGAACCATAGACTGCTGGAGCAACTCAGTAGGGTGAGGGGCAGCGTCCGTCTGTGTGTGTGTGTGTGTGTGTGTGTGTGTGTGTGTGTGCTTCAGATGCACAGCTTCAGGCGAGTTGAGCCAATCTGCATGGAAGATTTAATTAGTCTGGACTTTGAGTCACTGTGTCACATGGTCTTAATGCTTCTTTAAACATCCTTCCATCCTACCAAGAAACATGCATACGGAAATGCCAGTGTGTGTGTGAGTGTGTAAACACAGTATGTTGTTCTCCCTGCCCTGACCTCAGGGCCACTCAGTCCAGCTCAAGTCTGCCTGGCTGACATGGCATAAGTGAAGATTCATCATCCCTCAGGGGGGATTTACCTCCATTCAGCCTGTCTCTCTCTAACTTCACCAGAATTATGCTAACTCATCAATATAAAAGTGGAGCTTCCGGGTCTTATGTTTAATAATTTAGTATGATTGGACTGCACCCTTATGCAATAGCACTCTGCATATTGACAGGTAATGTGAGTGCAGTTATTATGACAGGCAGAGTAGAAAAGGTCCCATATGAAACATTCAGGTAGACAGACTGATTGATGGACAGACAAAGATAAGATAAATACATACATATAGCAGCGCTAAGGGTTGGCATGAGGACTTGAGGGTATATCCTTGTTGATGTGATGTACTGTGCACGGGGAGAAATGCAGCCTGGCAGATTGATAGAGTTGAGAGCGCTTGTGTTTGTAGCTTCAGTTGATTAATCCCTGCTAAAGAGCTCAGTACAACACCTCATTCTGCTCCATCTACATCCAGACATCCCGTTTCTTCAATGGTGGCTTCATTTCCACACTAGGAAAAATAACATGCTTTGTCACTACATATTATGTTACATTCATCAAATCTGAAACGCTATATCACAAAAACACACCATACAACCAATTTAGTACAGTGAACTTGCTTTCCAAGAACAGGACTATGTCCAAGGGCTGCCTAACCTGTCAGAGGGATATACAGTATAAACACCTGTAAGACCATTATAACAACTCGAGGGCCATAAACAGAGGCATCAGAGTGTTGTCAGCTGACAGTTAGGCTGGCAGTGGGTGCCCCAGAGCTGTGTATACAAGGGCTGACAAGCCTGTGCAGGTGTTTTGATAACCCCGTCAGCACTGCTGTTGGTGGCGACGCTCACACTTATGTGTGATGTTTCTTTTCCTGGGAGAAGATATGATCACCTGCCAGGTACACTCTGCTCAGGGAGGAGTAGGCTCTGTGCGGTTGATTTTAACGCCCAGCCCTCTGCTGTTCAGAGCAGCTCTCCTACTCATCTTATTAAATCGACCCCCTGCTCCATCGTGCCCCAAAACCATCATCACATTACATTCAAGGACTGTTCTGGACTGGTCTGTCACTATGGATCTAAGCAAAGAGCAGACACTTAGCTTAATTAAACTGCATTTAATTTAATTGAAACTCGGGTGTGGGGATCTATAAAGACACATTCTGTGGAAGTGGTCTATATTGTGTGGTTTTTTTGGGGGGGGGGGTCATGTCTAGAGGACTAGAAGTGACTCAGTGAAATTTATGAGACCTAATTGACTCTATCGATCCAGATTGATTTAGTGAATTGGGCAGACAGAGGGAGACCTGCTGGGTAATAGAATAAATGAGGTAAGCCACGGTGCTCGCTTTCTCTCCCATGTTATCCTTCTTTTTCTCTGTCTGTCTCGCTTTCTTCTCTTTCTCTATCTCTCTCTCTCTGTCTGTGCTCATTACTTAGCAATTGGCTGTGACTAAGTAATGTTAACTGTTTACAGCTCTGACTGAATGGAGGGAATTTAAAACTACCCTGAGGAAACCCTGCTGTAGTGAGGCCACTGGAGGCCTGCAATTTTCATCTGCCCTCCCTGTTTCTCATAGTAGTTAACTCTTTAACCAGTATAGTCTTATTATGATGTAAAACTAAAATTATGCACATGTTCCTATGCACTGCCTGAATGAGCCTGTTATTGCAGTCCTTTGGTGTGCATGCTGGAAATTACATGTCACTGGACAATAAATACATCTATTGAGGACCAGGCTCCTAATTTACAGAGCAACCACGTCCACAGCCGCTGGGTTTATGACATTATACAAACAAGAGGAGGACGAATAGTGACTTATTTATCAATGAACAAACAAATAGATAAATACTTTAATGAATAAATCATCAGAGATTAATAGTACTACACACCAAAAAAGCTCAAATAAGTAGATTTATAGAAATAAATGTTTTTATTTATTAATTAATAGGTGTGTTTTTTGTTATTTCTAAAGCAAAACTTGTAGCAAAAGATTAAATTTATAAAACAGTGTACTGCCTCCTAACAACCCAGGAATCCTTCAACTGCGTGCAGTGGGATGACCTTCAGAAGGCAGGGCACTCCATAGGAAGTGATGTAAATCATGAGGTAAGACTGAGGGGATTAGGCTTTAATCCGTGCTAATAGCCTTGCCATATGCATTCAGTCAGGGACCAAAACAACTCCAGTCCATACTCTACTTAATTAATAACAGCAGGTAACTTAGATATTTGGGCAAAGACGATCTATAAATTGAGTCTCCAGCTGTGTCGTCACATTTTATCCCGGGCTGACACAAATACCTGCTGTGGCTATTGCTCTTTGTGTGTGCATCTGTGCATGAATTTTCCAATACTTGGTCATAAAACTATACATTATATTCAATACACCCAGAGAAAATGGGTTCCCATTGATCCAGGACTGGAGCCTAGGAGGTGTGTGTTGCTCTGTGTGGGTCTTGAGTGTGAGAACAGCCAATCGTCTCAGGCCTAATCTGATCAGTGAACCAGCAGGAAGGAGACCTTTCCTAATTACATTACCACACATGCTCAGAGAAGGCTGGGGATGCACTGACTCCAGCATAAGTGTCTGCATTTTTTATGGTCATAGTCGATTCTACTTCCCTCAACCTCTAGAATTTACTTAATTAAACGTTGACGGCAGCCTCCGGTGACTCATCAAAGTTGTTTATTTGAGGCTATAGAGGAGGAGTAATTCCATTTTTTGTCTTGTCATTTACAGTAATTTAGCAAACAAGGTGTAATGTGAACTTTTCAGTACAGTGTGTCCACATCACACACAGAATTCAGTTTCACTCCTCCTTGTACAATCCTCTAGCTGTGTTGAACACGGAACTCTGGGCATCTGTCCAGCCATCAGCTTTGATCACATCCGGTCGACGGAGCACATAACGTCTGCCTCTCATCAGCCAAAGGTGGCTGTTGCTCTCAGGATCAGCTCTCTGATTGGCACGTAATGCCACTCTAGAGTATTTGTTATGCAACCGTTTGAACCTGGGGTTGCCCATCCTCCATAAGTCTAGACAAGGCGAGCACTCTGTGAAAGTGACTAAGGAAAATACCAGAAGCACCGAGACCACAAGTCGCAGCTCCACCAATCCCACTTCTCGCCGGTTGCTATGACAACCAGAGTGACATGCAAATTGAAACACAATGTGTTGTTACCATGGGAATGTGCTCTCTACAGAATGGCACAAGGAGACAGATAGCTTGATGCTAATTTGATGCTAGGTTGCACCACTAAAGACCAGTGATTCACCTGCGGTCACATCTGCTACAGCTGTTCCACAGCCATACACAGCCTGCAGCTGAACCGACAGGAGGGATAGCTGCTTTTCAAGCCCTCCTCTGGAGAGTGAATATACAGTATTTGCTGTCTGAAACTAAAGGAACGTGTCTCTCAGTTGAGCCCTACTTTGCTGCCCTGGATTCTGTCGCAGCAGTCTAATTTGCCCCCGTTTGTCCTGTCGTGCTGATAATGCTTGATCTGGGATCTGAGGAATTTATGTGCAGATTAAGTGAGTATCTGCAAATCAGACAGTCCGCTGTCAACTCGACACGAGCTCAATCTGTCAGCGTATTGGGCCAGTGGGTCGGATGTCACGTTACTGTTGTGACCTGCCGCTGTACTGGCCTCCACTGACCGCACATCTGTTTCCCACACAGAAAAGACAGGATCATGCAGCCGTCACAAAAACATCCCCACTTTCTTTTAAAAATATTTCCTTTAACTCTTAAAACAACTTTTTTCTCAAATACTTTTCCTGAACAACATTTGCTTGTTTCCTTGTTTTCCCAGACCACGTGTCACCTGTCCTGTCCTGACCAGTCCTGAAAGCTCATGCATTTCTCAGCTCTGAGTATGATACATAGAGCAGTGATACCTTTCTCTTAGCATTTAAAACCTGCTTTGAGTAGCAGGTGTACAAAGAGTTGCCACAACATTTTTCCATATACATCTGCCGTATGTGTATATATATTTTATGTACAGTTAGTTGTCCATTCACTCAGTGTAAACCATTATCATTAAGCCTCGTGAATGAAAGCTTAACTCACACTTTTTGAATTGTTTTGAATGTGATGTTGATCCATCTAAGCTGTATCATAATTACACTAATTAGTAGAAGTTATATAGTAATAGTTATATTGCAGTCATTATTTAATCCAGGTCTAATGGGTGTACAGTGAAGAGGGTCAATAGAAGAGATTACATTTTTTCTTGAACAACATTGTACTGGGAGGTGGGGTGATTAATAATTTTTTTGTCATTTAAAAAAACTTTAACTGCCAGTGTATTTTGGCATTTATTCGTATATTGACATTTCTTAATTCCAGTTTGACCACACTGCTATTGTAAAAAATCACAGGTTTATAACAGAGTAGTCACGGGGCTTCCAGAGTGCTGCAGTTAGTTACTGTTCAGAGTGGAGCCCAGACAGATAGAGCTGAAGCAGAGCCATTTTGGCAGCTTGTCACAAACTACAACCAGTGTTATTTAAGGCCAGAACTGAAGTGAGCAAATGCATCCACACAACCAGCTGTTGAGCTTCCTCCTGTAGCTCTGTGAGCTTCTTGAGAAGCTGCAGCAGTGTGTAGTGCCACCTAGAGGCTGTACTTCAGCTTGACATAAATCATCTAAATTTTCAGGCAGCACACAGTGATTGAAAGACAAACAATTTATAATATAATTTGAAGTCAAACATGCGCGGTGATTCCCTTAGAGTTGAGGACTGCTTGCCACAGTCATTAAAATGGAATTTGTGTCCAGTGTGAAGTTCAGTTGCTCTCTTTCTTACTGTGCTTTTGATGTATTAAGTAAATGTTTAGGCTCCCCAGTGAGCTGTAAAAAGTGAGTGGTTTTTAGGATTTTTCTGTTGCCATAGCAGTGGTGATAATGCAAATGGTAGCTTCCTGAGTGCAGCTCTATGCTAATGAAGCTCAGTCAGGCTCTGTGTGGCCTGATCCCACCTGTCCAATAAGCTGAACTGATGCACTGAGTCTGCTGCTGGGCTGGATTGCACAAATACTGAGCAGTGGACTATGTGAGGCTTTTAAAAAGGCCGTGACATTTGGGTAAAATTGGGCTTTCAGAGGAACAGCTAAAAAATGGACTGTTTTCAAGAAGAGACTGGGGAGGGCTGATTTACGGCTAACAGTATGTCAGTAACACTGAGTGTATAGTGATCATTAGTGTGTTTGTGCATGTCTGTGTGTGTGTGTGTGTGTATCAGACTCTAGTGAGTCACCTCAGTATCTTAGAAAGAGAACACAGACTTAAGAGCTGCTGTGAAAGCTTTCTAATTTAACTAAGCAGCTAATGTAACACTTTAACACAGTGCTGTTACGACAACATTACCGTGAACAATAATTAAAGGCGAGTGATCGGTTTTACACATCAAAGTTTACAGCTCTATTGAAATATGTGGAAAAAAATTGTATGAACCCTTTAGTGGCTCCAGAGGGACCTGCAGGAAGTCTGATAAGTAACTTGAGTCAGTGTCAATTGGGGTTGAGGACTTGAGATGAAATGAGAATAATCTGGAGTTGTGGAGTTAAAAAGAAGTGAGTTTACCAGACTTTCATAGCCCAGTCCTGTCTGTCTGTCTCCATCCACAGGCTGCAGAGGTGGAGAGGCAGCTGTCCACTCAGGTCCATTCATTACGGGACGACTTCAGGGAGAAGAGTATGTCCACAAGCCAGCACATGACGCGACTGGAGAATCTACAGGCGGAGGTGAGCTGCTATCAGTACCATGTTACCATTATACTTGTACAGTTGATTAAATTGTACCTTTGAGTACAGAGTATTTCTGAGTACTGAGTGCACACAGCTTGAGCAGTCACTTGGTTAGGGCCCAAAGTGACAGCAGATCTCATGTGAAGTTCAAGTGAGATTCTCACTGCTCTTGGGATCTGCAGAACTAACACATTCTTTCTGGTACAAATAAATAGTTGAATTCAGTAGCAATAAAACTCACCCTTGTTCAACACTCAGGATATCTGATGCAATAGTCTTACTTGCTGTGGTATGACCAGTACTGGCATTAACAAGGCAGTTAGCTTATTTATGAATCTTCTATACTTGTGTTTGTGTTATATTACGTTTTAGCATGTTACAGATAATCATTCCAGTGGTAAAACAAGATGTAAACATACCTCATTGGGAGACATTGCATTCCACTCACTCTCAGTCAGGTCGCGAGATGATGTCTTTGAAACAGTTGACTCAAGAGAATATTAGGAAATAAAGGAACATTCAGTGTCCCATTATCGTGCAGTTACCACTTATGGGCACAATGATTGCTGTTCGGCAAAAGTTACATAGTCGCTGGTGAAAATAAGTGGAATACAATTCCTTTTAAAGGCAAACTGGTTTCAAAAGATTTCCTAATTTTCAGATTGGGATGGTGTTCATCTTTCACCCACCATGCTAATAGCATTCATAAGAACTGTTTGTTCTGTCACAGCAGTTGTGGAATTTCTCTCAAACTTTATCTTTTGCTCTCTTTCGGTAATCTTCATCTTTATTTCCGTTCCTCCTTCCCTCATCCTCCTTCCCTCCTGGTTGGAGCAGCAAGGGCTAGAAGTGAGTGGTTACCGAACGCTGTCTGCCGACCAGACTGCATGCTGCATGTGATGCCTTGTGAAATAACAGAAACAAGGATTGCACCATTTTTTACTTTGATTTCGCAATTGCTACTTATTTGTCCAATTAAATCAGCTGATAATAGAGCAAAGTGCTTTTATTTCATAGGGTTGATTATTCATGCTAAATGAAAGACAGACTCTTGTTCTTGACCTTATATAATCATAATACCATTGCATTTTACATTAAATGTCTCACTGTACTGTTATAGTGTAACCTCAGATCTAATGTTGTCACCTAAAGTAAAATGGAATAGATATATTTCTATATAAAAAATCCATATTCGACATGTTCTTATGGCAATCCCTGTTTCCCAAGATCAAAAGATGAAAAACATGCTTAGTTTTTGGAGCATGAGATGTGTTGTGATGTCAGTCGTGTCATGTATGATGAACAAAGGTACTGATAGAACATAACGACAATTCAGATTTCCCTGTAGCTTCTCTTCAAAGCCAGGCAGAAAACACCCAGACTGCAGAGCCTGCGCTATAATTGGGAGAAAAGGCTACTGCTCTATATTTAGCTGAGATACCGCAATGTCTGGGTGCTCCCACTTTTCCAACGCTTTGCATTTGTATGGCATGAGCTGATGACTAATGGCTTTTTGCCCTATTTGCGTGAAGACAGAGACTGTGGCAGCACAAAAATATCCACAACCTGGCAATGTAGATGCTCATGTGGTAGTGAAAACAACAGATCCACATGTAAGCTGGTAACTGAAGTAGGTTAGCAGATGTAGGTCAAAAGCAGGAGGGATAAAAATGAACTGATGTTTGTTTAATGGGGAAAGCTGCTCAAGCAGCTACCATGGAAAACAATTCATGAGGAATATGTGGTGTTGCTGCAATGCTTGACTTCAGTAGAAGGCCGTTCCACATGCATGGTAAGGAGTACGCTGATATCAAGCTTGGTAGAGATGCTAACTTAACACCAAGACATTCTTGTAGACGAGGGTGGCAACTTACGCCTACACCGGTGCTAGGCAACATACATTCTTAAGGCCAGTGGGAGTACTTTTTAATCTTGTGTAAGAGCCCAGCTTGCCTCAGAGTCAGAAAAAAAACAAAATGTAGCCTTTAATCAGGTCCATTGCTTCCCATCTGTCCGCTATTCACCAGGAAATCTAAAGAATCCTCAGTTTCTCCAATTAATGCCTATTTCCCGCAGCGCAGCAACTAACTGGTGCTGTTTGACATGTTAGATTAAGATGCTGTCGGAGAGGAAGATGGAGCTGGAACGCCGGGTGCACGCCATGCTGGAGGAGAACGAGCTGCTGCAGAATACGGTGGACGACCTCAGAGAGAGGACGCTGGTGTTTGAGAGGCAGTGTCACGAGAAGGACCTACAGGTACAGACACATAAATTTCGGACTTTTAGATCTCAAATCTTTGAGGAATACTACTACTACTTGAGTTGCTTCTTCAGAGCTGTTTTTCAGTATACACAAAACAATTTGTCCTTTTTAATTACCTGACCCGTCAGACCTCTACAGGTACTTTGCACTGTTAAGTCCCAGTTTTGCCTCCTCTGTTCTGTCAAGTTGCGGCAGAGCCAGCTGGAGCTCCAGGAGGTTCAGATGTCTCACAGGCAGCTGACTGCTCGGCTGGAGGAGTTGACGGAGGAGCACAGCCTCCAAAGCCTCACCCCGCACCCGTCTAGCCTGCTGTGTGAGATAGAACAAAGCATGGAGCAGGAGGAGCAGGAGCAGGAGAGAGAGCAGGTAGTTACAGTAGGATTGCATTTCATTGCAACAGCCGCTAAAATGACTTTAAATGACTATGCTTTTCTAAAAACTCTTCCCCCTGCTTGTCTGTTTAGCTCCGTCTTCAGCTATGGGAGGCCTACTGTGAAGTTCGATCGCTCTGTTCCCATCTACGGGGAAACGATGTCACAGACTCGGCGCTGTCCACTGACTCTTCCATGGACGAGTCCTCGGAGACGTCCTCAGCCAAGGATGTGCCTACTGGGAGCCTCCACACCAGCCTGCTAGAGCTAAGGAGGCTAACACAGAATCTCCTGGATGGTAACGAGTCCACGGTAATGAACAACACACTGGCAAGTAGTCAGCACTGTCAAAATAGTGTCTATATAAAAAAAATTAGGTCATCTGTAATTTCAGGGCTTTAGTAATTTTCTAATAATTTAGCTGGAAAAAAACTGTCATTTCTCATTATTAGAGGAAATAGAGAATAGTCTAAGACACTATAGTAAACCCCCACTCTTTTATTTTTTGTTTTTAAGAAAGCACTAGTAAATTATATAGTATTACCATATTCTGGTTTTGTAAAGAAATACTGGTAAACTGAACACATATCGCAGTTGGCTTGTCTCTGTTCGCCTGCTTGTTTTCGGTGTTTCCTGCAGCTAGTAAAATGATTCATAATGTAGACACAGTAAGCCCCTTACACAACTAAAGTCTATCAAGACCTAACACTGTTGCATGAATCACTTATCTAAAGTAGTCTCTGACCTGAGATCTTGTGGCTCCAGCTGCCCCGCCTGCTGTCTCTGCTCAACAGCAGTTACTATTTAGTCGTTTGTCTCTGGGCACTTTGCATTAAATGAGTAAGTCAGTTACTTTGGTGTATGTATCACCAAACCATGACTATCAAGAATCATACATCAATGACAGCTTAATAACTACAATAGTGAAGAGAAATGTGTAAGAACTGCTAACTCAGGATTAGTTGGTTAGCCAGCAATGTTGGTCATTTACTATACAAAACTCTCATTCTCCACATGTAGCAATAGTTCTTAAAAAAAAGTGCCTTATGTCCACCCCCTTCATTTTAGTGCTGTGAAATTTGTTGACTAATAAGGGCAAAGCACAACGAGTTAGCTCTAGTTGGATTGTTTAGATGCATTATAATATTTTAAAGGGGTGGTATTATGCTTATTTTCAGGTTCAAAATCCTATTTAGTGGTTGTACAAAAACAGGTTTACATGGTTTCATTTTCAAAAAACACCAAATTTTTTTCATACTGCACATTGCTGCCGCTCCTCTTTCACCCTGTGTTGAAGGCTTCGTTTTAGCTATGGTGTGATACATCTTGTCTCTAAATGATCTTTGGGAAGCGGCTGGACTACAAATGAGCTGTTTTGAGGTAGTTCAGAGCAGAGCTTTCTGTGGGAGATGGGAACTCCCTTTGGGCTGGACTTTGTGCTTTTTCACTTTGCAAAGCTGTTACATGCACAAAAAAGATATATAACACAATAAAGGAGAGGGGAAAAGCCAAAAAGCAGAATACCACCACCTTTAACTACATTATCACTATATTAACCACTGGTGCTGAAGTCAGTTATAGTGATGCTAATGATGTAACTTGAGCTATAGCTATATACGTAATTTCTGAATCTCACAATAATGACCAGATTTTTTATAATCAGTTGTTAACTTCCAGATGAACTTCCTTGAAAGAACTGCTTAAATCCCAATGACAGGAAATGCAAGTTAACCACACCAAATATTTATTACTGGAATCTTCATTCTTCACATTTTACATTTTTGTACATTCAGCTGACCTGCTGTGCACTGACTGGAAGACTCTAAAGGTTAGAGAGCAATTACTTGCAATTGATTCATTTTCCATTTTAGTAATAGGAAATCACATAATCTTCTCCTGGAACCTTACTAAGAATTGACAACCAATTTAATACTGTGACGGGATAGAGGCTCTGCGGGCCTATTTTACAATGAAGTGTCAAACTAGGTGGTAACAGCACATATGCGAACAGTGAGTGTGTGTTGTGAAGTGGTGTTTGTTGTGTGTTGAAAGGGCTCGCGGCGCAGTGATGAGGAGGCTCTGGAGGAGCAGGTGAGGAAGCTGGGAGAGGAGCTGAGGGACGTCAGAGAGCTGTACGAAGCCGAGCAGGACAAAACACGCAGCAATGAGGAGGAGGTGCTACAGCTGCACAATCAGGTACTGGTGCCTGTAACATAACTGCACTTTGGCTCACACATACACATGCTATGTATGTGCACGTCAGTGAAACATACAGGAAGAGGTCAGGAGCACAACGCAGAAATTTCACACCAAGGCTGTGGTGCTGTGCATGTGAAAAGTGTCAGACAGCCCTCACCAGTCTTGAGTGGAATAACATCGCATTAATTGTATCTAAGAATAACATTAACATGACCTTGTGATGCAGATGTAGCTCTCCAATGTAGTCCTATTAACATTTGTAACATAGGACATTGTTTCAACCTTGTTCTCTTTCTGCCAGGAGAGTTTACTCTGTACCGTGTGTCTAAAATGCTAACATACACGATTGACACAAAATAAACTACACGTACACACGGGTCAGTTTTTCTCCTGAATAAGTGGGTCAACTAAAATCAGCCTCACACATAAGCACCCCTCTTTATAATGTTAACATTTAGGGACAGGTGAGTAGGACTGGAGGGAGAAAGGGGAAGTGAGTATACAGGGCCCTCATGTGAGGAGGGCCCATAAAGATATTAGAATGAATAGCTGTAGATGTGGGGAGGGGCCCAAAGGGAATCCTTATGTACAGGGTAGAGATGTTAGATGCAACCTTGAATTTCTGAGGCCTGCGTCTCACACATGTTGTCCCATGTGACCTGCAGATGGCGCTGCTCTCTGTAGAGATGTGCTCTCTCCGGGAGGAGAATGAGCGGATGCAGACGATGGCTGAAATCCGAGAGCCGAGCGAGCAGCTCCAGAGTGCTATCAGAGACAGAGACGACGCCATAGCCAAGTAGGATCACAAATGCAAATATGCACAATCTTTCTTTGTCAATATAATGTCAGGTTTAAGGGATAATTCCAGTATGGTTCTTGTTTTTATAGTTTTGGCAATTATTCCTATTAGTAATATCACAACATTGTACTCAAGAAGTGAATTGCTGAGATCTGGCGATAAACTTAAACTTACCCAAACTGTCCAAGTTGTTGTAAACATTCATCACAGTTTACAGTTCACCTTGCTGTACATTGCAAATAGTTTCCTGTGCAATGTACGCCTGGGTTCAAATCCCGCCAAGGGCCCTTTGCTGCATTTCATCCTCTCCCCTGCCTTACTTGTCTCTCTACATTGTGACTGTCAGCAGAACTGCAAAAGCATATCTTTAAAGAAAATGTAAGAAAAAAAAGAAAAGAAAGAACTTTCTTGAGCATAATGTTATTATAACTACGAGATAATGACCCAAGTTGTAATGAACTAAAATGTTTGAACTTTTTTATTACTTCCACACAGGAATTAGATAGACACAGATTATAGATGTTGTCATTCTCTGCTCTTGCTTAGAGGAATAGCTTTACTGGGATCGTTTTTTGGGAAATACGCTTATTTCTTATCTTATTTCCTTTCTTGCTGAGAGTTAGCTGTAAAATATATTCAATTCAATTCAATTCAATTTTATTTATATAGCGCCACAGTTATCTCACAGCACTTTTCATAAAAGAGCAGGTCTAGACCGTACTCTGTGATGTTATTAAATAACATTTTATATCTTTTTTGTTAAATCCGTACAAAAACTAAATCGTAGACGTAGTCGTAGCTTTACGGAAGGCTATGTGCTGGACAATTTCTTGCTTAGAGCAGTGACTTCCTCGAGTGTTGTTATCACCTGACCTTTGGACAGAGGCAGGCTGCCTCCAGTCTTTATGCAAAGCTAAGCTAATCAGCTGCTGACTGTTAGCCCTACAGTAAATTCAGTAAAAGAAATTGAAGAATCCTCACTAGACACTCTGTCTGTGTGTCTTGCAGGAAGAAAGCGGTGGAGATGGAGCTGGCTAAATGTAAAATAGACATAATGTCTCTGAATAGCCAGCTCCTAGACGCCATCCAGCAGAAACTCAACCTGTCGCAGCAGCTGGAGGCTTGGCAGGTGGGTGATAGGTCACAAGCAATATATTAATAAATGCCTAATAGTCTTTTTGTAGTATTTTGGCAGCTAAGGTTGTTACATAAATAAAGCTGTACGATACATGTTGTGTCTGGATGAATTTTGGCAAAACTAATGAAATGACACTTGAATGAAACTTATTTTTAACTTGTCTATTTTAACCTGTGCACATACACTAAACCACTCAATTAACTTCTGAGAGTGTGTTGCTCGTCTGTCATGAGTGTCAGTGTGGATATTTAGCCTGAGGACACTATGTGTGTGTGTTTGTATGTGTGTGTATGTGTGTTCCCTCCCTCCCCTCCCTCACCTGTAACCAGCAGCTCTTTCCTCTCTCTTCTCCCTGCCCACAGTTTGCCTCCTCAGGGCTCTTTACTGTTTGGCTCTTGTGGTTTCTGATCTAGTGGCCTTTCTCAGCTCCCGTACCACCCTTTCTCTCCTGTGGTACCCCCCCCCCCCTCCTGCCTTAGAGGTGAGCCCGAGCTGCACCATCTCGCCGTTTCACCCTGCACTAACCCGACTACGCCATGCCGAGTCATTCCATGCCACGGTTAACAGACTCAGGAGAGACACTCCTCTCTGAAACCATTCACCACCACAGAGAACCATCCAAACCTCCACTCTCTCTCTCCACCTGCCTCTGCCTCTGTCTCCTCTCTCCATACACCTGTATCCCCTATTGGAATGTTTTTATGAGATTGATCCACTGGTCAGCTTACCTGTTAAGAGATGCAAATGCAGACAGACTAACCTTTTACTAATAAAAAGTATCTGTTTACAGACTAACAACTAGTTTTCCCATCACGATTGTTGCCATCTTGATATAGAAGCTTGTCAGAGCCCCCTGGTGGCTTTATCACTTAGGAACTACTAATAACAAACCTGGCAACTTTTGCCATTCATTTATTAAGTCAAAGTATTTGGTGCAGTTTAGAATAGTGGTTCACCCTATGTTTAGTTTTTTTTTTTCTCAGACTTTGCACTAATGTTTGTATTTCGTTCTGAATTACTGAATAATTTTACCTCTTCAGGCCTCTAAAAGCTGCTCAAATACATTAGTTTGAGAGGAAAAATTACCCTTTGGCTACCTCTTCACAACACGTAGATAAATGCCACAAATAAATATTGCCTAATTCCAAGGGGTCACAAGCTGGAAGGTTTGGAAATTACTAATTTAGAATATGATGTCATCTGTGACTTATTGAGCAGCCAAAAGCCATTTTCCTTGAAAAAGATTTGGCTGAAATACCAACCCCCCAACTGTGTTCTGCTCTTATTGAATGCAGCCCCTGGTTATTCAGAACAGTACGTGAATTTTCAGCATATTCAAGGCTGGGTTACCAACCGCGCAAAGCATGCAAGTGACGCAGGCCCCAGAACTCCAGGGACCCTGAAAGCTCCTTGTGCTTGTGCTGGTTTGTGCTTGTGCAAAGCACTGAACCTCAAATTGCTCCCAATGGTCAGGCCAGCACCTTGCATGCTAGCTCACTGCCATCGGCCTGTGAGTGTGTGTTTGAAGGGTTGAATGAGAGGCAAATTATGAAGAGCTTTTGAAGAACAGCGCTAGATAAATGCCGTCCATTTACTTCTAAAGCACAGTATGAAGCAACATCATAAGGGTCAAAATTGCAGTTTTAGATCTTGTGGTTCTTTTGCACAAACTCCTAAGTAAAGGTTTTTAATCAAAATTACCATACTGGAAATCTGAACCAGGTAGTATTACAGTATAGAAAAACTGTATTCATTGTACAGAGAGCGTGTGGACCAAAGGTACAACACTGCACTAGTACGTTAATCTGTCCATTATCGTTTCCTGGTCAATCATATGCTTAACTGCCTTTACTGCTGCAGGTTTTTAAAGGATGTTAGTAAAAAACAATTTAACAGGGATGAAAGGTGATTGGGGTGTCTGTAATCAACACCTAACAGGTAACTTGATCAATGAGTCCGATCCCCCCAGAACTTCCTGAAACACCCCACCATATGCCCCATTTCTCAATGTCTTTCTCTCATTCGCTTCTTTGTCCTCGGCTTTAGGATGATATGCACAGAGTGATTGACCAGCAGCTGATGGACAAGTACCAGGACGAGTGGCGCTCGGCCCCTTCTTCCCTGTCGGGGTCGTCGAGGGCCCACGGCGGTCAGTCCTCCAGGCGAGCTCACCGCATCTCTGACCGGGACAAGAGACTTTTCTCTTTTTTCAAAAAGAGCTGAGCTCCATTGGACTGGCCCTGAGCACAGCAGACAGACAGAGACAGACGAGGCGAGGGAGAAAGAGGGGTGACATCACAGTACGGGGGTAACAACACAGCCAAAGACGGGCAGTCGCACACACTGAGGTTTGGGAGGGGGGGGGTCATTTTGCACTTTATCTGTCCCATTACTCTTCTCCTCGCTGACTAATTGGTGACACTGAGCGATAGAAATGTAAGAATAGGACTTCCCCAGAGGCTTTGCCTTCAGTCCCTCTCAAAGAAAGTTATCGGTCTTACAGAACATGAACAGGGTCACAAAGTTTACCTCCAAAGAGGAAGGTTTCCTTGTAGTGCCTACGACTATCTCTACTAGCCCACTGCCAACTTTGTAGAGAGGGAACACTATGTAACTGTTACTGTATGCATCCCAGTTATCAGGCCAAGGAGTCTGGGGAAAGACATTGCAGGGTTGTGGGAAAAGATGAGGATAGTAAGACAGAGCTGTACGTCAGAATATGATGATCCATCCTCTGGGTGGAGAGCAATGATGCTCAGCCGGACCATATGTGATCTCTCAGGTTTATTCATTTGTTCAGGGGATGTTCAAAACATGAGTCAACAGCTTGATATATCAGGACCATAGTGTGCTATATATCTGACAAAACAAGTGACACAAAGAACGCTCAGTTTCTTATTGACAGCCATGCAGTTTTTTTTTATTTCAGTGAGAATTTACCATTTTTAAAGCCCCAGGCCCGAACTTCCAATAAAAAAGATGAATACTTTTAAAGGGATACTCCAATGATTTAGTCATAAAGTTTTGGGACTCACAATAGATGTATTACAGCTGCATCAAACAATATATGTAATATTTTTATATAAACAATGGAACAGTCCCAGCAGGATTTCGCAGGATTTCAAAGGATTGTTGCGACCTGAAAATGCCTGATTTTGCAGCAGTTGCGATGTTTTGGTGCATTTTTGTGCGATGAAATTGTAGAAATGAGTGAAAACTGCAAAAGTGTGATTTTGAACTTTAGAAATATAGTTGAATCATTAAATGGTCCTTAACCCTTACCCTGCATATTTAAATCAGCTTACCTTGATTCTTTTATCGCTTGCAGTTGACCGCGATGCAGCACCCTCGTCTGGCGTACTCCATGAGTTTCTGCCATTCTCCCTGTATGTTTTGCGGTGGCAAAGAGTTTCCTTTTATGTTCGACCACAATACTTTTGAAAAACAGTTTTCCCCCGCTTTGGTACAGCAGATCTGGATACTTTTTTTCACGGACCTTTGCTGTTTTTGTAGGCAAATATGAGATGTTGGTATCACACATACATCTCTACTGCGTCTTGTAAACAAGGAAGTGAGTTTTTTGACATAGGTCAAATTTGCTGAAAAGTTGCGGTGATTGATCAAAAAAGCAAGTCGCGCTGAATTCACTGGGATTTGTTAAATTTGTGTTAATAGTTCTGATCAAATAACTGTGTGTAATGTGAAAGGGGTCACTCATAGTCTAACCTACAGAAAATTATCCCCTGACTCTGCAGTTCCACTCTTTTAGCCCATAGTTTTGGTTTTACGGCCCACACCTTTCCTGTTTCGGTTCAGTCTCACTGCTCTCTTCAACCCTGTTTTCAGCAGCAAGCAGCTGTCTGATAAACTGTACCTGCTCAGCAACAAACCTTAAAATGACTGCTAATGTTGTACCAACAATATTTAGTTCAATCATCAATCAATCAGTGCAGCTTTAAAAAAAATCAAATTCAAAGCAGCAGAAACTGATACATTGTGACTTTTAGTCTCCAAACCAAGTTCCAAAAACAATGGATCCTACATTTCCCATAATGCAACAAGTGCTCTTTTCATTAGACTCTTCCCGCCATATTCCAGAAGCCCAGTTTGTCACACAGGTTTTCTGTTATATATATGTAGTCTCAAAGCTTAAGTTCAGAGACTTTACAAAGCTCCTCCGATGACTACAAACTTTTATGAGTAAAATCAGTGGAGTTTCCCTTTAAAACTGTACTCATGTTTGTCCCCCAAAAGTAATGGCGCATATCACTATGGTTAAGTTTCATTTACCATAATGAAGTAAAACAGAATCAGCTTGAGCAGGACAAGAGGATCCTTAAATTGAGTGTCACGTCTGTATGAGGCCTTCACTTTCATCTCCAACATCTGAATAAACCTGACTGAAGTTAGTCATATAATTTTTCCACAGTTTGCGTTCAATTTATGAAAACTTTTATTTTTCAAAGAGAAAGGCGCTGTCCAACATTCTCCTCATGATGTCAATCACCTTCCTAGTTGACCAAATTTTCAAAATGTTTACATCAGCATGGGAAGGAGGAAGGACTACGTAGATTGCTCATCAACTCTCCAAGTCACTCAATCCAGCTCCACAATAACCTGTTGAACTTTCTGTCATTAAAAGGCACATCTGTGCAGAAACTCCACTGAACTTCCTCTGCAGTGGTCAACATCTGAGCTACTTTGGTTCAACACCAATAGAAAAGGTCTACCTCCATTCTCATTGCTTCAATACTTCATGGGCACTTTAATTTCTTAGCTGCCGGGCTTCCGTTTTAGGTGACATACAGTATCTGTGACTCCATTGATTATACAGAACATGTTGACCTGAAATCTCTGAGCATCGATGACTTACAGTGTGGCACAGTGATGTCTCATGTCTGTCTGTGTTTGTACTCATGTCTAATGCAACTGTGCAAACCTATGCAGGTGTCTTCTTGTCATCTCAGCTGGTTGTTGGGAAGGATCAACCCAAAGAATGATTTTTATAACAAGTCGAATAGGTTTGGACGAAATCGATATATTTATAAGAAAAAATGCATACCTTTTGAATGAAAATCTTTTTTTAGAGAGAAATATACCCGTACATTGTAATTTCTAGGCAGTTTTTTCATGTGTGTCCTAACCGTGAGCAGGAATTATCACTCATATGTATGTTTATTTGACCGTTTGGGTTTGGCATGCAGTGGAGTTGCCCAGAGATTCATGAGTCCTTCTGAGTTTCACCCAAATAATTCACCTATATGACAAATAATTTAAGAAGCCTCATGAATCTCCAATTAATCCAAGAGTGTCCAACTCTTGATAATACTTCCTGATAAGTCACCCTTTCTAAACAGTTTAAAAACTATAATTAATAGGTTTTTTTAACTGTTAAGAAATAGTTCACTAATGCTTTATAGATATATTCTTCATTAAATCAATTCCTCTGTGACACATCCACCAATGTTTCCTTGAGCAAGATTTAACCCCTAGTTGCTCCAGAGAAGGTGCGACCTCTGACATATATAGCAATTGTAAGTCGCTTTGTCAGGTAAATGGCATATTATTATTATTAATTCTAAGCCATTAATTAGAAAAACCTTTGGGTTGCCAGGTTGTAAAAAATATTTCTGGCTGTTACATCATTGAAGGAGTTGTTAAAGGAGTAGTTAGACATTTTTGGGAATACATTTACTTGCTTTCTAGCATAAAGTAAGGTTACAGCCAGAAAGCGAAATAAAGGTATTCCCAAAAATGTCAAACGATTACTTTAATAGTTTATAAAGGGCATTAAATGTCAAATGCAGTAATAAACATTAATAAATCATTGATAAAGAGTCAAGTTTCTCACTTTCTAATGAACCAACAGCAAAAGTCAGGAAATCATCTGTAAATAATATAAATGTTAATGAGATAAGTTATAGACTGGACAAAAATCTGCACTTGTAAATAAATCGTTAATAAATTCATTTTGGTCCTTTCCCAGGAGGTCAGAGGTCAAACAATGTATTGTATGAGTCTTCCTGATGAGTTAAAGAGCTAAAAAGACAAACCACAAGCCCTTCTGATTGAGGATAAACACCAGCCATAGAGATTTCCGCAACTTGGAAACCCCAAGATTAATTTTTTTTGGTTAACGAGGAAAGCCTCATTGATATTAAGATTCTCTTTTTCACTAGTTTCCCAGATAGGCAGCACTAACCATGAGTAACAGAGAAACGAGGGTGACACAAAAAAATATGTCAGTGTGTTAAGCAGAAAAGTAATGTGATTTCTTCCTAAAAGCAATCAAAATGTCAACTTAAAACAACGCAAAAGGGAATGTATGTAAGCACAAAATTCAAAACAATATGTCATCAAGATTCTAAAACACCTCAAAACATCTACAGCCAGAAGAGAGAACACCAGTTTCTGCAGCAAGAGAGCAAATTTTGCAGTGTTAATTTTAAGAGCATTATGTTCCAGGCATTAGTTAATGATTTATTAACCATTAGTAAAGCCATTAAAAACTCTGTCTAAAGGGTGACTTATTAGAAAGTTCTTTCGCTGCGATCCTGTCTGAAGGGACGTGAGCAGAAACATGTTCCTCTTCCAGGCAGAAATATATGAAAAGTGTGAAAGTGGGTGGATTCTAAAGCGGAACCTTCAGGATCTTTGTGTTTGGAGTTTGGGACTCCCTTCCATTTGCTGATCGACAGATGAGAATCCCAGCTGCCTGCAGCAAGCTTGGATTAAACTCACTCCTACCATGACCAGACACCAATTTGTCCTGCTTCATGTTACATTTTAGTTAGAAAAACTGTAACATATTTGGTTCTGTCCACTTTTTGTCCTAACTCCTGTTTCTGTTTCTTGTTTGACTCTTTGTATTGGTCAAGACTATCGCTGTACTGATTCATTTTCCAATCTGAAGCATTTTTAAAACGCCGTCTGCTGCGTGTTTCTGTGCTAAACATCCTGATGTTGCCGTGGGTCGAGCGTGTGTTGCAGTGACAGACAGACATGCTATTGAGTGTGTTTCCTGTTGCTTGTCTCCGCTTGGTCGGATGTTGTTTTGGAATTTAGTGCTATCGGTGGGCTCATTGTGCTCCGTGTGAGTGCTTCCATTCACCACTTACGGCACTTCAGTTACAGAATGCTTCAAACTATTCAAAATATTTATCATGCAATTTTCTTAGCATTTTGGGGATTTTTTGTACAAATAAATACTTTACAATCTGCTTGTCTCCCCTGACTTGGCCTTTAAATACAGACACTTTCCTTGTGTGGTTCTCACAGTCAGGTGTGTTTTAAATAAGGTGAAGACGCTTCCATCTTTCTTTGAATTATGAGAACACCATCATCTACAGAGAATTAAACAATAGCAGGGAGAAGGGACCTAACAGAAGATTTATAAAATGGAATTTGTGGGATTATATGTGACTACCTGCATGACGAGGGCAAACAGCAGTGAGAAACAACATGAGCAAGCCTATCATGATGTCTTCTTGTCAACTCAGCTGGTTGTTGAGAAGAATCAAGACAAATGATGTTTTTAATAAAAAAGTCAAATAGGTATGGATGAAATCAAAATACTGTATACCTTAGAATGTAGCCATGCTAGTGGTGTGGCACTATGAATGGAAATTTCAGTCAGTGCACTACTTCAACAACTATCAAATAGCTTTGGTACAGAAACACATGGTGACTTGGCGATCCCCCGTCTTTTCCTCCAGCACCAGCAACACCCACTGGATAAATTGCACCTTCATGGTGAATTGCAATAATGTTGGTGATCCTCTGACTTTTCATCTAGCACCTATCATCAGGTCAAAACTTGTCCAAGCATTTGGTTCATGACTAAATACCTTAAAAACTAATGTAGTTCCCATCAGCCTTAGCCGTACATTGTTCTGTGCTAATTAGCAAGTGTTAGCATGCTAACACTCTAAACGAAGGTGAACATGGTAGATGTAACCTGCTACAGCTTGTTAGCATTGTTATTGTGAGCATGTTTGCATGCTGATGTGAACATTTAGCTGTCTTGGTGCAGTCTCACAGAGCTGCCAGCATGTCTGTAGGCTTAAGTCTTGTTTATACCTATGGTTTATGTCCATTTTCAAAGGAATGGCTGCAAGTATCTCTTTCAGTCTCTGCATCTACCAGCCTCAGAGCTGGGTATTCAACCTCAGTACCCTGTGAGTACCTCTTGATTGTTCCGAAGTAAATCATTCCATCAGACCTTTTTCACAGGAGACATTTTGCGCAGATCAGGTCTGACATGATCTGAATCCACATGTATGCATCAGTCATCAAAAGGAGTCCTGCTTCTGCCAAGGTTTGTAAATTCCAGCTGTGTCACACCTCAGCTGGTGAAAATACTTACATAAAGGATACACTGGTGCAAGGGTGCTTTAGGCCAGCTTTTTCTCTCCTCAAGATGCATTTTAGGGCCCAATCCTATTCCCCAGCGTAAAGCCTGGCCTCTGAGCCCTCACATCCATGTCACTTGGTAAGTGCTCAATATGAGAGGCTGCAAGGGCCCAAAATGGTACAATGGGCAGCATTGCACTTTGCTAAATATCACGTTCCATTACCTTGACTATGCCAAAAGAACTGTGGGTGTTTTACTTCCTTCAAAAGGCACTGAAGTGACAGACTGTCTAATTTGAAGGTATGCAGGCTCTTTCTGAGCAAACTGATGGTGGACAAGAGGTCATTTTTAAATAATCAATTTTCTCCTTTTTATCAATACAGCATCATACATGTAAACTTTTTTCTGGTAGTTCTCCTTCAATGTTTCCTTTTTGTTTTTGTTTTTTTTACACCAGCTTCCCTTTGTAAACCAGTGCTTTATGCCGTAACACTATGAGCTGTGGGTAATTCCCTCAGACAAAATCTGCAGAGATGCAGACTTACAGAAAGTCTGCAAAAAGGGGCTCAAAATGTCTGTGGGAGAGCCCTCTTGCACTTGCCAATTTGACAGTGGGACAGCCATAAGCCCTCATGTGGAAATTAAGATTCAGCCCTAGAATATCCATGGCCCGCCCAGCTCTGCTTCTGATTGGCTAGTTAGGGTAAGAATATCAGGGTAAGCCAATCAGAGGCACAGTAGGGCAGGTCTGGCCTTTGCCATCCCATGAAATATACATATCGCTTCAGGGTCACAAGCGACAAGGTGACAACAGAAATGAAAAGAGTTATAAAGTTACTAGTGATGTGTGGAAAATGTTTAGTTTAGGATGATCACATTTGCTCCCCTTAGTTAATAACTGATGATAGCAAGACAATGACAACAGTTTGTGTTTCCCATTTCTTTTTAAAACATTTAAAATTATGTAAAACCAAAGACAAGCAAGCAAGAGGCTTCCCAAAGACCGGTACACACTTCCTCCCATACAATTTTATTCACAGAAAGCAAAAAATTAAAAGACACAGGTTTATGAAGTAAGACCAAGTCTCAAAGCACGGACAAATGAGATCAGTCATTATGTGTCAAATATTTATTCTTTTAAAACTTTTATTACTGATTAAATTCATGTAGGGAAAATTGAATAGTACATCTCTTTTTCTCCAGTGTACAGCAAACCACAGCTGACGAGTGTGTTTCAACCATAGCACACAGTTTGGTGTGCTAATTATGTGTGTATGTTCTATCTTGAATATAAACACACAAATATATTTATATATACATACACGTAATGAATAGAAATCATAAAGTGAGAGATTTTATACTATTCCTAGGCCCTGGAGGTCTCCGTGACCTCTCAACGTGTATCAGGATCCCAAACCGGCTGCCAGAGTCTGCCCAGAGGATGAAAACTAAATGTTTCCAACAGAAACTTAGCCAATACTTACAGCTCACTCCATTTTTACTCTCCCAATTCAAAATAGAAAATGAAATATGTCAGTAATAGACATTGAAGGATGCTTTAGCCACTGTGACAAACCCTGTACATGGAGAGGGAGAGGAGCTTAGGCCCAAACACTGGGATCCAGTGCTGCAGTTCATCTCCATTTGTTCTTTTATTAACAGTCCCACTGTCTGCCACGCTCTCATCACGGATGCCAAAAACACTGTCCGGTAACACTTCAGTTGAGCAGGTAGCAGGGGTTGTGACAGAGAAAAGCAAAGAAAAACATGACATCAGATAAGAATATTCTGCAAGCTGAGAAAATGCAGTAAATCCACGACAGTCTAAATGCATGTCAGGCATCAACTTTTTTATACCCCTTCAAACAAAGTGTTACAGGCTCAAAAACAAGGGCAAGAACCACAGTCTGCTATGGATTGGAGGTCACCGCGACTACTACGAGAAGCCAGTTTCCAGAAAAAGAGCCTCCTCGTGCCTACTGATGGACCAAAAGAGAGAAGAGTCCGTCGCTGTAAGAGGTGCTGATATGTGGGCGTTGGGGCTGCAGAAATACAGAAGGGGGAGAGGGAAGGAGGGCAGCCCTGAGCGCTTCCTGAGGACTCAACAGGGCCCCATCAGACCACGATTCACCCTGCCTCTTGGCCTACCAGGGGCCACTATGGCAACAGTCTAATGAGAGGTGCCACTGACCTCTTCCGTACTTTTTTCCATAATGTTGGCAGTATCATTGTTTAAAAAACAAAAATATGGAGAAGAGGTTTAAAAGCAAACTCTGAAAGCGTAGTAAGACTGCATTAAAGGGTGCTTTCAGAGCCTGACATCCCAGGAGTGGATGAACTGCTCTGTCACACAAAGAAAAAGAAAAAAAAAATAAGAAAAATAGAGAAAAGAAATAGAACATTAAATCAATCATTGGCTCAGCACTACTGGGGCTTAGACAGGAGAGGGTGGGAAGCTTGGCAAAATATAAACACAGTGAAACAAAACATGACAAGTCACCAGTTCTGTCCATCGGATTAGTTGCTAAAGGTCGTCTACCAATCATCATCATGCGTGCGATTTATTTCCCCCATCAAGTCAAATAAAACAAAATCTAGCAGTTCATGATCTCTTGGCAAGAGCCATGGTAACACAGGTGTCTGAAATGTTGACTCAGACTGCATTGCATAAACCCCCACCCACCCCCAAAAACAAAAAAAACACACAATAGAAAGAAACAAATAAATCCAAAAAAGGTGAGCCCTCCTTCTCCTCAGGCGCAGAGTCTGACTCGACTCTAAATGTCCCGTGTGCAGTGGAATGAGAAGGAGAGATGAGATACTGATGGAAGAATATGGGGATTATGTGGATATAAATCTGAGCATTATGGCGGTCAGTTGTCAGCTTGCAGATCCTTTAAGAAAAAAGGACCTCAGGTCAATAGCGCTCATCTGCTGAATTCCAAATAAAACTTGATCTGACGTCTAATAAAATCTGTACATTTTTAAGTCTTTATGATTAATTTGTCCAAAAGGGACATTTTTTTCCATTTATTTATTTTTTTTTATCTTTCACTGTATATTTATTAAATCTTTATCTGCTCTTTAATTTAGATGCTCGGAGTCCCATCTTGTGTGTATGTGTGTGTGAAGAAAAGGTGCCGACGGCCTTTTGTGGATGGCTTGGAGGTTGCTAGCAGCACTTTTTCTTTCGTTTACTGTTCCGGGTGAGTTTGACCACGTCGTTCTGTTGCTGTTGCTGCTGCTTGGCTAGCACCTCCTTTTTGGCTCTTAGCACTAGCTCTGTGATGCAGTTAAACATCTGAAGGAGAAACACAAAACAACGATGTTGGGTGAGTACAGCAATCAGCCACATCAAACACAGCAGTTTATGAAAAGTATGCAGATCAGCTCTTTAGACTGTAGGATAGAGACTGCTTCAACCAAGAATGGCTGAAAGCTGTTCAATAGGTCAGAGTTTTGGGTTTTCCAATCAGTATTCTGGTATTTGCATAGCATTAAAGAAACAGTTAAACATTTCCAGAAATATGTTTATTATTGCTGAGAGTTAAAAGATTAAGTTGATACCACTATCATATCTGTCTGTTCAATATGAAGCACAGCCAGCAGCCTGTTAGCTTAACTTGGCTTAGTTACGCTTTAGGAAATTATGATTGTGAGAAACTATGTTTTCTCACAGTTTTCTGACATTTATACACCAAATAATCATCATCAAGAAAATGAATGGAGTAACTGACAAAGAAAATAATCATTAGTTGCAGCCCTAGTGTGTATTTCCCCAAAACTATTTCTTTAAAGAATTTGTATGATAAGCCACTGCACATTTAGCTCACTGAGGCCCCGATCAGACAGAGAGCGTTTTGCAGG